GCCTTGGTGGAAGAGGAGAACACTGGCGCTGGTGGTGTCGTTGGCTGTGGTTTTAGGTAGAGGAATGTGACACGGGGTGAAGTTCACTTTACCTAGCAACCCTGCAAGACTGCGGACCGAGAGCCATGTTTAGTGGGGTGGACCTGACAGTTTAACGGCCCTCTTGCGTTATAGACTGTGTCCTTTGACTTCAGTACTAGGTCCAGGTGGACCACTCTCTGTAGTGATGTACAGCGTATGAGTAGCTGAGGTTTAGCTTGACCATTAATACATCATTGTCTCCTACTGGTTATAGTTTGAACTGTAGTAATGAATATTATTATGGTTAATTGTTAAACGTTAAGATTTATTTTTATAGTAGTTTTTACAATAGGTATTGTCACAAACCAGCTTTACAGAAAATCAGAGTCCAACCCCCAAATGAGCAAGCCAAAGCCAACATTAGAAAAACTCCCTAAGCTCAAGAGGAAGAACACTTAAGAGAAATCGAGACTCGAGGGGGGCGTTTTTAAAGGTGATTTTAGGAACAAGTATTTTAGTACTCAGATAGTTCAGAAATAGCGCTGAGAATTCAAAGCCTGTTTAAAATGCTGTTTGGATCGACCCTATTTTGTATATACTGCTTGTGGTAGTGTATGTGTATGCCTCTCTAATTTAACATTTGTGTATTCTTCTATGTTTGTTATAAACATTTTTCTGTCAGTCTAACTGCCATGCTGGTTTTTATGTGTAAAAATAACTGCATGGTCTTTCTGCTTGCTTTTGCAGGCAAAGCACACCCAGGAGGGCAGCACCTCATGGGGAGTGAATGGAGAGACGGGCACTCTAGCAGACATGGCAGAGCTGGGCATCTGGGAGCCACTAGCTGTCAAAGCTCAGACGTACAAGACTGCAGTGGAGGTACAGATTCAGAACTCATCTGTCCCTTCTCTCATTCTGCTGTCTATCACCATGTACTTATGGGATCATAAGCATTTTATCAGTGTTTTTCTGTCATTAATGTGGTTTTCCTCTTTACACTGTTTAAACCAATACTCTTGCACTCGATTTTATTTTTCATGCAAGCTTTTGCCAACTTACACTGTCATACTTTGCCAATGCAGCCTCACTAAAACTCACCCATAAGAGCACAGTCTTGCATTTAATAATCCCTCAGCACTCCCACACTCTGAATTTAGAGCCTGATTCTCTCTGCTTCTCTCTCTCCCTATTCTTATACCAGTTACTCTTCTTCCATCATTACCAAGCTGTGCAGTCTAATAAGACTATTTTCTTTCTCTCTAGACGGCCATCCTGCTCCTGCGCATCGATGACATTGTGTCTGGGCACAAGAAGAAGGGGGAGAAAGGAGAAGAGCAGACAGGAGGGCAAGGAGCTGAGTAGAAGGATGCGACGGAAACATGAAGGTGTAAAAACATGGGAGTGAAACGCAAGATCAAAGAGGTGGATGTCTAGAATAGTTAACACTGGTTTCTGATAGACTGTTCTCCTCAAATACTACAATGTATGGCTTTTATTCTGTTGTTAGGCTAATGTAAAGTTGTACGCAGCTCTTTTGTTTTCTACTCCTTTGTGAGGAAAAATTAAACATTTATGTTTGTGTGTTAACACTTCTAAATGTCTAATCCTGTTCTGATGCTTCACTCAGTACCTCTCTGCTGGGTAGCTACCTTTTGTTTGCTACTGGTGATAAATTTCAAAAATCTAAACATACTGTGTCAGGGTTGTAATTGAAGATCTGTTTGGCCCTGATGACCCTGTCAGGTTTCCCTCCCCCTTTTCTTCTTTTCTTACAGCAAGTGATATGTTCCACTTCCTTAGCCCTGAACCACCATGATCTGTGATCACAAAGTTAAGTTAGAATACATAGTGTGTGGAGAAATATAGACTAAATTTCTCCATAACAAGGAATCGCACATTAAATTTTGGATTTGGCATGGAAGCTCCTTTTAATGTTGCATTACTTTTTTTACTAGAACTTTTTTACTTGGAGCAAGAGCCTGCTATGGGGGGAAAAAAACATTTCTGACATAAAAAAAGAAACAAAAGTACCTGAAATTTAAGAACATGTATCTGCTTTACAAAACAGCAACACTGAGTTTGTTGAATAGTGAGAGATTCCAGCATCCATAGTGATGTGTTCAGTATCATAACATTTTACATACTCGTCCAAAAAAAAAAAACAAAAAAACAGTATATACAACAGTCATTGTGACAGTGAGATCTATTCTCTTTGTCCTTTTTCCTTTAATACGCCTTAGAACCTTGTTTTATTTTATAATGGTTTAACTGCTGAGCCAGCTGGGCTGAAAGGTGCTGTTGCCTTACCGTGTAGCCAGACATGGCTCTGCTCATCCCTGGCACAAATGCTGAAAAATGATCTCCACAGAAATAACACCAGGGTTGTGCCTAAATTACTGGCTTTAGAAAAGTTAAGATCCATTTGTCCTGAGACATGCTTTGGGATGCAGTGCAATGATGGCAGGTGATGTAGGTCAGGCAGATGAAAGAGATCCACAGGTGTCTTCATGAGACTTTGTAAAGTTATCCCTGAGCTCTCTCCCCAGTTTCTGGGTCCACACCACTGTCGAGCTCTGAAGTAGATACAGAGTGTTAAAAGCTTGCCTAGCCACCACTTTACAGGATTTGGTTTTTGACTACATTAAAGAGTTCATGGAGTTCAAAGAGTTCACCATAGTTTTTTGCATTTGTTTTTTATATATATATATATATATATATATATAATCTCGTTGTCGGAAGAACTTTACAGGAGAATGAAAAAACTAAAGTAAGTCAATGGAACCAGATGCCTTTCCAAGTCATTTTGGGTCATTTCTTTTAGTCCATTCATCATGTAATGTACATAAAATGTAAAGAGTAATATGTATTTTCAAATTATGTCAAAAATGAAGATGCAAGGTTTTCTTGCGGCAACAGCTACATATATAGTGCACTTCCACCAACTATCATTAGCCAATTTAGCAGGTTCGTGTGTCCTACCATATGGGTGCACTTTGTAGGTATACAGCTATTGACCGTCATCTACTGCACAATTTATCAGCCCCCATGATGTCTACCATTAGAAAGGGGCCACCATAGGACCATGGGACCATGGTTGTATCTACATCTGTTATAACTGCAAAGAGACACAGTACTGTGCACAAGTTATAGGCACCTGAGAAAATTATATTGAAAAAGCGTAAGCTTGACAGTAATAGCACTAATATTATTGTTTTTATATTCTTATTTAATATTATTATAAATGTGTTTAATATGTTTAGGTGCCCAAGATTTGCACAGTACTGTACATGTTGTTATAACTTGTAGCATATCTCTATTGTCGGAACAAAACCTCGTATCTCCAAAATTGTAACTTTACAGGAGAAGGAAAAAACATACTTTCAGTGTAAGTCAATAGAACCAGGATTTTTTCCAGGTCATTTTGGGCCGTTTCTTTTTGTCCATTCTTGATATTTACACACAATGTAAAGGGCAATAGGCATTTTCAAATGATATCAAAACTGAAAAACGTCAAAAATGGAGATGCAAGGTTTTCTTCCGACAACAGCGATATATAACCTCATACAGTTGTATGCAAACTAACACCATGTCAAATTATATTATGTTGACTTTCTAAGTGAAAATAAGGTAACACTTACTCTACAGAGAACATTTTGGAAGAATATAAAATTTGCCGTAACTTTCGCACAGGCCACATTTTATGTCTTTTATGTTCACCTACCCATGCTGGGGTCACTTGTGGACAGGCTGTTTTGGTGGAGCTTCATGAGGTTGGAGGCTGAAGGCGCTGAGTAGGCACCTGCTGAAAGGCTGGAGAAGGACGGTTCAGCAACACAGGGAGCTGCCTCTGCTTCCATGTCTGTTGAACAGGTTTAGAAACAGCGTGTCAGAGTCTTGATTTGCTGAACTTTGGGCATGCCTGGTTCATCAGTGTACCTGCGTGCTCCCCCTGCTCCTGCTGGTGGTGCTGGTGGAAGAAGGCCTGGACGCTCAGTGTCTGTGGAAAAGTCTCAGCGCAGTTCGTCATAGCAGAAACGCTCGCCTGAGAGTTTCCCCGTCGCCTTCCTGCTGCCTCTGAACTGCTGGACACTTTACACAGCGAGTAAACACACCTGGTTACGTAACGCTGGATGACGTAGCAGTTCCCTAATGATAATAAGGGACGAAGGTAGATTTAATGTAAAATAATTGCAAAAGTTCTGAATGTGGATCTGTTTTCCGCACAACGAAGGGTCTCGCCCAGCAGCTGTTAAAAACCTGCTGTGTTATGATCTAAGCTCTCACCACTTTTGGAAAACTAACCTTTGGACGGTCCTATTTGTGCAGCCATGAGGACTTTTGATCTACTTATCGTTTAGATCCAAATGTCCAGCATGTTTTCTGTCCAGCTAGTGACTCTGATCAGCAATATTCCTCTGATAGTTTGGCAAAAAAGAGGTTTAAAATTAAGCTTTCACTTCCTCTTCTCCTTTGACTCTGACATACTGAAGTTAAGAGGCACTACCGTCGCTAAACTAACATTACATCAAACCACAGCTCGTTTTGTTCTCCCAGAAATGTCTACCACAGCCCTGAGTGCTGTTAAATACCAGTCGTCCATGAACGGCTCTTACCGCTGCACTTGCTTTTCCTGAGTTTTCTGAAAGGACAGCTCTCTCTGATCCTCAGCATGCAGGCGCTGTGCTTCCTTCTCCCCGAAGAGCAGCTCATACTATCGGCCACAGCTTTCTCTCTTTACTCCCAAATGTTGTTTTTAGTGAGGTTTAGCCTTGATTCTGTCGGAGGGTCAACCGTCCCGCGTTTCTCTGTAGTTTGTCGAGGAAAGTAAGCGAGGATTTTTGCCCTCCGACAGAGCCGTGACCTGTAACCCCGTCTAACAGGTTCAGAGTTTTGGCTCGAGTGAGCTGAAGCGGTGAAATCATGTCGAGTCACAACACATCTAAGGAACTACTATTAAAAAAAAAAAGACAGACACGTCATTGTTGCAATCTGTCTTTATGTCAGCCTATAGGCTAAAAGCTTATTTCCAGTTTATGGTGAACTAGAGAGAAAAATGTATCTACATTCACAGTTACAATTCATGAACAACTTATGTCAAACATATTTATGCTAATAAAGTAAAATTAACAAGGTGAACCATTAAACTACAATGTAATAGACTCTCTCCAAGACTATATTAGTTCCATATAGTGGCCCCAAAAAGCATTTGGACATTTGTGCCATCGTATTCAGAAACAACATGTCACACCAGCTAGTATTTATGTTAAATAGAGCATTCTATGACTGTAACTTTCTTTTTTTTATCAAAGTTCTTTTTCACAGGCATATGATGTGTTTCGGATCATTATCTGAGTAGTATCTTCACAGACCTCTGAGTTCACTTCTGAGTTCATAATCCACCCATGAACACAAGATCATTGTAAGAAACAGCCCCAAGCTTTGTTTTTTCCACCTGTATTTTGCAGAACCCTTCAGCCTGGTTGGACTTCTTCTGCAGGTGTTCTCCACACAGAGTCTACCACCAGTCTAACGTACTGAAAGTGTTTGTCTCTGAACTATAATCTTACAAAATAACCTAAAGAACTGCATTAAAGCATTTTTATCTTTGTTAAATGGTTAAAATATCCAATCAGCTTTTGGGGCCACCGTATGCTGTAAATATAACTGACATTGTAAGGAAACAAAAATAAAGCCAGCAGATGTGGTTTGTGAGAGCAGCAGTAGTAGGAGTTGTGCAAGTTCAGACAGACACAGAAGGCTTAGTATCAGTGTGGGAGGACAGAGCACCTAAATGGATATAAAAGCTCATATACAAGCTAGCAGAAACATCTGAATAGCCTTGTTTTGTATAGCTGAAACACAAGCATACTTACAGAAGGAAAAAAACATTTAAGAGCGCTCTCATTTTCTTCAGAAATGTAACACCTTTGTTCTCTCTGGTTCTGGCGGTTTGGCAATTAAACTTTTCTTTCTACCCACACAGAGTCTGATAAATTCATCAATGCCATGTCTCCCAATCCCTCAAAAAAAAGAGTGAGAGAAAAAAAAAGAGAAATTCTGTGGAGAAATAAGTATTGGAAAGAAATGAGGACATTTTTTAGCAGCGTCCTCAATCCATTTTCTTTCTTCTTTTTTTTTCCCCTTTTCTTTCTCTTTGCAAAGTCAAAATGGATTATCCTCACAAAGCACTGGAAGTGCATTCTTATTTTTGACAATTCAATTTTATATATATGACCAAAAATTCTTTACTCTTTAAATTACTTTACATTACTAACCTTTGTAGCTTAATTAGGTTGGCTACCTAGCATGTTTAAGTCGTTGAAACGTTTTCCACTTACATCCTGCTCAGTAGAGGACATTTGTAAGAGACTGGTCAGCAAAATTAGATACTGCAGCCCATATACAGTTTTCACTGTGACAGCATTAGTAAAGGAACTGCAACTGTAAATATTCACCTACAAGTAAAGGTAAACTTACTTGCACTGTACAATACAAAATAACAGAAGTAGTAATAATAGTAAAAGCACTAAACCCATGAAATTTCTGCTCAGCAGCCCATTATATTTGTACTACTGTGTCAAGCTATTTGACCAGACCATGGATAAGTCACTTCAGGGAAGCTCCACAATCCACGCAATACAAAACAAATCCACAAGAAAAAAAAGTCTTGCAATATTTTCAAACTACACACAGAAAGAAAGTGGTATTGACATTCTTCTAACTCTGAAAGTATAGAAAAAAATGAATGCCAGAAGGTTAAACCACCTTTTAAACCTGTAGTCAGAAACCTTTACTTTTCTACCCTCTACCTTGTGTTAATTTTGAAGAACCTACTGTAACTGATTTGTTCAAATCTAAATGAATTATACCCCAGCGTCTATTAACTGTTTGTTCATAACAATAATCACTATGATAAAATCAAATACTATCTCTGTAGGAATAGTCTTGCCATTTGCCTTAGTTCAGGCAGTTAGACCTTTAAGTCTAAACAGCAATCCATCTAGTCAAACTCACAAATGCAAATAGGAAAACAGATTTGATCATTTTACTGTGCCGTTTAAACAGCTTTACACTCCTCTCCTACCATCCACCATCCTGTTTCTGCCCCACTAGAGGGCTGTGCTGAGGGTGGAAGCTTAATGTGGTCAATTTAAGTCTTGTATTGTATCAAAATGACTATTAGGAAGTGAATGGCCAGTCCTTTGCAAGCAGGCACTAGTTTCAAAACCTAGTTTGATTCGTAAGTGCTCTTAATAGGACAAGTGTCTGCAATGTTTGGGCAATCATTAGAAACTAAATTGTAAACCTAAGCCCCAAGGTCCAATGTGCAAATAACGGATTTGTCTTTGCCTATCTTTTCTGAGACAAATAAGATTTCTCTCAAAACCTCCTGCCTGCTTGTGTGTATACGGCTTTCATGTGGGTGTAAAATTAGCCTAATGAGATCAGAAACAGGCACACTTGAGTAAACTCCTCTCCATTCTTAGTTGGCGCTCCTCTAACCCCAGAACCTCTGCCTCTGCTCTGGAAGAGCTTCAGGAGCGTCCAGCTCATCCGGGGCGAAGATTGAACCAGCAGAGTCAGCCATGAAGATGAAGTAAAGGTTAGCCACCAGCATGGTCAGCATAGGCCAGAAGGAGAAGCCAAAGCCAAAAGCCCTTATGCTGCTGCCCCATGCAGCTGCAATCCAGTACACCAGCCTGCAGGGAGCACAAAAACAGTAGGTGAAGGTCTACATTGGTCAACAGGTCAACAGTTTGATGTTTATTTCATCCCCTCTGAAGATGTGTGCCAAATTAAATAAATAAATAAATACCAACGGCACTCTAGACTACACCCTTAAAAATAAAGATGTCAAAAAGCTATGCCAGAGAAGAACCACTTTTGGTTCTCTAAAGAAACCTTTATATGAATGTTTCCGTTTTTGCAAATAATATGAGCAAATAAGAAGATTTATTTAAAGGTATATAAGCTACACATAATTTTAAGGTTCTTTACCAATTAAAAGATTTTCCCTAGAAGCACACAACCAAGCTTAGAACCACTTAGGAATATATATTTTTAATAGTATATTTTTAATATTCTTTCCAGAAATGTAAAAGGTCTATCCTTGATAATGTTAAGAACAGGGTTTTCACCTAATCTTAGTCTACCACAGCTTTGCTTACTGGTGTGTAATTAATATGTTAAGTAGTAAGGGTCACATTACCTGCCGAAGGCGAAGATGATGGTGAGGAGGGGGACCAGTTTGAGTAGGTTCTGGCTCAGATAGGCAGCCATGACACCCAGCTGCAGGAAATACAGGAGGAAGAGGGAGACAGAGTCATCCACATAGCGCCGGTGCATGATCACCTGTTCAGCGTCAGTCTCTCCATCACATCGAGGCTTCAGGGAACGGTACCGCAGACGGGACACGCCCAGCACCAACACACCTGAGAGGGGGAGAACAGTGACAACTGAAGTCCGATTCTTGCTGGATTAGTTTACCCTGTGGAGTTTTTAAAGACAACATCCATGATTTTAATCCAGTACAAAATCTGCAATGCCTCTTTACATCCTGACATTAATAGTTCCAAAAATAATGAATTTCTGTAATTGGCTGAACTCAAAGTTCCCTCAGTGATAACAGTGGACCTCACAGTAACTTAATAAAAAATACTGCTAATATTCACACTGTACACCATGTTGTTATTAATTTTATTGACTGTCACACCTGACATATCTGGGCTATGATGTCCAGTCTAGGCTCTCTACAGTAATCATGCAAAACCTCTCCAGCCTGAACAGTGTAAGAGTAATGCCTTAATTTCTGTTTCAAATGAATCAACTCCATGTCGTTTTAGAACAGTCAGAAAAATTCACACACAGGTCACTATGCAACTTTTTCCTTACCAAGTACAATCGGGATGACTGCAAAAACTGAGCAGCGCAGTGTGTAGACCAGCCTTAGGGGGGCACTGTCCAGCAAAGGAGCATCAAAGGGCAGAAAAGTGTGGCCTCCCCATACCAGGATGGGGAAAATCAGAGCTGACATAAATATAGACACACCCATTTTCAGCACATCACGGCTTGTTCCAGTACATCCACCTTAAAAGGAAAAATAACTGATTGAGAAATTAGCATTTTTTAAAATTGCAGCCTTTTATTTTAAGTCAACTGTAGAGGCAGCCTACTACAGCAGTTCTCTGTCCTGCACCACTACTGCACATTTTTCTACATTACATTTCTACATTACATTGATTTGTTAGAGTCTATTTGATAACGCAAATATTTTACCCTAAATGTAGTCTATAAGCCAAGTGTCTGAAGTTTGCTTCTTTAGTTTGTCCCTGGAGATATAAGACTAATGTAGCAAACAAGTATTGAACATCTGTCACACAAAATCTTTTTAGGTGACATAGAATTTTGTAATATTAGCTTTGTAGCTCCAGTGCTAAACTTAAGAAGCAAACTTCAGATACCAAACAAGTCTTGGCTGATCAACTACATTTAAAATATTTGATTAAATAGAGAACTCAGAAGTATATCATTGTTTTTGAAACAAAACTTGTATCTTGTATCTTTTAATGTTGATTAACGTAACAGGACTTTATTGTATGTCCATTCATACTGAACTGTCCACACACTGTTTTCAAGTGATGTTGTTTTGATATTCTAGCTTATTTCCCTCCCACTTACAGCACTGCTTGTTGCTCATGGTGTAGTCATGGTAGTAATCATCTGACATAGTTGCCTGATGCCCGAGGAAAGGCTTTTTCTCCATGTTCTCCTCCCAGGAGACCACACTCTGTCTGGGTGGATCGGGCATGCTGGTGGAGCGCAGGACAGTCACACTGGGGCTGAAGACTCCTGCTGCTTTTTCTGGCATCGAGTTCAGCTCCTCCACCTCAATCTCCAAGTGTGCCACCTTCTCCTTCAGCTCTTTTTCGTCTGACTCACTCTCGCTCTCCGTCCTACTCATTTCTCCACGGACTGATGCGCAATCTGATTGCACACTTGCTTCCTCTGCTGCAACATCTGTTTTGCTGCTGTCTAGTTTCAGATCAGACCCTGCCTTGTTTCCCATCCCGCCAGGTTGATTAGTCTTATCTCCAGGACACTGCAGAGTGCTCGGCTCCACATGAGCACTGCTGACCATTCCGTCCACGTCTGTCTTCATCTTCTGCTCTTCTGTTGCCCAGTCAGGTGTGTCGGGTCCTGCTGTCAGTCCTAGAGGGGCCTTGACCACTGGCTCAGGATCTGCAGAAAGGGTCTCAGACATCCTGATGAATGAAGATGCGGTACACTGGTACGGCTGTCTATTCTGTTTTGCAGCGGCTCATTAAATATCATCGAAGGACATCTTTCAGAACAGTGTCCGTGGGATTACATGTGGCCACTCATAGGATTTCTTCCGTCTAAAATAAAAGCAATAAAAGAAGATTTCAGGGCAGTTGATTATAGATTTCTTCACAAGTACATTATGCGACAAACACAAACGTACAAATACAAACGTATTTTCCTTAGCTTTCTTTCTTTTTGTGAGTTCAGACAGTAACGTCTACATAAAATACTTAAATGGGACTAAAATGCTCTGACCATTGCCAGTTTGGAGTAATATCGACTCTGTAGGCTATCCAGTACAGCATTCCCCAGAAACTAAACTAACAGGGTTTTTAAACCGCACGGCTAGCACAGAAACTGTAACATGTGAGGAAACAACCAACGAGAAAACAGTCACGAGGCTGAAGTTGGCTTCCTATTTCCTAATTTTCCCGTTCCACCTTAAAAGGCGCAGCAGGTACATTCAGGCAACCTGCGTAAGCAGTGTGGCCTGAGGCGCGCTGCTGCACTGTTTTAAGGTGGAACGGAAAATTCGAGCATGAACCTGGCGAATAGGGAGACGACTTCAGCCTCGTAAAACAGACTATTCATTTGTGTTAAATAAAACGTCAGTGCCTTTTTAAATATAACAGGCCTTATGTGTATTTTAAACCATTAATATACGGAACATTTACCCAATTTAAAAATCTCGGTCTGTAGATTTACCGAACTCTGACAGGCCTAACGTAAATAAAGCTCAACACGGAAGTAAGTAAGGTGCCATGGCCTCTCCGTTAACGACAGTCAGACATTCCTCAACAGCCGAGGAGAAGTCAATACATTTACTCTCTACTCACCTAAAACTCGGCAGAAGACAGGAGAGCGGCTTTCCTCGAGGCTTGGTCCGTTTTGTCCGACGAAGTTTGCCTCACGTAAGTATTGTTTTGGACTTTCCGGAGGTGGGAGCTCAGGTGTGTCCAGGTAGCTTTAAAGGCGTAAGCTCTTAAAGGGGAGGTTTTCTCTCCCTCCCGCTGAAACCGAAAGCTCTGACTTGATGTGGATTTCTGTAGTTAAATTCAGTGAGGAGTTTAGAGGAGCCTGAAACCACACTACAGTGCTGTTACTTAAATAATGGCTCTAGTAAAAAGAGCTACTAAATAACTTGAGTCGGGGGGAAATATCAGGTCCAAAACTCGTAGTACATATAGCATCTGAAGCTTTTTTAGGCTGTTTTTCCTCTAAAACAAAAAATAATAAGCTAAAGCTTCAGAGAGCTGTGAGCAACAGCACAGCAGTCCAGGAGCTCCAACAGAACATAATTAAACAGAATGTTTTTCACAAAAAGAGTTAGAGAGTAAGTGTTAATGACTAAAATGGAAGTGAGCATAAAGTAGATATTCTTTAGTCTAAGTAAAAGTATTATAACTTGAAAATCTAAATCTAAATCAATTTTACCTAAGTACATAGAACTGATGGCACTGAATTAGTCTACCCACCTCTGATTAAAGTAAGACAACCCATTGTGTATTTCAGTGCTTCATAAATATCCATAAGTATTTCTTTTCCTTAATCATTCAGATGATTAATTACACTTGCATGTGAGATTCCTTTACTATCTCAGTAATTCCAATGAATTATGGGTGGAATTGCTTGTACATCTCTCTCAAACTAGAAACAAGTGAGTAAATTCTATGCGAAAACTATGAAACAATGCAGCAAATATTTGTTTTGTGTTCTATAAATACCCAAAGCTGTTTTCAGTTTCTATTACAGCATGATGACCATGTTGACAGTCACAAAATTAGGCCCACCACTGACTTGTTTACTATCTAGGCAAAGTACATGTTAATGTAAGAAGTGTATACTAGTACATAATCTTAGCTGTTGTGTAGTAACAATATAGCATTGCTTGATTTTTAAGTGAATGTTGGAGTTTCAAAACCCAGTTCTTCACTATGACCAGAGAAGCCATGAATGAAACATTGAAATTGTTAATGAATGACAGTTTCCTATTTTGTCTTACAATAAAGAAGGGCTTTGCTGCTCATAAGCAACAGGAAAATACCATTTAGAGCATTGTCACATATAGAGCATTATCGTTAAACCTCCATTTACACAATGTGTCCAGACGTTAAATAACAAACAGAATGTGTAATTTAATGAAGTGGCGCTCCTCTTCATACATTATATGAGTCATTACCCTCTCTGTCATGATGGGCTAAATAAACTGGCTCCACAGCACTGACACGAGTGTTAAACGTCCCACTGGGCCGTGGTTCTGTAAAATGGAGCTGTCTCTCCCGCCCTAAATGGGAGCGAAGGCACATCTGTAAATGTTGACATACAGGGATGAAGATGGATCTGTTAGGTTTGGTTTCCCTGTAGCTTTGCAAGAGCCTCTGTCTTCAACAGCACCGCTGAGATTCTTTATTAATAGAGGTCCTGTAGTGTTAGTTCTCATTTCTACAGGTAGTGATGGAGGAATATGACTGAGGACTTTCCAGTCTGTGTGCAAATTGGATTTGTTTTTACTGCTGGATGGTGTCCTTTCTTAAATAAGCATGCTTTGGCTCTGAGTGTATTGAATCAGGAAAAGAAATATACCTTTCAATTGATACAGTAAAATTACTTGAACCAAAAATCAGTAAAAAAGTAATGATCTCACATCTCTTACAAAAGTCGCATGAATTTCTCATGTGGAAAAAACTTGTGGTTTTGGCACTTTTCGTGTGTTAACAGGTCTAAAGACATGTGAAATATATGTGACTTTCCTGTAAGGGATCATCCAGTCCATTAAACAGTCATTTAGAATAGAGACACTGGTGCAAAATGTCCTTTCCACTTTTTGCAATTATGCGACATAAATGTGGGGGTCACAGGCATCACAAAAGGCACATAGCCTATTTTACTGATGTCATGTTTTGCGAGAGTGACTTTTCCCTAAGATCTCCCACACCAGTTGTATTGCATTGTCACTGTGTCTTTCTGAAAAAATGTCCACCTGTGGAGGGCTGGTTTGTCAGAAGACATCTGCCATCTGAAGCAGACCATTCAGTTACCTCATATGAGGACATATTTCTGTATTTTTCCTATTATTACCTTTTATTTATTATACCTTTCTTAAAGAATTAATTGTATTTTAGCAACAAAAAGAAATCCGTCACCGTAAAGGTCAAGAAACTGAAATGAATATGTTCTAGAAAATACATGACATCATTCCTGTTAATAATATTTTTTGTTTTTGTTTTTCAGTATTGATTTACAAGCCATTAGATATATTACTGCTGTTGGAACAAAACCTTGTATCTCCATTGTTGTCATTTTTCAATTTTTGACATAATTTGAAAATGCCTGCTGCCCTTTACTTTATATATAGATTTCATGATAAATGGACCAAAAAAAAAAACGAAAGAAGAAAGAAAAAGTCTGGTTCCATTGACTTACATTGAAAATAAAGCATGTTTTTTCCTTCTCCTGTAAAGTTCTCATTTTGGAGATATGAGGTTTTGTTCCGACAGCAGCGATATGACAGTATGGTAACTCCAACTGCATGTGTACTTTTTTCACTTAGTTGACTTATATGTTGGTGCTGTTCAAGTGTTTTTATGTACCTGCTGCTGTAACAGCGTAATTTCCCTCAGGATCAATGAAATTCTATCTCTATCTTGTCTATCCACATCATGTCTTCACTCCAGGTTTTTTATTTTATTTTTTCATTTTAAAACATTAAGTTATGAAAAGGTACAAAAATGTACTATTGACCCAAGAAAAGCTTATTTAAGGTACACAGTTGGAGATCTTAAGACCATTGTTGGACCTTTAGGGATATAATTACATTGTTTGTACCTTGATGAACAAAAATGTACCTGTACATTCCCTTTTTTCTAATTTTGCTAAATCTTTTTTACACATAGCTTCTTAAAGCATGTTTGTAAAAAACAAAATCTAAGCGCTGTGGGTAGCACAACCTAAACACGACACACCCAACTCGAGAGCCATCCTGAAGTCATTCAGTCATTGAGAGAAATACATTTATCTTTATTTGGAAACAAATATAAAAAGCACAACAAATGCAAGACCCACTTGTGGACCACATGGCACATGGTCTTTCTGAAAAAACTAGCGTCTGTCAGCATTAAGTATCTAATAGATCACACGCACGCGCACACACCGCTCAGCTAAAACACAAGGTGCATTATAATGACGACCGTCATTCCCCACAATAGTGCGCTGTGGCAACAACTGTCCTCAATAAGGACAATTTAAAACAGAACAATCTCACCTTTACAGACCACAAATCGGTAGCTAGTAGTAAAATGAAATAGAAACAGGCACCAAAATGGCAAATTCTGATCTGGTTTGCACAAATGCACACATTTCTTGCTTTTGTGAGCTTTTTTTAAAGCAAAATAAAACATGGAGTTAAGCTAACCACGGCTTTGCACCAGAGAATTTGCGCAAACACTAATGCACTGATAGCCTGTGCACAACATTAAAAATTCACACCAGTTCATCTCAGTATCAGCAAAAAACTGTTGAACGATATGCACAACATCAGACGCACCCTATTAAAGCACACTGCAGTTAGAGTGAGAAAGAGCAAGAGAGAGAGGGATAGATAGACAGAGAGAGAGGGGAACTCGTCAAAGTGCTCGTTCAGATGCCCAAAGAGGGTGGTTGGTCATTACATTGATTGACATTTAGCTTAATAACAGCAAGGCCAGTTTTTTCCTGGCAGCTCTGTAAACACACTGAATCATAAGGCTGAAAGCTCAGGACTTTCTCAACAAAGAGCTCAGAGGATTCCACAGTCCCTAAACCAAAGCACTTTATAATCCTATCAAGGTAGTATACTAATAAATTCAGTAAAGGATTAACCTCATTTTGAAAAAAAATAAATAATAGTTATTTATACACTGCATGGACAAGAGATAAGTCCGCCAAATAGCTCACCCAAATGGCCTGTGTCAGGTAATTGGCTAGTTTTAGTTACGGATGTGTCATCGCTAATACTTTTCAGAGGAGCTGGACTTGACATCACTTAGCTGTGGTGAAAGGTGTGAGGTATAGTGCTGGCAGTGAAATATCCAATAAGAACAGACGGAAGAGATGAGAGGGTTTTAGAATACGTGACTTGTAAAAATGACACATGCCACCAAACACACACTGCCAGCACGGTACGGCAGTACCATGCAGATGTTGAAAACGGTGAGGTAGCCATCGCATGGCACCATGACACAAGTAGAGTCCCTCAGGCGATGCGGTAGTCAAATGTGTCTTTCTCCATATAGTCTGTCCATGTGGAGGAAGGCATGCTGCTGTAGGGGTCCAGCAGGATCCGAAAGCAGCGCACAATCAGCAGGCCCAGGAAGATGAAGAGGAGCAGCACAAAGACGAACGCTGCCTTCTGCTCCAGGGTGAGGAAAGGGATGGGCTGAGTGGCCCCGGACGCAGACAGCGTGCTGCTGTGGAGGTGCTCCGCCATCCTCAGCCTTGCACACGCAACTCCGTAAACCCACCAGCCTCCCTCAGCGTGGGCTCTTCATGGCGAGCCTCAGATTCAACAAGTCCCCTGTTCAGAAGCATTTTACATTCCATTAGCTTAGGAAAAAAGAAAACAATATTGCAAAACACTATGCAAAATGTGGTCAGGCTCCCTTTTTGGAGAATGAAAATTCTAGAATGAACAAGATAACTAAGAGCACAGAATGTCCTGAGCTTTAGACTGAACTCAGTGGTCTTTATCATCTTGGCTGAAGTAGTTAAGACATAAAGAACATGTCCTATAGAAAATTATTCTACTCTATTTAGATACTCTATTCTATTGATATTCTACTTGAGTGAAAACACGTGGCTTCATATCTAATGCCATATACCTGCTTATGTAATTTCAGCATATGTTGCCATGCACTCAAGGTGGTCATTAACGTGGACCCTATGAATGATCAGCATACATTATAAACACACATCATGGTAATTGGCTTCTTCTCTGATTGTCCTTATTGGCACAGTCCCTTCACGTCTGCACATCTGTAAAGAATTCAGACCATTTCGAACTGCCTCAAATTTCAGTGGGATGGCATGAAAAGGGCAACATGCTATTGTCATGTCATCCAATTGAAATGTTCAGCCCTGCTGGTGGTCAGTGACCCTGCATCGGTGCATTTCTTTGATGTCGGTACCCAAGAACAGAAATAAGACCCCTGGCACTCCCTGCCATATTTCATGTTTTCGTAATGTAGGAGTGTTTTGAATGTACCACACGTAACTCTCAAACTCACATAACTGTCACAGGATAAAGAATCTCACTATAATCCCACATGCAGACATGACTTTACATGTATACACAGCACAAATGAAAGCGTAACTGGCACCCATGTGCCTTCATGTCTGTGTTAATAGAATTATATGCAACATGCTCCAGCGTTTGTCTCCCCTTCTGTATATTTTTCACATTCACTAGCACCCATACTATACATCCTAGCAGCAAATAGCTTCAATTAGGCTTGTAAACGTATGGAGTTGAATGGATGTGAGCTCCATGTTCTGTTCCACTAGCAGTCTGGAGTGCAACGGGAGAATCACTCACTTACCTGTTGTGGAGGAGCAGCTAAAAAAGATCCGTCAGAAGCAGCAGGCAGGCGGACACCGAAAATAAACGAAGAGGGGCTGGTTTTCCATTATGGCTGCCTGCCTGAAGCCATATGTCTTCTCAACTTTTTAAAACCCCAACCCCTCGATTCATTCAGGATTCAGAATAATAGCTTCCCTTCCTTGCTTGCATCCCTGGCTTTTGTTGTCCAACTCCCTCTCCCCCCAGCAGATGAGTATGTGGTGGTGTCACATCACCCATAGCAACCAGTTGCCATAGCAATTTCTCCAAGTGTGTTCGGCGAATGCTGGGCGAGCGAGAGCGATGTGTGATCCAACTGAGGCTCACTGCAAATCACTGTTTCACTGGAGCATGAAGATTCAATAAGGGCTTAGAGATGTGTCATATCAACACATGCTAAATATAGTCGTCATTTTCAACTTTAGCCTTGACCACATTAAAAATACATTTCCATTTGCTCTCTCTCACATGTTGGTTGCAGTAGTACTCGGGGAGAAAGTCACATTTTTTTTCACTGTTGGCCAAAAAAAAAAACTGCTAAACGATTCAGAAATATGCAACAGCAAAGCCTATAATGCATGGAACTGCATGCATATCTAAACACCCTGGTATCCTGCATCAATAGCACTGGTGACCACTTCATATAAAGCTAGCTGTTAAAACATAGATGCTGGGGAGGCCACTTTTTCATCATTTGAATACTAAATGGAGAAGCCAGTAATGGTCAGAGTTTTGGAATTGAGCTTTCTATGAAATTTAAAATCTGCTATGAAATGACTCTTTCTGTGCTGTGCTCTCCTTTGGGTTGCTTTTCCTTGAAGAGGAGCAAAACAAACCCAGCATGATTATTCTTGTAGAATACTCATTTAAGCACTATCCTTCATCTTCTTTCTAATTATAGTTGGTGTTGATAATATCAGTGCGTAGGTTAAGGCTGCTTGACTCCAACTGCACAGTTTAGTGTCTCAGACACACCTAATCTCAGCCATGACTGCACATTTGCTGCTCCTCTCTCCTTTGCATTTTGTCACAGCATATGTCTAGAGTATGTGTACAATTTTAATGACTGTGAGTGTTCTTGAGAAAATTTGTAATAGTTTTGTAAATATTTCAGTAGGGAGGGAAGATGATGGATATTGTGGTGTCCAAGCAAGAGACCAGCCTTTCTTGTCATAACACAGAAAGCTTGCGTGCACCAGCTAGACAGAGAGGGGCAGCTAATTAGATTTGCTCATTTTGGACCACTTTTTATGATCACATATAATTGCTGATGCATGTTACAAGCTCAGTAGCTTTCTATTGCGTTTTAAGAATATAGACTTTGTAGTTTCCATCAAATCTGAGTTAAAGCAGGCTCATGTTTAAATACATTTTTCATATATTTGGATTTTTGAATTGATTGGAACCCCAACAAGACAGGGTAAATGATTAATTTAACAGAAAATTGCACAGAACTAAATATAATATCAAATCAGCTATTTCCGTATTTAATGTGATCACCATTGTCTATACTATATTATCTTATTTCTTCCATTCTTTTTGGGAGACTTGCTTTCAGTTTTACAAAAAAAAAATCTGCAGGGCTATTTTTTCACACCACTACAGTTAGAGTGCTTGGAAGCTGGTCGCATCATCTCACGATCCAAGTAATCCTAAACACATTCAATGATGCTGAGGTCTGGACTCTGGGCTGGTCAGTCCAATGTTTTGAGAACACCAGGAGATTCTTTGTTTGATTTACAAATGAACTTTCTGTCATTTTTCTGTTTGCTTCCTTTTCTCAGTAACAGCTTCTTGACAGCTACACATCTTTTCAGATTCATAGTTTTTGGTTTTCTTTTCAAAGTAGAAGGATGGACAGAAACACCTATTTTTTTTTTTTTTTTTTTAGATCTGAAACAAGAGTGGAGCTTGATTTTCTCCTCTCTCTCAAAGACGAAAGCTTTAAGTACTGTTTATCTGATGGTGACAGTTTTGGTGGTATATCAGGTCTTTCATGGTTGTTAGGAGACCCATTTTCTGAATACCTTGGAATCATTTTATGAACTACCATTTCAGAAACTCCTTGTTTTCCATGTATATTCCTGTGACTTTCCTCTTCCTTATGCAAGTGGGTTATCTTATATCTCTTGAAATTAATTTGAAATGTATCTCAACTTGTTCTTAATGCAGCACAAATATTTTTGTTAAATCTGAAAGAAGTAGCATTACTGAGTATGGAGAAAAAATAGCACACTTAAACATGCTGTGCATGTACAACTGCAAGTCACCCTGTAAAGCCTGAAATAATCATTTAAAATAATCATGTTAATATGTATGACCATGTCATACATATTAACATCACATGCACAGGCTCAAAAAGAAAGTCCAGCTCAATGTTTAGGTCTCAAATGCAAAATCAACATTGTACTGATGAAGATATGATGACAGTTGACAAATCACTTATATCCTCAGAGAACACGTCCTTCACCAAGTTTTGACTGAGTTATCTCCAAATACTCTTTCAACGCACTTGCAAACATCAGAATCATCTGCTTGTTGGAGTCCGAAGCACAACCAACATTATGAAATGTTCATCCACACAGTGCATGCAATCACATGTTTCCACCTGAGAGGTCTCCAAATCTTCAAATCCTACATAGTGTTGCTTTAATGGCTGTTAGATGGAAAATACATAAATGAAAGTGCTCTCTGACTTTTGCACAGAACTATGTAAGACAATTGTGAGGGCAAAGTTCTTCTTCCATTTAGCTCTTTTATTTACAAGAATATACAAAGTAAAAGCACTTCTCAAGTGCAGAAGTCTGTCCTATACGACTATAGAGAATTTAGGACCACACCCTGACTGTGACAGGAAATCCCTAAAGATACAGCTGACTGCAGTTTCCATTGGAGGGAGAGATTATGAAATTTCTCTCTTTCTCATCACTATGTAACGTATTAACAGGTCAGGCATATGAATGTTAATGCAGCTCTCCTTTCTTCATACGGTCATTCTTTTCATTATAGATTCCAGTCAGGTAAAAATACTTTGTCAGCCTGAATAAGGTCTGCCATGATGTCTTTTTAGCAAAAGAGAGCTGGGAAATTTATTTAAAAAAGAAAAGGAGCAGCTAATGATGACAAATTTCAAATCTAACTCAGCTCTAACTCACCTTGAACAAAAGGACAATAATGGAAGAATGCTGTTTATTGATCTCAGTCCAGTATTCAACATCGTCATACACTATATAGACAAAGGTATGTGGACACCTGACCATCGCACCTTTATAAGCTTGTTAGACATCTCATTCCAAAACTATGAACATTAATATGGAGTTGGCCCCCCTTTGTAGCTATAACACACACTTGTCGGGCACCTTTCTACAAGATTTTTGAGTGTGTCTTTGGGAATTTGTGCTTATTCAGTCAAAAGAGCATTCATGAGGTCAGGCATTGAGGTCTTCAGTGGAGCTGGGGTCAGGGCTCTGTGCAGACCACTGGAGTTCCTCCACAACAAACTTGTCAAACTATATCTTTGTAGAGAACATGGTGGAACAGTGAAGGGGCCTTCCCCAAACTGTTGCCCCAAAGCTGGAAGCGTATAATTGTCTAAAATGTGTTTGTATGCTGTAGCATTAAAATGACCCTTCTAAAGCTAAGGGGGCAAGCTCAAACCCATCCTTAAAAACATCCCCAGATTATTATTCCTCCTCCACTAAACTTTACTGTTGGCATTATGCATTCTGGTAGGTAGCGTTCTTCTAGTATCTGCCAAATCCAGATTTGTGCTTCAGACTGCCAGATAGTGAAGCATGATTAATCACTCCAGAGAACGTTTCCAATTCTCTGGAGTCAGGTGGAGGCATGGATTAAACTGCTCCAGCCAACACTTGTCATTGTTCATAGTGATCTTACGCTTGTGTGCCTGCTCAGCCATGGAAATGCATTTCATGAAGCTCATAACACACAATTCTTTTGTCAGTGTTGCTTCTAGAGATGGTTTGGAACTCTTTAGTGAGGGATGGACGATTTTTACATGCCATGCACATCAGCACTCGGTGGCTTTCCCCTGTTGGTTTGCGTGGTCTACCACTTTGTGGCTAAGCTGCTTTTTCTCCTAGATTTTTGCATTTTACGACTGGGGTATATCTAGCAGGGCAGAAATTTCATGAACTGGGAATGCCGTGTTTAAAGTCGCTAAGCTCTTCAGTATGACTCATTCTAGTGCAGATGTTTGTCTATGGAGACTGCATGGCGATGTGCTTGATTTTATACACCTATTAGCAATGAGTACAGCCGAAAGACTTGTATTCAATAATTAGGAAGGGTGTCCACATACTTCTGGCCATACAATGTACCTCCATTGTTAATTACAAAGCTCAGAACATTTGGCCATAACAAGACAATGCAAACTGATCCTAGACATTCCTCACTAGCACACCCCAGGCTGTTAAAAAGGAGTCCCATCAATTTTTCAAAATGTCTGGATGATTCAATCTTAGGATGTAAACAAAGTCATTCATTTGTTTGATCTGAAATGGTCTATTGTAAAGAAACTTACCGATGTTTTATTTACAGTGGTGGTGATAGGAACCCGGGATCGCAATGCCTACAACACAAATACAGACATTTTATTTATTATCTAAAATGACCAGTGAACCTACATTGTCTGAGTTTAAACATACTTTATCAAGTGTTGATGAAGGTAAAATAGTGAAATCAGTTTTTTTTTCTTTAGTACTATTTTGCCTTACGATACTCTGCATGTACCTCTCTGCCATAAAAAAGGTTTTAGGGCTAAACTTTGGTTTGATTGTATATCAGTGTCTCAAGTATCAGGCAACATTCTTATAACCATTTTATGGGAAAGCTTTCTGTGGAGCAGCTATTAGAGGCATTAAACTGTTTGGACGTCTGGTTCCTATCACCGCTTTTGTGAGCAATTGTAACTCTGCAAGTTTCCCTAAATGGTGTATTTCACATTGAATGACTTTGTGCACATCTTAAAAATTAATCTACTAAAAACAAGTTGAATTCCCTTTTAAGCAAGGAGACTGGATTTAACCACACTCATGCACTGCTCCACACCATGTGTTGCACAGCATGATTCAGACTACATCATCAAGACTTTTGACACCTCTCTAGTTGTGGGCCTCATCACCGACAGCCTCATAGAGATGAGGTGAAACTCTTCACAGCATGGTGCATGCATAACAACCTGTTTCTCAACGTTGAGAAAACAGGCAAAGAAAAGGTTCTGACTGTCAACTTCAGGAGAGCACTAAGTGGCCACACCCCTGTAATCATCAACAGGGTTGGAATGGAAAGAGCAACCACCTTCATATTCCTTGGAGTGCACAGTGCAGGGGATTTCTCCTGGACCATTTTTTAAGACTTTTTAATGCCACTTCAAATGTAATTTAGGACGACATACCAAATAAAAAGACACTCTTCAGTGGTAACCCTGACCCATATGTATACTAGCTCACCAGCAGGTAACTTAATGAATGAATCTGTATTACGAGATGTGATGTGATGTAATTTACATTCATGGCATTTAACAGGCACTTTTACCCAGAACAACTTGCAGTTCAATCATGTTACAGAGGTAGTTGAAGGCAGAGTTAAGGTCTCTTGCCCAGAGACTCTTACTGGTATAGTGTGGTGTTCTTGCCTGAGCAGGGAATTGAATCTCAGTTACCCATTATGCCATACCAGTTCTTGTCTTAACTGTCTTACCTTGTCAAATCTATTCTAAAAAAAAAATAATTCAAATGACACCTATTTTCATCCTAAAGTCTAAGACCATGTACATTTGAAGTTAAGATACTTTAATACTTATCAGGGCCTTTAATTTTAAGGACTTGCGGACAACCTGTGAGAAAAATCAAGCAGTCTAGATACAAAGTGTGGAATGATTTTAATACAGCATCAGAAAATAAAAAAAGGGTCATTCAAGACATTGTATCATCTTTTAAAAACCAAATCACCAATACTCCCGATAGAAGGATCCTTCCAAGAAGTTCTCATTTACTTTCATCGAAACCATTGTCTGTGGTCAAAACTAGGCCTTCTCTATCATATCATTTTTGTGTTGGTTATAGCTTAGTTACATTTTCTTAGATTACTGTTTTGCACAAGGGCATAAAACTGAAGCCTTTTGTTTTGAACTAAATCTATAATTCCAAAACACTGTCATAGTAAAAACAAAAATACAGATTTTTGTTGTGATTTTTGTGTTTTTGCCTGTGTGAGAAGAGTTGTTTACTTTTAATATTAATAGCAGCCTGCCCAGGGACTGCAGATGAAAATTAGCCATATGGCTAGATCTGGCACATTTACAACATGAAATAGTGATGTGGATTCATGTATATTTCACCTGTTAAATAAAAAAAAAGTGAAAAAAAACAAAAAACAAAATCTGATCTTGACCCCAGAAGTGAAATTCCTATCATGAGGAGAGAATGCAGACCTGGAGTCTGGCAATGGCAATTTCAGTATTGCTGACCAGATGACACTAGAACAGTAGGCAGTAAAAACAGCTTAGTTCATCACTGGTGCTTCACTGTCACACTCAGAACGTTTATGATAAGGAATGTCTGTGAAAAGCTCACAACATCATCAGGGTCCCTGCGCACCCCACCCATGGATTGTTTGTTCCTTTTGCCATCTGGCAGGCAGTATACACAGCCCACACTACCTGCCTCAAGAACAATTTCTACTGTCAAGCCATCAACTTCCGAGGTGGCTTCCAGTCTCACTCCTAACTCCATTTCACTCCTACTGCATGGTACCTCTACCTCCTTTAAATCTACTAGACTACACTGTGATTGGGTTATGACTAACTAATTGACCACTTTGGAGCCATTTATCCCACACTCATGAGTCCCTGGAGCAGGAGTCTCAAACTAGTGGCCTGCAGGCCACATCCAACCCATGAGACAGCTTCATAGCACCTCACGTGTCCAATATGTATTCTGGAAAAATAGACTACATTTCAGTTTTTCATTGTCTGCATTTGGTGTCATCTTTAATGTCATAACACATCTATGCAAGTACACAGTTGTTTGCCTTCAACTAACTAGCCTATTTGTTGTATTTACAATAAGTCAAAGAACTCTAGATCTGTACTTGTCTGTCATTGATGGAAAATGCTAACCTGTCCTGGACAACTTAAAAGAAAAGTTGACTATAATGTGCTTAAATTCTTTTTTTTTTTTTCAAAATTTCTGTATAATAAAATGGTTAAGATGTAAAAGATGTTATTCAAAGTGGTTTGACGTGAAACACTCTGTTCTAAAGTAACACACAGAGTCAGAATTGTTCACAGTGGTGGTGATAGAAACCAGACGACTGAAGAGTTTAATGCTTATGAATACGCTGCCTGACACTGTTTTAAGACCATCTGAGATCAGGTTTTGGCATTAAATTCAAATTCTAAAATAAATTCATGGCAGGAAATTGTAAGCCAAAATAGTCCCCAAAGAAACCTTTTTTTTCAGATTTACCACTACTTCACCATCATCAACATTACATCTAAATACTCAGAAGTGGACAGTAAAATAAAATGGCTGAATGGCAACGTAGACATCACACCCCTGGTTCCTATCACCACCACTGTAAAGAAATCTAAGGTAAGTTTATCTAAAATAAACCATTTCACATCAAACCGTTCTGAATGAGGTTACACCTAACAACTGAATGATGCAGAATTTTAGAAAATTTTGTTCCCCTTTAAAATTCATATATAAAGCAAAATGGGCAACTTTTTCCTGCAGTTGTTCAGCTGCCCTTCCTTGGAGAAGACCAACTGAACTGAAAAAAACTGAAAAAAAAAAAAAAAACAAGGAAGGAGGGCTCCTACTTCATAATGCTGGAACTGAAGGTGCAGATGGTGCCATACCACCTGCAATTTGGGGCTATAAGAAAAATAACTGGTCAGTTTGCACATTTTAACATTTTAAATGTATACTAAGTTAATTATTGTGACCTGATTGCAAAATAGTAATAGATAATCTGTTAGTGTTCAACAGTGTATTTATTTTTGCAAAAAAATAATTAAATGTCCTGTGAGCAACCAGTTATTAGAAAATTATGAGCTGCTTCTCATTTACGGCCACATTTACCCTGCTTAAGTACAAATAGCCCACAGTTGTATATGTTTTAAGTATTTTAATTAAAACAACAAACAGCCCGTGCAGTCGAAGCCGCCTGTTTTAACTTTTACTCTTTGAATAATTGATTTTTATTTTCAATTTTTGATTTTCAATTAATACTGGTAATACTTATGGGTTTCGGTAATAAATATTTGGTATAAATTAAACCCAGCACGACTAACTCGTTTTCTGAAATACCAACCAGAGGCCCGGCTCTGATATCAGCTACTGGTTGCCCAGCGTCAGCGTACGTGCCTGCTCACGTGACCTGTGCGTGTGACGCGGACTCTGCGGTCGCTCCTGTTAAAATGTCTCTGAACTGAAGAATGAGCAGAAAGCACATTAGGAACTAAATAGCTAAAGCTCTCAATGAATTGGCAAAGGTAAATCACAATGCGTTTTGTTTGAACAATATATATATTCTTTCGCACGTCAGAATGTTATTGCTAACCTTTAATGAAATACAGCCTGTCATATTTTTTGCCACATTACTTTAATTCCCCTCGTCAACGACTGGCTAGAAAAACAGCAGCAGTGGTCAAATCAGCTGGTACAGTTTTGGGCGACTAGCGTTCATAGTGTAACTGGCTAGCTAGCCCGTGTACCACCTTTACGCTTTCAGCGTGAGGTTTATTGCCTTTTAGTGGTTCGGGTGTGCAAAGCTTGCTATCCAGAGTCAAGTCTTTGCCAATAACTGATACTCAAATACCCGCAGTTTGGACTCGAGGCTGTAAAAAGTGACTTAACTCGCTAGCTAGTGTTAGCTTGGCTAGCTGGCAAGGCAAGTTCAATGAAAATATGGCTGGCTAGCTAGCTGAAGCTGACCAAAACTAGGTCAAACGCTTTTATTCGCTTTAGTTGATTAGGAGGACCACACAAAGACACATTCAAAATCTTGCTGAGAGGTGAAATGTGTTGAGGTCGATGCAGTCACTGTAAGTGAACTAAAAGGCAGTTGTCTCTGTTAGTGGTGCAGTAGAAGAAACGTTAGCCAGCTACGAGCCTATAGGCTAGCCATTTTATCTAGCTCAGTAGCTAGCGAAGTTTTCATGCAAGTGGCTAAAAATATAAGTTAGAAGCAGTTATTCGATTAAAATAATGCTTGTAATGCATGTTGTGTGGAGCCAGCCTCATAGCTAGCTGACGTGGTATACAAATTAGTGTCTTAGTGTCGAAACTTGTTGCAAAGTAAAATGTTTTTCGTTTACTCAGTTAACGTTACTCAGTACAGGCAGGTCAGTATTCAGGTTTACTAGCTAGTTGTTAAATCGTTGCTTGGACGTCTTTTTGGTAGTTTTCTACAAAATGGTACAAATTCATAGACCCTGCAGTTGTATACTGCCTGGCTGGTCGTGCTTGCTAAAATATTCTTTTAGTCAAAAACTAAAACCTTTTGCTTTATTCGAGGAAAAGTGTCTGTATGTTATGCCGAGCTCAGCTCTGTGTCCTCAGAACAACTTTATTTTTGCCCGTTTGCTTAAATATTAATTCATTTAATAATCCACAGGCTAAGGGAAGTTTTGTGTCTTGAGAAAGACCTTAACATATCTTCTTGAAGATGAGCAAGAAACCCCCTAATCGACCTGGGATCACTTTTGAGGTTGGAGCCAGAGTGGAAGCTCAGGACTATCTTCAAAAATGGTATTTTTTCTCCCCTCGTCCCCACTTTTACAGCACATGTTTTTAAGGCATTTCTTATATATCAGGTTTTTCCATGTTTTTATTCAATATTCCATGTTATTGTTCAAAATTCAACATAGGTATCCTTCACGTATTGAGAAGATTGATTACGATGAAGGGAAGATGCTTGTCCATTTTGACCGCTGGAGCCATCGATATGATGAGTGGATTTTGTGGGATAGCAGTAGACTACGTCCTCTAGAGAGACCAGCACTCCGTAAAGAGGGACTCAAAGAAGAGGAAGACGTGTCTGTATGTCTTAATACTTTTAATTCTTTTCATATAGATACTCTTTTCATACAGGAGTACATAAATACCTTGTGCCAAGTTAGTTCTATTTTTGAGCTTAGTTTTTGTGTAGACTGAAATGTATAGGACAGACTTTGGACGATATGAAATGCAGAGGACGTTTCCACGTTCTCTCATCTAGGATAAGCTTGGTTACATGCCTCACAAAGACTGTTCTACATTATGTAGATGAGAAGATTTGTTCATTAATCTCATTAACAAGTTGTTAATGAGATTGTTAATTAAAATATTGTTTTCTTGCAAACATTTCTACCAGGAGAGACTCGGCGAGATGAGAGCATCTCGCCTGCGTGAGCTTCCTGGATGTACAGAGAGCACAGAGGACCTAACAGACTTGCCACAGCAGAGACAAGTACATACATCAGCCGCCGATCTCCCCTGATCTGGCTCTCTATTAACTGCTTGTCTCATCATTGTTTGGGTTTTTTCCTCCATCAACTACTGCAGAAGCCTTTAGGTTTATATAAGCTGTCATCCATTTCTGAAGACCATAACCTATAAAGCCTGCTCCAGCTTGTATTTGTAGAAGTAAATGATTGAGTCTGTGGGTTTACATTTCCATTGTTCCATTAGATATTTCTTTGTTCAGTGTGCCGCATCGTGCTTTGAAATGTTGAATGCCAAAAGAGTAGTGTGAAAAGTTCATGAAAGTCACTATAACTCTTACAGTATAAAATTAGGTTATGTGAGTCTGAACTGTAATAGAATAGGGTACTGATAGAATGATGTTATATAATCAGAACTTTTTGCTCTCTTTTTGGGCTTTACTTTCGTGATAGATTCTGCATTTTTGAAAATGAATATTTCTCATTTTATGGAAAAGTGTATTCTATGTAGTTCTTTATGAATGTTTGTTAATAATAAGTGAAAGAAATGCAGTGAAAGTATTTCTCTTTAGTGAGAGGAAAAACATTTCGCCTAAGTGATCTTGTATGTCTGCTTGAATTATAGGAATTGAAGAATGGTGAGGAAGTTCTTGCCCGATGGACTGATTGTCGTTACTACCCTGCCAAGATTGAAAGTGTCAACAAAGAGGGCAAGTGACGTTTCTTGTGTCTTATAAACCTTGTCAATGAAATATTAACACACATGTCTAATAGGGCACAGGTAGTGATGGTGTTTTTAACAAGAAAATCTTTTGATTCACAGGAACCTACACAGTTCAGTTTTATGATGGGGTTGTTCGCTGTGTGAAAAGAATTCATATCAAATCTATGCCAGAGGACGCCAAAGGACAAGTAAGTTGACAAATACATCTTTTAAAGCTTATGGCCCTACTGAATGATTTGACAGAGCTTCTTTTATTATGTACTACGTGCAGGGCAGTGTGTAGCATCAACAATATGTGGCTAAAATGCACTTTGTAAATATGTGTAATCTTATTGTTAACATTCTTGGTCTAAACTTAAAGCCTGTATATTGTTTCTCACTTCTCCTTTTTCAGAAGGTATACGTCAGATTGTTATTGAATTATATGATAGCTCAGGATACCCATCAGAGCAGCATAGAATTTCTAGACTTCTTTACTACAGACAGCCAGACAGCCGAGGGATGCTGCGTCCTGCTCAGTCCTACTGCATTTTCCTTAAATATAAGGAATTTATAATATAAGGCCACTTTCACACCTACTTTGTTTGGTGGACTTTTCATAGACACACATTTTTTAAATTCAAATTAACACACCATCCAGTCATAAAGATGCAAAGAGTAAGGTTTTTTTTTATCACTTTGATTGTGGTTCAAATATATATTAAATATACATGTGTATATTAAAATACAAAATAGGAGTAGGGTAATACATTTACATCATGAGTATGGGTGAGGGATAGATCTGAATTTGATACAGTGATAAGGTAGTGAAATTTACAAATGCTCATTTTTTAAATGTGAAAACAAAGTAAAAAATAACAGACTGCTTGTATCCTAGCCAAAATTCTGACCAGTCATCAAACATCTGCCTGTGTAATTTGGTGCACTTCAGTCAGTGCATTGTGAACCATCCGAACCAATTGAAACTAAAACTGTGGTTCGGACTTTAGAAAACAAATTGGGTATGTAAATGGCCTAAGAATGTTCCTTGGATCTGTGGCACAGAAACGCTTAAACTATGAATGAATTAAAAAACGTATGAATGCTTGCTCACCTTTTAAGCTGTGTTTTGTTGTTTATCCATCTTTAGTTATTTGTTTTGAAATGTGAATTGTGCTTTCAGCACAATATTTTGGAGGGAGAGTTTATCTCCTCCACAGTGCATGTGTAATAATATTTAAAACACAATCCAATGCAGTATTTTCCAAAAAAGTTGGGACAGGGGCATTTTTACCACTGTGTTACATCACCAACTTCTTTTAACAACGTTCAGTGATCATTTATGAGCTGAGGATACAAACTGTTCTACTTGTGGAAATGGATTTTTTTTTCTCATACTTGTTTGATATAACTCTTCAGCTGCTCAGCAGTCCACAATGCCATGCTGTCATAACACTTGCAGATTGCATTGTCTTGCTGAAACAAGCAGTGGCATTCCTGAAAAAGACATACTTTAGATGGCAGTATGGCAAAATGCAAATATACTGCTCAGCATTCATGGTACCTTCAAAGATGTGCAAGTTACCCATGCCATTGGCACTGACACCTCCCATACCATGACAGATGCTGACTTCTGAACTTTGCGTTGGTTAAAATTGGGTGGTCCTTTCCCTTGGTCCATTATTTCCCAAAACAAATTGAAAAGTTGACTTCAGACCACAGCACACATTTCCACTTTGTGTCAATCCATCTCAGATGAGCTTTAGCCCATAGACGTTGGTGGTGTTTCAAATTGATATATGGCTTCAGCTTTGTGTAAAAGAGTCTTCACTTGAATTTGTAGATGTGTATATATAACCATATTTCAGAAGCATGTCAGTTTTCAATGCAGTGTTATCGGAGGGACTGAATTTCTCCAGATTCTCTGAATCTTTAAATAATGATAATTATAATAATATAATAAATGATATAGACTGCAGATTATGAAATCCCTAAATTCCTTGCAATCATGCATTGAGAAGCATTGTTCTTAAACTGTTAGATTATTTGCTCACAATGTTTTTTGCAAAATGGTGAACTTGAACCCATCCTTGCTTGTAAACGTCTGAGCCTGTCCTGAATGTTCTTTTTATACCTAATCATAATAGTATCACCTGTTACCTGTTCACCTGTGGAAAGTTCCAAGACCGGTGTTTGATTATTCCATGAGCTTGCCAGTCTTACAGTGCCCCTGTCCTAATGTGTTTGAATGTGTTTGAGGCATCAAATTTGGAATTAGTATACATTTACAGAAATCATAGTTTATCAAAGTTGATAAAATATTAAATGTCTTTTCTTTGTGCTGTTGTTAGTTAAATACCTATAAAAGCTTATCAAGTTTACGTTAAAGTTTTTTACAAAGCACTGCTTTTTGTTTCTAATTGCATTTTTACTTACTGTCTCAGTTTTATTGGAATTGGATTTGTATTTTGCATATGTTTAAGGCTTATGTAAACCTAGGTAGGTCTTTTTTTGCAGTATCTGTTGTTCATTTTAGCCATGGTCAGTGACCTGTACTGTGTGTTGAAGCAGGATTGGATTGCCCTTGTGAAGGCAGCCTCAGCTGCTGCCAAGAGTAAAGGAGGGTGTAGGCCTCGCACTAGTGCCAACAGCAACAAAGACAGAGAGGACAGAACAGAGCTCAGGTTTGATGAGCTTGAAGATGAGGAGGATAACGACGCAGATTCTGACAGACTCGGTACTAACAGAGTTTCATGGTTAAATCACAGTTTTCTCATTGTGTACATCTTTGTGTAGTGCCACCATCAAACATGTAGCCCTTTACAATATGTTTTTGCAGCTTTATTTACATATGTGTAAATGGAGATGGAAAGATGCAGTCTGATAGACATTGGCAGATGGTTAAGGCTAATGTTACCTTTAGCTGGTGGTATGAGTTTTTATATAATGATAAATGGTATCATTTATTTAGGGGGGGTAGTATCTGCAAGAAATGGCCAACTTCTTTCAACTGTAGGGGATTATGCCATCATAAGATCTTTGCTCTAATCATGTGTCTGTCCCCTTGCCCTATTAAGCCTCTTCTGATGAAGAAGACTGTAAGCCTTCCCCTGAAGAGCTTGAGATGGCTAAAACAAAAAGAAGAAGAAGCAGACAAGGCAGTTTCTGTAATGTGAAAAGAGCTCGCCTCAACAAAGTGGCAGGTAAACTTGAGCTTGTTAAAACAAATTTTACTCACAATATATTACCTTTATATTTACCAGCTAAGTGATGGTTCAAGTGTGTCTGATGTGTCAAAAATGTTGATATTTTTTATGTATGCTTTTTACTTTTTTCCATGGTCTAGGATGCTCCAAAAATGAGAGTGACAGCAAAGAAGACCTTCCAATATCTTCACAACAGGTGTGACTTGGCCTTTATAGGAAGTTTCAATTTTCTTTTCTAATTCATTCCATTGTTTTCAGCAGTGACAGAGCTGCATTTCAGCTAGTCTTTGGATAATTTGGTTTATTTTCTTTAATCATGTCACAGATTTCCTCACAGAGAGGTCCTCCAGCCAGTACCAGCCCAGGGGAGGAGGCAGCGCTGTCTGTTGTTGCCCAAAGGCACCCGGTGCCTCTCTCCAGCACCTCCCCAGGTACATCTCGGTCCAGGAGACTGAAACATGATTCTGGAGAGTCCACCATCAGCAGCACAAGTACAGCAGCAGAGCCCAACCCCTCACCCAGCTCTGTTCACACCCTCCCAGATACGCAAACAGGTGGGATTTCTTTTGTTTATTGACGTTATTGCTATACCATCTTGAACTTTAAAAACATGGCTCAGCATTTATTACTTTTATTAATATGATAGATTTAGATAATATTTAAAACATTCATTTTCTTGTAAGAACAACAGAAGAAAGTGTTACTCATTAGCTCATAAGCTGCTGACATCAAATGTAGGAAATGGATGTCAGTCAAAGAAACATCACATTAGATGTTTCTGCTGTAGACAAAAGTTTATGACATTCCTAATTTAGTCTCAATGAATGTAGCATGACTACACAAAAACATCAGAGTACAGGGATAGCTTGAGCATAGAATCAGGAGGAAATCTGTAACCAAATCTCTGTTCTTAGCAGCTTGTACCAACAATAAGTCCTGGATTTATTTTCTGGATTTAAGTTCTGGATTTATGATTATTAGTATGTGTTCCAAAGTTATGTAGTGTTTTTACAAGCAGGAACACACTTACTGCCCAGAAAAACTATAAACAGTTTGCTTAGATGGGTAAGACTATATCTATTGCTATCCACATCCACTATGTGAACTATTGTACATCTCATTCTGTGGCTTTTTTCCTGTTTGTTTAATACATAACTGGGCCATGGTTTATGACCGATTTAACTGCAAAAATGAATAGGTTCAGATCAGTGGTCACCAACCCTTTTCTGGGGGTTTACTTTTCTGCAGAGTTTACTTCCAACCTGCTTCTAAATTACTGCCCCTCTTACCTAACACTAATAATGTATCAAACCCAGCTATCAAAAACTTCTGAAGTTCATTGGCTAGATCAGGTGTGGCAGGCTGTGGTTGGAACTAGATAAGATGGGTAGATCTCCAGGACAGGGTTGGTGACCACTAGATTAGATACTTTGTGGAAGTAGCAATGGAGATGGTAAAATCAGGTGCTTAAATACTTAATGAAACATGCTCTTTTGGTGTCAGATAGTAAGTCCAAACCATTTAGTAACATTGACAGACTCATTCTTTTGAAGGTAGTACTGACTGTGCATGTTCCCTGCTATTAGGGATGGGAATCTTTAGGCACCTCACGATTCGATTAGATTATGATTCAGAGGGCTGCGATGTGATTATAAAACGATTATCGATGCATCTCGATGCGTCTTCTTTTTCTATACATGATTTCTATTTTCTTACTGTCTGAGGACTTGGTACTTTTAAAGCAAAGTATTTGTAATGATCCATAATGCATTTATGTCCGATATCTTTTATTAATAAAACAAATGGAAGTGATGTGGCAAGTGAACTGGAAGGCTCTCATTCACTGCTTTTGTTTGGAGACGCTGCTGCCACTCATCTGCGATAAAATGCGCTGTTACGGTGAAATAAGATCCAGTGGTGATGGCTGACCACGCAGCACATTATAGATCTGCGTTTTCGTTTATATTGTTTAGTCTATACTAGGACATTAACACACTGACACATACTGGACATAAATGTTGTGGCTCCCAAGGTGGTTTGATTTTTGTTGACAGGACAAAATGGCTGCTCTTAACATTTGTGTTGTGACTCCTGACCTAACCTGGCTTAATGCAGAGGGAGCCGGTTGGATTTCTCACTTATCCAGTAGTGTTTTTGTTATGTGCCGCCACAGACTGTCCGGGCGCTGCGCTTACTCACTTCCAAGTTCCGCCCTTTGCGTTCCGTCAACATTACGTTCTAAATTGAATATTTAGAAAATCGATTTTTGACGTTTGTGAATCGATTCAGTAACATCCACGTCCGTATCGCAATGCATCTAAGAATAGATTTTTTCCCTGCACCCCTACCTGATATTCAAAAGGATTTAGTAACTCTCAGTTTATGGTGGTATGTCTATCATACATATTTTATGTAGCATAAAATGAACATATTGTCTGGCCGATGTATTAAAACGGACAAGCCAAAAAGAATATTAATATGCATACCGTGACATGCCTTGTGTGCCCAGGGCAAGGACATTCTGCTGCTGAAGTGTCATGCTGTTATATCCGACATGAAAGTGTGTGGTTGTTCATTGCAAATAATTGTTTGTGTGCATCTCTCTGTGTATGTGAATGTAGCCACTCCAAGCTCTCCTCAGAGACGGAGAAGATCTCAACGCCTAGCAACAACCGTTGACCCAACCTTCCCCCCTTCACCACTTAACCGGGATTCCACCCACAACCCACCCCCGACAGACAACACTCAGAGAGCAGGTAGGAGAACCAGAAACGCAGCAAACAAAAACAGTACTAAAGTTCCGACCCGATTTGTTCCGACTCGATTTGTGCTTAACTTTTGTGTTCAGTTTGCCTCTGAAGATCTGAATGTAATGTGGGTTCTGCTAGGTTGTTCCTGCACTAGTGTTAAATGTTATTTGAGTGAAAACTTTAGATCTCTTAATAAAATGAGCATTCATGTGAATCAGAGAGCTAGTCATAAATATTCACGCGGGTTGATGACACAAGTTGAAATGCGACATCACATCTATTCAGTTAACCTGAAAGAAAGTACTGTGTAGCTCAGTACTTTTTATGACATGTTGATCTACTTGAATTGTATTAGTAAGTAGCAAAGTGTTAATGTGCCATAAGATCATTCAAGCTCTTTCATTATAAGCCATATTTCTGTATGAAAAATGATTTGTCATTCTGTTTGGACTGTGAAGTGAGTAATGGCTGTCTTATGCACACTTTGCAGCCACGTTCTTAAATTTGGTTTCTGTTATACTTAGTTTGAGTTTTTAAATATTAACAGCAGTAATGCTCCAATGATTCTAGTGCTGTTGACAGTTTGCTGTTCTTTCTTGCATTGATGTGGAATTAATGTGAATTCTGCTAAATCCCTCAAGGTGGCCTTTGGCTGACTTGCTGTTGTTGTCTGGTATTGTCAGCTACATGTTGCTCAAAATATTTAGCGCATTAGCCATCAGAGCAGATACTAAATGTGCTTCTGCTGTCTAAAACAGCACTGAATTTGACACTTAAAACTGAATATGTGTGCAAAGATTTTTCCTGCATATTTTCAGAAAGAATAGAAAGAAGAACATATAGTATAATATATATAAAAACATAGTATAATACTCCTTGACAAATAAATTTGCAAATATGACACCTTTGTCAGCTAATTTAAGTCCTCGATATTCATAGTGATTGGCCAACTGAACTTAGTCTTACAGTCAACAGTCTTAATAATCAAACCTCATTTTATTCAAGCAGTGGTTCCCTAGCACAGATTTTTTTCAATAAAGGATGCAGATTAAAAATATTTCCCTTTCAGAATGTTTGTAGAGTGGCCATTACTTAAATCAATTAAAATACCTCAGTTAATCAAGATTTCTGTTCATTTTTTAGATGATGGTGATAGCTGCATGGTGACTGCTGAATCAACTTTAAACAAGCCAAGTACAGCATCTCCCACCGTACATACCCCCTCAGTTTCTGCCCCTGCAACTGCTCAGTCTCCAGTTACTGAGAAGGAAAAGATGACTGACATGTTGCTAATAAATCATACGTCAGTAGGAGAGAAATCTTCACCTGTTGTAACAGGTAGGGTTGTGTTGGTAACAAAGAATAAAAACAATAATTTCAATTATGATCAGTTTTGTTTAATGGTTTTGATTAATCACATTAGTAATGAATTTTGGATAAGTTTTAGACTTGTTCATTTCAGTCATATTGTTATAAACACTTTGCAGTTGTACTTTACTGCAATTAATTTTTCTTTCCCGCTCTTGTTCTTTGTCTTACCTCTTGCTCTGTCTTCCTCTGTCTAGCTGCTGGTTTAAAAACTGCCTCCAGGACCCCTAAAGCCAACAAACACACCAGGGAGCCAAGTATGTACCTGCCATGTTATTAAAGTAGAGTTATGATAATGTTATGGTTTCAACTTAACCAGGCATGCTGAGGTATAGGGTTTAAAAAGCTTGTTCTTGAAGAAATTATTTAAAGTTTTTAGCCTTTTTTGGACTCTAGTTTATAATCTTTCATATGAGGAGTTTTTTATGTGCCACCTCACTGTTTGTTTTGCCAGTTATAAATACCAAACGATCTGATGACCCCACATCTTCCAATGAACCTTTGGTTGACCTGGACCACAATAAGTTCAAGTGTCAAATTCCTGGCTGTTCTAAAGCCTTCCGGAAAGCCAAGCTACTGGACTACCATCTGAAGTATTACCACAATACCGATAAGGAGCTGGAGAGTGAAGTGTGCTCACCTGAGAGAGGTGGTCGCACAAGGGCCACATCTGCCTCTGTACCCACCAGCACCCTAGTGGAGATACCAGACAACAAGAGGCGCAGAACAGTCTCAACTTCCTCCTGTATGTTCAGGGTGAAAGTTGGGGATTACGTTTTATATGTTGGTTCAACATTTGTTGGACATTTGTATACATAAGTGACATCTGTCTTGTTTTTCTCAGCCAGTTTTATTCATTCATTACAGTCTTAGTCATTAAATGGTTGTTGTTGTTTGGAATGAATATTTTGTTCTCACTTTTTTTTACAAACTTGACACTGCTTACAACAGTTGACATCACAGCTGTGCTGAGTTCTCCAATAGGTTTGACAGTGCTGCCTTCCTTTATAGCTCTGTCTCCACAAGGCCACATGCTATCGCTGGACTGTGCTGGTTCCTGCCCAAAGCCACCCAAGTTCTGTAAAAAGAAGCGATCATCTGCCTCTGTGAGCTCAGATAGCACTGAAGTTTCACTGCCTCCTCCTTCTAAAGAGAAGACATTTGAGAACTTCCATGACAAGATCCTCAAGAAGGTCATTGATAAGGACAAGCACCTGGATGCAGGTACATGAATCAAAGGCATCAACCTAAGATGGTTAGAAAGCAGTTAGTTGTGAGTGGATAGCAGTACACTTGGAGCAGAAAATGTTCTGTGTAGTACCAAAAAAGGGTTTTATCACTTGTAGAACTTTTTAGATCCATTTTCACAAGGATCTTTAAAGAACCAAATACATTATGTTTCTGTCATAGAGAAGAACCAATTATGCATTCAAATGTATTTTTTTTATTTTGACTATTCGCAGTTCTAGATATAACATTGCCTTTACTAAAGAACCCTTTTCAGGGAGTAACATACTGTTTGGGAACATTTCACTCCTGTCACTGACATTTTTTCATTGCATTATTGTGTCTAGCTGTCTTAATTTATTAATAATAAGTACTAGCCAAAGCATAACTTTATGTGGCACTTTATAATAAATACATAAATCTTTTTTTTTCAGGACTGTGTATAAAGACTGAGAGGAAATTCAAAATAGAAGATAAATGCCAGCTCATTGGTAACTTCTGTATTGTGGACTGCTCTGGTTTATTTATTTTAAATACTTTACTTTGTTGCCAAATATCTTCCTAAAACGTTTCATTCTCTTGTCAGGGAAAAAAGAGGGATAAAGAACGCAGAGACCGAAAAGAAAAAGACCCTTTCAAAATTAAACAGAAGAAAAAGAAGAAGAAAAAGAAGAAATCTAAGCAGCACTGTAAGAGATTTTTACTTTCTAAAAGCAGGTTGTAAGCTTTTTCATCTTTTCACTGTTTGAAAAAAGTGCCACCAGAAGTGAATATTTTGAGCATTGCACATATTTTTCTTCAGTGGGGCAATTTTTAAAAAGCACTTCGCTGCTGTCAGAAGAAATCCTCGTGTCTCCAATTTTGTCGTTTTTCAGTTTTTTGACATAATTTGAAAATGCCTGTAGCCCTTTAACTTGTGTATAGATTTCATGATGATTGGACCGAAATAAATGGCCCCAAATGACTTGGAAAGACGTCTGATTCCATTGCCTTACATTAAAAGTAAAGTAGGTTTTTTCATTTTCCTGTAAAGTTATCATTCTGGAGATACGAGGTATACAAGGTTTGTTCTGACAACAGTGACTTATTGTATGTTTCAGCTGAAAATGATTCGCAGGTGTGAACAAGTTAAAACAGATAAAAAACTGATTTGCTTCATGTCTAATATTTTGTCCTAATTTGTCAGTGTCAATGACTGTCAGCGATCAGCTCTGAATGTCTGCTTTACATTCTGTAACTCTCAGTAAGAAAACCCTCAGATCAGTAATGTTTGCCACTGATGTGCTCCACCAGGTTACTCTGACATGGAAGAGGTTTCTTTGTCCTACTTGGAGAGATCACCTTATCCTATTCATCGCTCTTCCTCTAACTCCTTCTCTAAACACTCAGCCTTCCAGTACCCCCGTGCCATACTGTCAGTTGATCTCACTGGGGAGAGTGAGTATTAAGCTACTCTAGAAAGGAAACTACTCCTGGAAATAAATTCATGAAAATATTTGGATGCATTTTATTGAGCTGTGATAATTAAATCTCTAAATTACTCTACGTCTCTCCAGACCTGTCGGACATAGACTTCTTGGAGGACTCAACTACAGAGTCCCTGCTGTTCAGTGGAGATGAGTACAACCAGGATCTGGACTCTCTCACCATGGAGGACTTTCAGGATGAAGAGATTGAGTCTACTAATGAGATTGTCCGCTGTATCTGTGAAATGGATGAAGAGAATGGCTTCATGATTCAGGTAGGTGACCTGTTCGTTGTGTGCTGAGAAGTCATCTAACAAATACGCTGTGGCTGAAGTGATTGATTCACTTCAAAGAACCAGGAACATGACAGGCTTTCTCAATTCAGTGTTCCTTCTTTTCAGTTACCATGTTGTATAATGCAAAAGAGGAGGATGTTTTCAGGCAACTCAGTTATCAGTTACTCATCATTAATTGTGAAACAGTGGCATAGAAACCAAAGTTTCAGCGCAATCGATATGTACATAAACCTTTCGTGTTTTTATTTTAAATTTTTTTAATTAATTAATTTATGTATTTTTGGCTTGCATCTGGACTTAAGAGAAACCAATGACTGAAAATGTAGAAAGCTTTAATTGGAGGATGTTTACTCATCTATGTTGGGTGAACCATTAAGGGATACAAGCCTTTTTTAACATGGACCCCATGTCACGTAGCCATGTCACAACAGAGGAAATTGTCATTCTTAATATTTGGTTGCTGATTCTTTGCGATCACTGGCTTAGGTGTATGTTTGGGCTTAATGTTCTACTGAAATGTGGTGCTGTTCAAGAAGATTTGACTACATATGAGCAGTTGATGATCACATCATGTGCAAGGACAAGGGAGTTTTACAAAAGAGATGATTTGCATGTAGAGAGCCTACAGTAAAAATGCAAATAGCACAAATATGAACAGCTCTACTTCTGTTGTTGGCTCTTTTTCAGGAGTTAATGAAACAGCAACAACCACTCCTCCAGAATTAATAACGTTCTTATATAAAAAGATCTGTAATCTGATGTGAAAGTACATACACATGACAACTGATAGTTTTGTTGTTGACTTCTTGTTGCATTTCATATCCAATATCATATGCACGTCCAAATACAAAGGTCACGTAAGTCACTAAATGCTCACGTCAGGTTTAATCACAATAAGAGTTGCCAGGTGGCCCTGTAGAAGGTTTACATAAGTTTGGTCATTAAAAAACCCATCACTAGAGGGAGATCTAATTCCATAGGGGTGCCCAGCAGTCTGGGAATTTCACCTTTATGCCAAGTGTTTTTAATGTAACTTACTTCAACTAAGCATGGTCTGTAAATGCATCTAAATATTTGAGCCTATGTTTAATTAGGCCTGCAGCCAAACACTAGAGGAGGGAACACCTCCAGAATTGAGGATCCGATGGAGCTGAAAGAAGTTTTATGTTTGGGCCATTTTGAACAACTGGTGTCAACACTAAATTTGTGACTTTTCCAAGTGAAAGTTCTTGAATGTAATTGTGGAGATAACTGTTTTAAAGCTGATGGAGTTCGCAGTTGTAGCTTAGTAGTTTGAGCGCTATAACGCTTTGTAATTATTGTTGTTAAGCTATTCCACCATCTTAATGTTCTTGATTTTTACCCAGAGTTAAATGTTCTGCATTTGCATGCATGTGGTGAGCTTGGGTGATTATAATTCTCTTGCCGTGATTGTGTTTCTTTCCTACAGTGTGAAGAGTGCATGTGCTGGCAGCACAGTGTTTGTATGGGGCTGCTTGAGGACAGCATCCCTGAACAATATATATGTTACATCTGCCGAGACCCACCAGGTAACAAGCAAACACACAATTCATGTGGTCAGACTTAAAGGGGGGGTTCCACTGCTTTTTCAAAATTTGTAATTTTGCATTATTTGGTTGTTGAGTTCTACAGTCATTCAAGGTGGCTTGATGTAAAATGGTGCGTTGCCAAGAAACGTACAGACTTGGGATTTCTTTACAATGATAGTGATAGGAACTGGGGTTGCAATGTGTACCATGCAAATATAACACTTTGATTTGCTATCCAGAATGACCTGTGAACCTACACTTGTCTTTTCTATGTAATGTTGGTAAAATAGTCAATCTAGAAAAAAACGTTTTCTTTGGGGACAGTTTTTCCTTTTACCACACTGCCTGTACCTGTCGTTTATCAGTGGATTAAATTTCATTAGGCCAAAATCTAACCTCAGAACTATTGTTAGCAATGAGTTAGGCACCATGCAAGTTCTTCAGGTAATAACTACCTAAAACAGTAGCTTTTAGAGGCATTAAATACTTGTGTCTGGTTCCTATCACCATTAGTCCTGACTTGGGAAGTTTTTTCAGAATGGCACATTTCACACCGAGCCACTCTAAATGACACATCTTAACAGTTTAATTATTCAGGCTATTTCAAAATCAGTAGAATTCCAGTTTAATCACTGATTTGAGTGTTTCCAGCTCAACCAAAATACATTTTACCTTTAAAAAAAAATTCTGACAAAAAATTCTATTAATGGTCTGCATAACTTGGTATTCCAGTAAAATCGATATGTGAAATATTTTATTTATGCACCAGGGCAGAGATGGAGTGCCAAATATCGTCATGATAAAGACTGGCTATATAAGGGTCATATGTATGGCTTGTCCTTCCTGACGGAAAACTACTCGCATCAAAATGCCAAGAAGATTGTCTCTACCCATCAGTTATTGGCTGATGTTTACAGTGTTAAAAAGGTGCTTCATGGTCTACAGCTCAAGATGGACATCTTACAGTAAGAGCATTTCTGACTGAACGTGTGTGAAAGAGATACAGAAACAGACCTGATAAAGAACAGCTCTGATTGTACATGTGTATGTCTAATAAATTTAGTAATTTGTGTTTTGTCGTTTTGCTGTTGCATGCTTTACTGCTCTCAAACTATTGTCTTTTGCTTTTTATATTTTTAATCATATTTGCTTGAGATGCAGGCAGGATTTGTAAAATTCTTCTCGTTCCAAAGGAACAAACACAATCCCAGTTTGCACTTGTGGGCTCGTTCCTGGGTGAACTCTGACGAGGACCAGCCTATGGGTGGAGTTCCAGACTGTATCCTGTTTCAGGAGCACTTCAATCAGAACTCAAACACTGACACCTACATCACCAGCGAGCACAGCTACCAGAAGCCTTCTGGCACAGGCCACCAACACACACATGAGCAGGGGTCCCAGACTCCCTCTCAGACACTCTTGTTTGTACCAAAGGAGGAGGAGGTGACTGACTTCTGCTTGGTTTCAGTTTGAAACTGACATTTTAGATTTGGCAGAACAATTTATACTCCAGCACTGATAGCACTGAAGTAACATTGCTTGTGCATATTGTTATTTATGTTTAAAGTAAACTCAGTTTACTGTTACCATTTAACCTTCTTTATGTATTATCTGTCCACAATATGATTACACGTTGCTCCCTAGCAAAAATAATTTAAAATTAGTGTATTGGTTTTATTGTTTGTATTTTTCTATGTGTCCTCATCAGTTGGTGATTGCAGACTGTTCTGTTCTGAAAACTCATGCTGACTATAGTTAATATTAATTATTATGCGAAGTGTGATACCAGATTTTAATTGTGTGTGTGTCTGTGTGTATCTGCGTGTATCTGCAGGTGAGTAGTGCTATTTCACTTTCTGGCTGTGTGAGGGAGAGCAGCTCGGGACAGGTAGAGCAGGCTAGAAACTGTCTGCAGTGGCAGATGAACCTGCTCACACACATAGAGGATGTTCAGAACCAGCTGGCTGGCCGGATGGATCTCATTGAGAAAGAGCTGGACGGTGAGTTTTTAAGTAAAAATTAAATATATATCATATTTTCAATAATTATGGTATTTGTTGAACAACATGCATTAAGTGCATGTTAAATTAATGTAGACTACTCCAGCATTGGGGTGCCTATGGGTATATTTTTTTTTAATCAAAATCTTATTCCACAAGCAAAATATAAAAAAAAAGTAAATTGTTGCAAATATAAATGATGAGAATTAAAGTAAACTTGATTTTTTATTTTTTTTTCCAAACTATATTTAGTTCTTATGCTGCTTGTTTTACTAGCATTTCGCTTTTATTGTTTTCTGTTGGTGAATTATTCGTGACAAGGCTAAGGGTCACTCCAAAACAGTGTACATTTAAGGTTATTGCCATCTTCTAAGAAACACTCACCTGTAAAAAATTGTTATAACTCAGGTGCAAGAGAAGACTTAAAGAAACAAAGGAGAGATTCCATATTCAGAATCAATTTGCAAAAATGACCAGTAGAGGGACTGAATAGCTTTTGAAATATCAAGGAGTAACTACACCTTAAGACCTTTTTTTCCATTAACAGCTGAAATGCACTGCTCTGTTAATAATAAAATATACCAGCCTTGCTTAAAATGTGAACTTCTTTCCAAACTGTAAAAGTATTATTTTTATCTTGGTCAGTTCCGCCTCTGCAGTGCCCCTCTGGTTCATCTCTGCTATAGGCGTGGATGAAGTCACCTTATGCAAATCAGTCAAACAATGTTACTGCCGCCTGATGATGCCCCTCTCGTGCTGCGCTCATAAATATGAAAGCATAGGACCCTTGAGCGAGGAGATAACCACGCTCACATGCCAAGCTAAATACCCCCAGCACCACCTCACAAGGCTGCGATATGCCAGATGTCTGTACCAACTGTAAATAACTCTATAATAACTAAATAATTAATCTAAGCTTAGTTTGTAAGAAAGATTTTGGACTGAGTAAGTGAGGATTCTTGCAAGTCTCTATAAAGCTGCCAGTGTCGCATCCGATTCACATTTCCCTTCACAAGTCTAACCCTCGGGCGCGCACTCACTGAAAAGAAATCAATGGCGAGCAACACTGGAAATATGGAAAGCGAAGCAATTCAGGAAAGGTTAACTTTAAATGGCCATTGTTACCGACTGTGTCGCAACCAAGCAGCCTTTCATCTGTACAGCCTTTCTCAAGCTTTTTTCCCGCTTTCCGTAGTTCCAGTGTTGCTTGCCTTTTGATTTCTGTTCAGTGAGTGTGCACACAGAGGGTTCGACTTATAAAGGGAAACTTGAATTTGAGGCGTAACTGAATCGGATGTAACACTAGTAAGTGCCATGAACAGCTTGTAAGGATTTAGGGCCACTGCAGCAAACCCTGGCTGACCGGTGATGCAGTCTGCGACCTTGAAACTGAATGAAACTTAGACAGTGTTCAAAGAAATCCACTTTATTCATTTATTAATTCCGTGCATCTCGGAAATCAGGTTATGTTGACTATTGACCTGCTGAACAGATAATTAGAGGCTAGCTGTTACGGTTCTAGAGAATGTTCTACCGTTGGAGTTCTCTGCCGCTCGCTGCTAATCATTTTCTGGCACTACGTTAACTCTTCGGCACTTGAGTCAGTGGCTCAGGACGCACTGCCTGATCAGGAACACCTTCCCTCATAGTAGAGAAAAATCGTCAACCTCATAAGACCTCTCAGTTGCGAAAGTGCCGTTTGATTCTGTCACTCTCCATATTTTCTGGTAGCTAATGTACGCTAGCTCTAAAAACACAGCAGCCCAACCCACCCGGTTTCCCTCGTAGCCCCATCTCCAAACCCACAGGTCACTGCAGTGCCCCACCCAACGTGCCCCTCTCATTTTTGAGCATTTTTCAAAGTTGAGCCAGGGGTGGAGTTAGCTGAAAATAGTGGGGTATAGTTACTCTTTAAGTGATTTAATTCTCATTACTTGTATTTGCAACACATTTTTTACATTTTGATTTTATTGTGGTTTGTGTTACTTCCCCCACTTTGGCACAAAATTAACTTCATAGATACTTTGAATGAGCAACACGGAGTATAGCATGCATGTGTTATACTTGACCATGTTGACCATTTATGCATGTGAACACTAGCACAATCATTCCGTTTGTAATTTTCTCGTCCTTCTTTATTGCATCATTTCTGTGTATATTTCAGATCAGCACAATGCTGTTTTAAATCATGATAGCGAGTACTTAAATATATATTTATTTTTTAATCTTGAAAGCTTATGGCAAATTAACTTGTTTCCATTCCTGATCCTGTCATGGTTCAGTGTTGGAGAGCTGGTTGGATTTCACTGGAGAGTTGGAGCCTCCGGATCCTCTGGCCAGACTGCCTCAGCTCAAGTGCCGAATCAGACAGCTGCTTACGGACTTGGGAAAAGTGCAACAGATGAGCACACTGTGCTCTGTGTAAGCATGCTCATAGAAGCAAGGTGAACTTGTAAGGGCTCTGTGTGTGCTTGTCTGGTCCTTTGGACACAACAGCACATACATGCAGAACCTAAAACATGCTGCATACTGTTAAAGAGAGACAGTCCATGGCATGTAGTCTCCACTGAGCAGTAGCAGTTACAAGACAAAGAAAGAGCTGTGCTCTCGGGACTTGCAGACTGTGGGCAAAAAGTGTGTTCTGTTACAGTTTCAACGAAGGATGAAGTGACGTCATCTGTACAGTTGAACACAGTGAGTCCACTTGTTTGCAATTAGCAGAGTCTGAGTAACTATACATTAGCATAGGGTGTTCCCTTTCGTCCCTGTTAGAAATGCTCATTATAATAAAGTTAATTTCACAATATAGCACAAAGAAAATGTGCTATAACAAAGGAGGATTTGGAAAGATCACTCTGAAGAACTCTTTGTCCAAGAAAGAGACTCATGAAATAATATTTCTGGTTTTAAGTAATACTGAGTTAGTGTTATTTGAATGCGTTTAAAGACATTTCTTTTCACCTGTCCACTGTATGTATGAATTCCAAAAAGAAAAAAAATCCATTCAGTTCTTATTTGGACCACATTAGACTCAGTAGTGGAAAAAAAAGACATCAGATAAAGACATATTAAAGTATCTGTATTCATTTATTGCAACAATATAATAAAACAACTTAATTACATGAATGATAATTTCTAAAAACACCAGGTACATGTCTTTGAGGCAACGTCTTGGGGCCTGATTATTCTCGACTGAAAAACCTTTTAGGGTTGGTTTCCTAGACATGGATTAAATCTAGTCCTGGACTTCACAGAAGTGTGAATGAAGCTTCTCTGTTGGAGGGAAAATGTTGGATTAGGTTTAATCCATGTCTGGTAATCGGACCCTTAATGTTTAAGACCCATCTTAATCTGGGTCCAGCAGACCAACCCCTAAACAGGGATTAAATTTTGTTGGTTATTAAGGTACAGTGTACCAGTGGATAACCTTTGCAGAAAGTGATCTAGTCTTATGTTTTGGATCAGTCTCTGCTGTACTTGTTGTAAAGGGCCCCTGACAGTTGACTCACATTTAAGCAGTACTCAGTTTTCAAATAGGAGGCATCTATAATTTTCACTGTTAGTTTGGCTCTCTGCAGAACTTGTTGACACTCTAATCAGAATCAGCCATTTTAACAGTGAATTTCTACCCAGGCAGCTGGTCCAGGATAGGTGACTACACAGCATCTTGCTATCCATTATAGTCTCATTATCCAGCTTTTGTGTCAGTTTGTTATTTTGAGTGTCCTCAGCACAGCAAGCTGTTCTGAAGCTGGGTGTAAATGTGTTTTTTAAGCAGATTAGTTCAGTTTTTTGGGGGGAGAAATGTATATACTATTTGTATGTACTGTAAAGATGCGGAAAGAGAAACTAAGGTATAGTAGGACTATATACTTGAAATGTCTGTTTATTCAACATTTATATCAATCTGTATAAAGGTGTTTAGAACTGAAGTTGATTTTGATGAGATACCAGCTGTACATTAAAGAGTTTATTTAAAAACTTGATGCAATTAACTTTATGTACTTCAATAAAGGATATTCTGACTATTTACTGTCAATATTTTATCATTGTGCATCAGCTTGGAATGATCTGGATTCTGCATTAGTGGCATCTAAAACATGATTTGGTTTTAGCCAGAATTAGGTTTTCACTAAAACGCATATATTTTACAGTGAAATATCAAGTATGAAAAAGGATATTTCGCTATTGTACAGTGAATCACAGTTTTGGCTTCCCACTCTGCACATAAGAATTCTCTTGAAGTGCAACATAGGGTTGGGTGATGTTGATAAAATTCCAAATATTACGGCTTAAGATTGTATTGAAGTTAGCATTAATAAAGTTAACACCATGCTTAGTACTGGTAGTCTATGATAAAAGAATATCTGACACAACTTGTTTGGATGACTGTATTGTTCTCTTTTCTTCTCGTAAAATGACACTAAATTGAACTTTACATAGAATTGCAAACATCAGGCTAGTGCACTGATAGAACCTGAGGGGGGCGGGGATTGAACTCTGAACCCCGAAACTGTACAAGTGCCTGCTTGGTCAGTGTGTGTATAAGTTTTGTCTTTTTTATTATTGCTGTCCAACACACCATCAGTTCTTTACACTGTGAAATTTCATCATGAATGGACCAATAGAAATGCTCCAAAATGCTTGCAATAAAATCTCTTCATTATCTTACATTAAAAGTAAAGAACCTTTTTGCCTTCTTTAAAGTTGCCACAGATGTGATGGAAGTCCCACCAATAATGCACCAACTACTTATTAAACCACATTTTTGTTGCTATTTAAAAAAAAAGAAAAGAAAAGGCAGGGATTAATGCCAGGCTCTTAAATATAGTTATATTTCCATTTTGCTTTTGAATAGCATAGCGAGTGACAGGTTTGTATGTTAAAAAGTGGAGTTCAAATCACTGTTTGTATACTATTATGGGCTGCCTTGGCAAAGACTCTTCACACACTGGTTTTGTCCAAAACATGTTTGCATTGTGTTGATAAGAATACTTACAGAATGCTGTTATTTTAAATTGAGCTCAATTCACATTCATGAGTCCGAGCCTCTCAGGATGTCTGTTCATGGGCCTGGTAAACAGTAAGTAAGAAAGAAAAAATGTCCTGAAAGAAAAAGTAAAATCATGCCATCAGTATCATAGTATACTGGTATAGACGGTGTATCGCCCACCCTAGTGCGGTGTGTTCCGATCAAACGATATTTCAGGGAGCTACAGAAAAAAATACTGAAGATTTGGTACATACAGACTAAATAGGGGGTAAAAAAAGCGAGATTTTTTTCAGGATCAATGAAGGCTGCATGTCACTCTTTTCAATGTTATGATTTAATAGTAAAACTATTGCGTCTTGGTTTTAGATGTAACCTGTGAACAACCTGAAACTTTTGGTTGTCTGATTTTTTTCTTTTAATAAGTAATTTTAACCCTATAAGTAAAAGTTGTGTATGTGACTTTAATTTACTAAAATGGTTACGTGTCTGTAAGGTAAAGGCCATGAGTTTGCCATCTAAACAATGTACAGTAAAACATGCGCAGCCCTGAATCTCTTATTCATTGTCTGTTGTCTACCTTTAACCTTCCAAAGATGCAAGTCTCTTTAAAAGCTCTTATGGTGAAGTGGCCACCCTGATGAAAGTACTCAAGTTTCCAAGCTTGGCTGCTCATGTTGTAACGCTCTATAATCTTTACATTCACTTGAAAGTGCTTTATGCAGACTCGAGAGCTTCATGTTTTGAGAGTGAAGACGACAGACACTCCAGAAGTGCCACACAAGTATGACGGTGCATATCTACACTGTATATAAGACTACTGTTGCTGCTGGCGGTGGATGTTCTTGCCTTGGAGTGAGTGCAAGACACAGGTGCGATGAAGATGAACTTCTTTTGGGCTTTGCTTTTACTGCTCAGCAGCTACTGTGTCACTCAAGGCAAGATTTCAGGTAAGACTCTCTACTTAGCAGTGTGTCCTAATTCATCTGTGGTCTTGATGATGAGTGTGCTCAGTGTAAAACTCTTGATTCTTTCTGTTCTTCATTGTTTTAATTCTCTTCAGAGCAGGTGACTTCTAGCTTGAGTTCAGCATGCATGTGTCCATAAGTATAAATTGGCTTTAAAGAGTATCAGTCACTGTAAAATGTAGTTCTTGGACAAACTTCGTGATCATTTTTTCTGTAGAGTACCAGCTGGAGTCAGAGACCCGCAGTCAGTGTGAACTACTGAGAGGTGTTGGGTCAGCTCAGCAGAATGACCACATTCCCCAGTGCTCAGAGGATGGCCGCTACAGGTACTTTGAGTGAACTGAGCTAATGGACTGATCTCATTCCTCATCTCTGTCCTGATTCTGCTGTTTTAATCCAGTGACGCAAATGCCCGTCAGTAAATCTGCTTGATAACATATGATAATAGTGCTGAGCTACTGGCACCAGTTAATCTGTCTGTTTATTCATCAAGTACAATAGCTATGGTACTGTGCAAAAGTCAGAGACCACCTTTTCATTTTATTTAATGTTCATTCAAAATGGCCTTTAGTACAAGCTGTTCACTTTTCAGCTTCAGAAAAGGCAGAACACATATATTTAGCAGTATCATTTTTACTGCTTCTAATCGTTTTAGGAGGCTTGCTTTTTGTTTTTCAAAGAAATTTGCAGGGGTGTTTTTCTGTACCTTCAAAGTTCAGTTTTAGAAGTTGGTTGAATTTTATGCTTCACATGATCCAAGTAATCCCAACTCAAATTTAGACTGATCAGTCCATAAAACCTTACCTGCACATCTATGATATCCAATTTTGGTTTTCTGTTCCAAATTTTCCTAGTCTTTTTATTTTTTAAATCTATTTGTATTTGTCAGTAACGGCTTCTTGACAGCTACACATCCTTTCAGACTCATAGTGTTGAGTTGTTCTCACAGTGGAAGGATGGACAGAAAAACCTGTGAACTTTTCAGATCTGAAGTAAGAGTGGGGCTTGATTTTCTCCTCTCTCTCAAAGATGAAAGCTTTAAGTACTGCTTATATGATGACGCCCATTTTTGGTGTCTACCAGGTCTTGGATGGTTGTTAGGAGTCGTATTTTCTCTGTATATTTTAATCTTTTTTTAAATACAGCATTGAAAACTCGTTTTTTTTGCCTACTTTGTTTTCTGCTTACTTATGCAAGTAGATTGTTTTACATCTAATCTCCTCAGAAATGTTTCTTTTAGGCATTTTAGATTCACATGAGAAAAAAAATCTGTGAGACTGATGGTGTGAGTTTGGGTTGCTTGTGTGAATGTTAGTGTGTGTTTGAAGGGGAACATAATGTCAGTGACTCATTTGTGAGCAGCTTTTGATGGGAGGACACAGCTGTAACAGTTTGGTTTTAAGATTGGAAGGATGGAAGAGTGTAAGTGTCAGGAGAGTACACAAAAGTCAAGAATGGACAAACGATATATTTAAATATATCAAATATATTAAAATATATCAGTATGAATATATACTGATATATTTGAAATTTCACTTGGTGTTTGAGGCTTTGTGTACTTTTCTGTTAAATATGTTTCCTGTTTTTTCCCTTTCCTGACACTGTAAAGTGAATAACAGTTCAGTTTTGTTTTTACTGGCTATTAAACAAGTGAAAGTGTAGCCTCTGACTTCTGTACCTCTGAAACTACATCAAGTCAATATTTGCATTCAAACATCTCTCAAGGTGTCCATCTGTGTAATCTTTCTGATCTCACTATCTTATTGTTTCTGTGTAGACATGTTCAGTGTAATAATGGTGGGGAGTGCTGGTGTGTGAATGGAGATGGAACAGAAATTCCTGGAAGCCGACAGAACGGTTCTGTGGTGCATTGTGAGTAGTTCAAATGTTTAATTTATTGAAATGAAGATTTTGATGAAGCATCTAAGAGAATTCTCATACAGAGAGGAAGAGTTAATGGTAGTTAGACACACTTATTTGGCTCTGTATAATGTTTTACTGTCCCCATTTTTCATTAAACATTGGTGCACCAAACTCAACTCTGCTGTCCACAGGCTTGACTTCGTGCCAGCTGCAGAGACAGAGGGCAATGCTGAGTGGGGATGCCGTTCTGGTGCCTCGCTGCTTGGACTCAGGTGAATATGAGCCTGTGCAGTGTGATGGGGCTCTGGCTCAGTGCTGGTGTGTGGACCTGGAGGGCATGGAGATCTATGGCACACGGCAAAATGGAAGACCATCCATGTGTGAGTGGGACGTTAAGCTGGTTGTATGCTACTGTCTGTATGCCATAATGATTACTGCATTAAAGTTCTATACCTAGTATGTGCAAATAGTATAATTAGAGATGAAACGATATTGAAATTTCATATCACGATTATCATGACCAAAATTATCACAATTATCGGTATTATCGCGATATTGTTCAAATGTGTTGAAAAGTAAAATAAATAAATAAATAAATACTGATCCACAAACTGAAACTCGTTTCACCAATTTGTATATTAACACAAATAGAACTGGCAGCAATATGCACTTTTTGTTTGCATAAACATTAAAAAATATAGTCAATACATTTGTAGTAGCACTTTTGTATTACTTACAATATTTGTAATACTCTGTAAACAAAAAAATAGCAAATGTATTATTATACTATTATTATTATTGGTATTATTATTATCATTATCATCATTATTACTGTTAATGCTATTATTATTATTATTATTATCATTATTATTATTATTATTATTATTATTATTATTATTGTTATTAATAATTGCAATAACTAGGGATTTCCCTGCATAGAGAATCAAATCTGGACCAACTCTGAGGTGGGTCTTAATGGAAAATGACTACTTCTAAGAAGTGTTGCACTCAGGGGATTTCTGTCCTAACCAGCATATTGTGCCGTTGTGGCACTGAACCCCTAATCAATACAGCGCACCAGGAAAAACAGCCAAAATCACAGAGGAACTGCGTGACCGCGCTGTGAGCTGCAGACCGCATAGAACTCACACAGCGTATCCTCCCTATGTAGTGCACTTCGTGGATCATGAAATAGCAAATCCTTCACCCAAAGAGTGCGTGAAATGTTCGACTAAGTCATCTATAATCAACATTAACAACAGGCTACAAACTCCCTATTTAAACTCAGCTGCTTTTTAATGATGATCGTGTTTGATCAGTAGTGCACTATGTAGGGGACACTGAGTGATTTGAGACGGTGTTATTCTCCTCTCAGGCAGTAAACACTGCAAGCGAGACGAGAAAGGGGAGCTGTGCAGATTGAACCTCTGCAGCGTCTCGTTCCGGAGCTTGTGTGACTGTTAACTCAGAGCTCCTTTTGGAGACTCTGCTCCACAGAAATGTGTTAAAAGCTTTAGTTTCGATTCACAGCTGATTGGCCGACTGTTTTTTTTTGTTTTTGTTTTTGTTTTTTGACTCTAAAAGCTTCCTTTTATATTATTAACGAACCATAAGCATAAGTTAAACCACACAGACCAGGACATTTCTTCTATTTCGAAGTCCACAGACTTCTCCGTTAAAGTTAATTTTGCGTTCTCTATAAAGTAGCGGGTGGTGGTCGCGAAGATGACTCGTAAGGTTTGAAGGTTTCGCCGCTATTTTCTTTCGGCCTGTTCTGCAGACAGGGTGGTCATCTGCAGACAGGGGGGTCATCTTTAATTAACTTTCCTTCTGCATCCTTATAAAACCCAAAACATGACCAAACGTCAGACTTGGTCTTCTTAGAAGGCTGAAATATCTCAGAATCTCTGTCACTACATTCCGCCATGTTCTCCCTCTCTCCCTCTACCCCTCCCCCTTCCCCTCCACACACACACACACACACACACGCACACAGAGCTGCGTCTGAGAGAAGATTCTGCCTTTGTTTGACTCTGTACAGCGAGTTTTTCACACCGCGGTAATCGACCGCGGTTTTAACGATACTTTAAAGTTCAAACGGTACTACTAACCGTCATTAATTTTACCGCGGTTTACCGTGAAACCGGTAACCGTTTCATCTCTAAGTATAATACTGATGGAATTATATGTCATATGGGAAAGTTTGACCAAATTACTTGTTTTGTTGATTTTCTAAGTGAAAATAAGTCACATATCCTCTTCAGCGAACACACGTCTGCAGGAATTAACATTCTACACAAGTTTTAACATTTTGCAGAATATAGTTATATATAAACTTGTATAAAATGTTAACTTATTTCCCTTAGAAAATCAACAAAACACAAACAACAGTTTTGTCTTTCCATTTATATATTTAAAAATACAATTTAACCACAGGTCCCAGTGTTTGTGAAGTGAGACAGCGCCGGCTTCTTCACGGCGTTGGAGAGGCCTCTCCTCCACAGTGCTCAGATGATGGCAGTTTCCTTCCTGTGCAGTGCAAGTTAATCAACACCACCAATATGATGGTCTTTGATCTGTTACATGCCTTTAACAGGTGAGACTCCCCTGCAGTGCCAGCATCTGTTAATATTTATCATCTATATTTAAAGCTCAGTATTTCTGCACTGACGCACCCACCCTTCATTAGCCTTGTTTAAGTCCTTTAACAGAAAGATTATTACTCAGTTATTAATCTGAAGGCTTATCATCTAGTAACAACTCTGATTTACTTGATAACTACAATGGACCTTACATGTAACTAATCGTCACTGTCAGAACAAAACCTTAACAAAACAAACATAAATGTAATGGGTTTAGTAATTTTGGACCAGTACACACAATATAAAGAGCTGAAAGAGGGAAAATGAAAAAATAATTGCAAGGTTTTGATGCAACAGCAGTGTGTAGTTATGAAAATAAAGAAGTGGATAGAATAGTTGGATGTTTTATTAATGTTCAAGGTTTGCATGTTAAAAGCCTAAATCTAAGTAAACAATGATAAAGCAGTGAAGTTTTTCAGAATGTTGCTTTCTTTTCTTCAAGCTTTTTCTAATTCTGTTGTAGTTGCTTGAATGTGGTGGGGAAACCTTATTCCAAACATGCTACTTCACCACTAGATAGCAGCAGAGTTTCATACTATCATGACTCCATGCACTGCTTTGTGTCCTGACAACTGCGTGAATCATATTTCCACTCCACATCCTGTCAACTCATTCATCATTTAAAATTACATGTTGAGGCCAATTTTTGAAGCAATGTGTGAAATATGATTTATTTTTTGGATGTATGGACCACACACATGACAACGTTCTTCAGACATTTAGAGACTGCACTGCACTTAGCATCTAAGGAAAAGGTGGTCTTTACTTTGTTGTACGTTGTGAGTACAGGCAGTTTTTTGCTTTGTTCAGTCAGTATTTTTTTTCTGTTTTATCAGTGTATCAAGATAAAAAAGAGGCTACAGAAGAAGCTCAGTGAGGCTTAAGGATTCCAGGCATAGCGCAGTGTGGAGATTCCGTGGGCTGATGATTAGGGAGTGTAGACAGAGAGGGATGCTGGAGTTTAAGTGAATGTTTAAAGTTAGATAAGAGGTTAAAGTTGAGTTAAAGGAGCGTTCTGACCTAAAACTAGCATTTAATATGTTATTTTTCATGTTATGTAATATTCTGAGGCTCAGCCTCATCTGTTTGACAGATGATTTTGTATCCTTTTTTATCTATCAATGTTCTGTCAGTACAATGCCCAACTTGCATCATGCAAAAACATCATACAACCATTGAGAATCCCCCCACGGTGATAAAGACATTGTGACTGCTAATATAACCACTGACGTAGAGGCTGATGTGGCATGTGGCTTCTGAATAGAAACATTAGCTCTCTTGCTTCCTTTTGCATTAACCCTCAAGTATCTGCCCAAAGGACTTTTTCCAAACATTGCTCCCACCTTAAAGATATATCATCAGAAGGGAGTTTTCCTAGTATTGAAACTGGAAAATCTTGCTTTAGAGACAACTGTGGCACCACTGTACTGTAGAATGCAAGTACGCATGTTTACAATAGATATAGTAGTTTCATGTTGACTGGAGTGCTTCTTTAAGGATTGGACTTTTTGGTTTTGTTTTGCACAATGTACTCATTCAAGCATGCACAATTGACATCAGATTTGAGAACAAACTTCATGAGAAGCCTTCTTGCTGTCTCTGACCCCATGTGTGGTATTTTTTTGTCCATGCAATTAGTCAGTTTCTGGACTTCTTTATTACCTATCATGTGTTTAGTCTTCATACACCACTTTGTCTCTTTTATAAGCTATAGTTTCTGTAGTTTTCTCTTCGTTCATTTTTATTTATAATTAAACTGCAGTAGTTTACTTTCTTCCACTTTTTTCAAGTTTTTTTTTTAGTTTTTTTTTTTTGTGGCATCTGTTTTTCTTAGACTTCCAGAGGTGTTCCAGACATTCAGTGGTTTTAGAAAGGCCTTCCCTGAACTGTCAAGCTACTGCTTCTGTGCTGACACTCGAGGCAGAGAGCTTCCCAGCACTGGTGAGAGAAAACTGTGTTCATGAATTTAGTTGCATGCCTCTTCTTAAGCATTTGTTTGAATTATTCAACAACAATAATTCAAATTTATAATAATATATTTAATAAACAGAGACAAAGACATGTACTCTTTCAGAAGTGAGCATCAGTTTTCACCAACTCTAATGTCTCGCTACTGTACAGGACTGGAGCTGCTGATGGATGAGGTGTATGACACAGCGTTCTCAGGCCTGGATGCAGGACGCTCCTTCTCTCAGTCCAACATGTACCGCATCCTGCAAAGGAGATACTTCGCCGTCCAGCTGGCCTTGACTGGAAGATTTAGATGTGAGTTTAAATATACTATATTCATATCACTATATTATGTGTTTAAAAGTTTGTAGGTGCCTGTTCATCCAATGTTTCAATCTAAAATCACTGGTATTAAGTGGGTGTTTATTTCTGTTTGCTGCAATAACAGCCTCTACCTTTCTGTGAATACTTCACATGAGATGCTGGAACATTGTTGTCAGGATTTAAATGTATTCAGCTACAAGAGCATTAGTGAGGTCAGATACTGATGTTGGATGATTAGTTCTGGATCGCAAACAGCGCTCCAGCTCATCCCGGAGGTCTTGGGTGGAGCTCCATCATGTCGGCTAGAGGGGCTTTATACCCCTTTAGCTGACAACTGGCATTGGGCATGGTGACCTTAGGCTCAAGTTCAGCTGCTTAGGCTCAGAGTATCCATTCTATTAGCAGTGCTTTTCTATGGAGGTTATACAAGTTGTGTGTACATAATTGAATGCCTGTATCAACAATGGGTGCACTTTAACTTTTAGTAGCTGAATTCATTAATTAGAAGTGTCTGGATACTTTTGGACATATAGTATTTGGACATATATTTATCATGGAGCATGTCAATCAGTCAGTCCAAAGTGAGGGTTGTAACCTTAATGTTGAGTTGGTTTGTACAGGATTCAAAAAGAACATTGTTTTTACCTAGGTTGAAAGCTAGGAGCATGATAATATTTGTTATTTTATTATTAATTAATTGTATCATTTTTCAAACCTCAGAAAAACTACATATTGTATTGCATGTTGTGTGTTGGTGAAGCTTTGTGATGTTATATATGTGCCGTATCGCCCCCCCCCCACACTGATAAGACGTCCTGACGTAAGTGTAATGTTGTAGGTCCAACACCTTGTGAAAGTGAACGATCTGCAAGCTCCCAGGCTGGCAACGTCTTTGTGCCCTCCTGTGATGCCCGTGGACAATACCTGCCCACTCAGTGCCAGGCTGGTGGACAGTGCTGGTGTGTGAGCTCTGATGGCAAGGAAATCTTTGGGACTCGTCAGCGTGGAGTTCCTGACTGTAGTGAGTTTGACATAAACAGAATCTTGTCTTGTGAAACTTTTATACATTGTAAGCAGCCATTGTAATTGTAAACAGCGGCAGATGGAACATTTGATTGAGCATTTTGTTTGGTAGTGTTTTGTACTGTTTATTGGAACTCTATCTTTATAGATAAACACAACACTGTGGTAGTAGATGTAAATTATGTAACTTAATTGCTAAGTGGTACAATGGAGAAGTGAATTTATTATATTAGCAAACAGTCTTTGACCACCAACAACTTCTTTGTCTGTTTGGCTAAACAGTGTGGTCAGACTAGCTACATAAACACAGAACATGTGCACTTGGAAATGATGGAAAGTATTATTAATTGTACAAATGTGTTCATATTATGAGACAAATAGAAAACATATCCTGAAACTAACACAAGAAGTTTTATTACTGGTACTAGATAAATGCTTATAGTAACACTAGGATGCCCTAAGTGTTTTTGCCAGCCAAAGCCCTTGGGATTGTAGATATTTCAGAAGCTTTTTGTTGTTCAGTGCTGTGTCTGAACTGCTGGTCTATGTAGGCACAGGAGGAAAAGACTGCCGTACTGAGAGGAGACAAGCCATGTCCAGGCTGTTTTACGGCCCAGCTGGACACTTCAGCCAGAACGACGTGTTCTCAACCTCTCAAGCCAATACGCAGGGAGACGCCTCTCCTCTTGCACCGTGCAGCCCAGAATTCCAAGAGCTCTTGTCCAGCTCCGGCCTTGCCAGATCCTTGCCGGAGTCAGAACACTCAGAAATTGGTGACATAATGGCTGAGCTTGTTCAGGGAATGTTCCCCACAGGAGCTCTTGCTCTAAAGGCCTTGTCCCTCACCACTAATCCTAAGAGACTCCAGGAGAATCTCTTTGGAGGCAAATTCTTGAAGAATGCAGGCAATTTCAACTTCACTGGCACCGTTGGTACCAGAGGCACTTTGAGTTTCAGTCAAGCCTTTGCTCAGGTTGGCCTGACCCAGAATGGTGAAGACTTACAGCAGCTAGCCAAGATCTTTTCAGCCGAGTCTGTTAGTCTGAACCTTGACCAGGAGATTTCAGATACATACGGTCGCTCTGTCAACCTTCAGCGCAACAGGAATTTGATCAAGCTTATTGGAAATACGCTAGAAAACGAGCAGTTTTTTACTACTCTACGAGAGGCCATCACTTTGCTCAAGGCAGAAGACAGTGCCCAGCTGGGCCGTCTTTTCCAGACAGTGTTCCAGAGTCATGACATTTGCAGGTCAGCTGCTTCCCCTTCATCTCTGTATGTACCCCAGTGCACTGAAGATGGCCAGTATCAAGCAGTCCAGTGCCAGGGATCTGAGTGCTGGTGTGTTGACTCCCAGGGCCTAGAGATTGCAGGCTCTCGTTCCACAGGCTACAGACCGAGATGCCCATCCCAGTGTGAGAAGGAGCGCATGATGGCCATAGCAGTCAAAGCCAGCAGCTCAGCAGGTTCTGAGGTGTTTATCCCTAAGTGTAAGGAAGATGGAGAGTATGTGCCATTGCAGTGCCTTGGAAAGAGTTGCTTCTGCATGGACCGCACTGGAGCCAAACACAACACATTGGTTTCTGGAAGCACCCCACAGTGTGAGTAGTAACTCTAAACCAAGGCTGTGAAAGATTGATTTAGATCTGCTGGTGTAACAGAAAAGTTTTCAGTTAACAGATTAGAGTTATGCGAAGTGACTTAGACATAGATATGCCCTATGATGATGGTATTAGAATCCATTTTGAGACTGTGAGCATGTGCAGTGAGCTATGTTCTCTTATAGACTGCTTTGATCTCAAATGATATAATTATTACCTATAATGATTAAATGCTTACTCTCTAGGCACTAGCAACATTCAAATTGGATATGGATACAGTACTTATTTACATATAGAGCTGTTCTTAATATTCTGAGTGGTGACATTTAAAAAAAATCTAGTAGACATGATAGTTGCATTACCATCCAAAACAAAAATAACGTTTAATAGTGCACTGATGTGGTATTCCGAGTAATCATAGCTTATTCTGTGGTTTTGATTGCTTTCCAGGTCCGACAGATTGCCAGATTACTGCAAGCCGGTATTTCCTGAACACAGTCAGTTCCGTACTGGCCAACCTCTCTTCCATATCACAGCTTTCTAATGTCTATATCCCTCGCTGTGCTTCGGATGGCAGCTGGCACCAGATCCAATGTGATGGCCCTCCTGAACAAGCATTTGATTTCTACAGTGAGTGGAACCGAGTCAACAATGCTGGACAACAGCTGCCTGTTTTGGAACTCCTTGGAATTCTACAAGAATATGCAAAAAATCCACAAGCAATGGCATCATTCAAAGGCTTCCTTTCTGCATTATTCCAAGCTGAACACCAAAAGGTATTCTCAGCTCTATCCAAATTTGGAGCATTCTCAGAACTTCCGTCTGAAATCTTAGATGGGAATGCTCAAGCTGTGTTCGGACCATCTATTTTTCTGAACCCTCTGTCTCTATGGAGTCTATTAAGAGGGGACATTACCCAGTATCCAGGCCCACTGTCAGACTTCAGTGCTCCTCTGGGTCACTTTAACCTTCGCCGTTGCTGGTGTGCTAACCAGAAAGGGGAAATGATAGATGACATCAAAGCTTCAGTCAACCAAGTCCCAAAATGTAAGCAAAAACATCCTTATTTTTATCAGCTGTAATGTTCCTGTGGTTTCTTCACCACAGTGAGTTAGCAGTGCTGTTAGACTTGTGTAATCTTCCCTTGTCTTGCACAAGCTTGGTGTCATAAGTACTATTTCTGGCACTCTTCTTGATGTGAGTGATGATATTTGTCCTCTCCACTGTTTTTCAGGTCCAGGGCCATGTTCTCTTGTGAAAGGTCAGGTTGATAAGTTCCTGGCAGAAGCAGAGAGACTGATAACTTTCTCAAACAGCTCTTATATACCTGTGGGTTACAGCTTTCTCCTGGCTGAAAGTGTGAATCTGAGCCGTGAAGCGATGCAGCAGACTTTCAGTTCTGGGTTTCAGCTTTCGGAGGACTTTATGAGCAATACCAACTCGGCCCTTCGCCTCGCAGCACATTCTAGTATGGAACATTTCATTTGACCCCTCTTACAGTTCTTTATGCTTAATTCATACCATGCCATTGATGGGTTAAAAATTTATTTAACTATCAAAAATGAAGATTTACAGTGCTGTGCAAAATCAGAGACCACTGTTTTGTTTATTTAATTTCCAGACAAACTGGCCATTATGTTTGTGTTATTCATTTTTGCATTTCAGGGAAAAAAGTCCACTCTGTGAGAACCAGGGAACGACCAAAACTCTCAAAATCAAATAAAGCTTTTGTCTTTGACAGATGATTCAATGCTAGTCTGAAAGGATGTGTAGCTGTCAAGAAGCCCTTACTGAAAAAACAGACAAAAAGAAGAAAACTTACACTAGAACACTGAAATTAAACATGTGAGAGAATGAGTCTAACTCATTGTAACTGGGATTACTTGGTTTGGGAAGCCTAAAATGTATCCAACTTCTAAGACTAAAACACACTAAATACTAAAAATATCTACAGTGCATTATATAATAGTATCGTCTCATTCTGAAGGTTAGGCTGTTTTGACTGGAAATTAAATACATAAAAGGGTAATATCTGAGGTTTGCACAGTACTGTATTCATCTGAGCTGAAAAGCTTGACAGTATTCACAGATGAATGCAGTCAGTTATTACTTGTAAGTTTAATGCTCATGTTTCAACTTCTTCAAAATGATTAATAATGTTCATGGTTTTGCTCAGAGCCGGTCCTGACTCCCCTGCCCTGGCCCCCCTACCAGACCCATGAGCCATGTAAACCGTTTGCAATTGCCGCACAGTCACACCTGGCACCCCAGTGCTCCCACTGCCATCCTCACTCCATTAAAACAGTTTGCTCCATCTATCAGTCTAAGAATAACTAGACCTGTACCGAACTGAATGAGGTATAAACAAACAATATTTATTTGAATAGAATATTTTATGTAGAATCTTGAAGAAAAGTGAATTCTAACATACAAAACTAATACAAAAAAACATAGTACTATTAATTTTATTAGCTGCATCAGGCCCATTCAAACTGTCTCCCCCAGATTTCCTTTTATACATATTCGTATGTAAAATATTATTCATACAATGGCTTGACTGAATGCATGATTGATATTATTTACTGAGAGATGTGCATTCATATTGTCTAGTATGCCCAGCTAATCATACTAGATTGCTTTCACTTGTGAAGTGTTGATATATTGTGACTTAAGAGTGTTGAATGCTTTCACTTTCCTGCAGCCCTTCATTTCTACTGGCAGAGCAGCCTAATGACCAGTGAAAGAGACAGACAGAGTCTAGCTCTTGGCTACGAGCCCTATAGTCCACAGTGTGATGCCTATGGCCAGTGGCTGCCCAGACAATGTTATCCAAGCACAGGTAGGAGCAGAATATTATCTGGCTGTTGACTGTAATTTCATGTCCTCCTTTGTATAGTTTGAATGTCATTCTCATGGATTATTTTAATTTCATAATATTCAAGACTTCCATTCATCCTTCCTATAACTTAAAATCTTGATCAACATCATTAGTGTAGTTACTGTATAATAAACCGTATGATGTAGATGGCACTTAATGTAAAATAATATAAAATATGATCCTTCTGACCTCTTCTTTGTAGGTCACAGTTGGTGTGTAAATGAAGAAGGAGGATACATCCCTGGATCTCTGACTGCTCGTGCCATTCAGCCCCCACAATGTAAACCCCTATTACTTATTTCATATGTAAAGTCTGAGCATCACTTAACAAGTTCCCAGTATTGTTTTGTGCTAGCTAGAATGTTTCTTTTTTCCCTATGGAATCTATTGAGTACTGTTTTTTATATATGTGTGTGTGTGTTTTCACATTATATACTTAAATAATATAATATGATAAATAGTGTACATCTGTGGGGTAAATGACACTGCAGCTCAATATAATCCCTGTTTGGTTTGGCATTTGGAGTGATTACCTTACATCATTACATCTAATTGCTGTGTTATAAATCGGTAATGATTGTTGTATTTATGATTAGATTCATAATAACTTTGTTTTGTGATGTGGTATTTTTTAGGCCAAACTACATGCCAGAGATTACAAGCTCATTTCATTTTGTCTGTTTGGACAAAGTCAACCTCTGACATGTCTTTCTCCTATAGCCCATCATGCGAGGAAGTATGTTACTTTTATCTAGATGTTTTTTTTTCAAACATGTTTAAAGTAAGCATATAAAATAACCGGTTGTTATTACAGACAGTATGATTGCTGTGTATGTGTATTCATGCAGGATGGTGAGTTTTCGGTGCTCCAGAGGAATGGTGCAGTCAGCTCTGTGGCGTCGTGTGTCAGTCCTGTTACTGGAAAGATGATCCAACCAGCCATCCTGAGCCCTGCTGGAGACCTACAGTGTAAACCATTTATTAATTGATTTATTCATTCATTCATTTACAGCTGTGATTTCCAAGGAGGGATGGTAATAATCCTTACTCATCCATGTAACCCCCCAAATAATTACTTTTGATAATAATTATTTGGTAATAAAATATGACAACAATACAATAACCAATTTAATGAATTGATTTTACTAAAATAGTAAATGATACCATAAATAAGTAAATCAGTAATATTGATACTGATATTATAAATATTGAGCAAAACATTTTTGTTGCCCTTCATTTGCGTGCTGATGTTCCCTCAGTCTAACACTTAAGTCTAACATTCATCCTCTTTGGCTTATATTAAGCCAAAGAGGATGAATCGTATACGTTTTAATGTTTTGGCATATTACTATTTAAAAAAAAAAACATTTAATGCAAAGTGACTAGAAAATAAGGCATCATATAGCCTTTTGTCTTTCAGTACCTATCACTGAGGTAATATCTGAGGTTGAGATTAACGTTAGTAAACATTACATTATCTGTGGTTGTGGCAGATGTATTATTTTTTTCCTCAACTCTCGTGTTCATGGAGCAATCAGAAGAGGTGTGAATGGCAAGAAAATTGGTTGTGCCAGAGTAGTAAAACTTGTCACTATAGAAACCATACATACATACATCCATCATCTAAACCGCTTATCCTTCTGGATCGCTGTGGGGTGCTGGAGCCTATCCCAGCTGTCATTGGGCGGAAGGCAGGATACACCATGGACAGGTCGCCAGTCCATCGCAGGGCAGACAGACAAACATACACAGTCACACACACACTCACACCTAGGGGCAATTTTAGCATGTCCAATTGGCCTGACTGCATGTCTTTGGACTGTGGGAGGAAACCGGAGTACCCAGAGGAAACCCATGCAGACACGGGGAGGACATGCAAACTCCACACAGAAACGACCCTGGTCGCCCGGCCAGGAATCGAACCCAGGCCCTTCTTGCTGTGAGGTGACAGCACTACCCACTGCGCCACCGTGCCGCCCATCTTGTAGTGAGATCATTGGCATATTTATAAAAGCATATGTTAGTATATATTTCTTTCCCATGGCTGCATGCCCCTGGACCTCTAAAGAAGATTCTGTTCAACCCCTCTAATGTTATGCTCTTGCATTCATTCATTCATTCATTCAACAGTACAGTATGGTTTTCAAAACGTTAACTTCTGAACTTAAAACTTTTAACGTCTGTGTTTAAACCCATTCTGAAATAGGAGAGGGATTCGAAAGCACCTTTGCTTTTTAACAGTAGCTGTTTCTTTTCTGTGTTGCTGTGTTGTGTGTTATGTTCAGGTCCTGGTTGGTGTGCTCTTCAGCAGAAGCTGGCTGCTGAGAGAGAGGCTGGTGTTGGCTATGAACCGGAGTGTGTAGAGGAGGGAAGACAGTTCTCGCCTCGACAGTGTGACGCATCTTACTGTTGGTGTGTTTCTGAGAGCGGCCAGGAGCTCCCTGCTACACGCGTTGACCGAAGCTCAGGGAAAACACCATCCTGTGACTGTAAGCACAGTGCATCATACTGACTCACTCTGAATGCTGCTGGAGTGTTTTTAACAGATAGTTCTATACAGCTATCTGTTCCAAGGCCCTCTCTTTCTCTTTTGTGCCTAGCCCCTCAGTGTCCTCTCCCCTTTGGCAACTCCATTTCCCATGGTGCCATTGTCTGTGACAGTGAAACTGTGGCAGGTGAACAGAGGCAGCGCTGCAGGGTTTTCTGTCAGCAGGGTTACATTACTGCCTTTCCTGTGGACAGCTTCTTCTGTGACACTGTGACCAAAACCTGGCTGAGTGATGCTCCTCTCTCCTATACCTGTCAAAGTAAATATTGCACTCATAAGCACACACTGACTGGGATTCGAAGTACAGGGAGATGCACCAAAATTTCGGCCACCAAAAACATTTAGCCGAAAATGGTCAAAAGTAGCACTTTTGGGTTTTTTTGGCCAGAAACCTTGACTGAAAAATGAAAAGACTGACTAGGCCTGCAATGAAATATCAAGATGTAACCCATAACAAATTATTTGAATGAAAATGAGCAATAGTGATTAAAAACACTGTTTGATCCCTTTGCTCTTCTGTGCCAGTCAGAACAGGCATGTTCAAACTGTTTCAACAGTAGATCAACGGTAAAAAAGTCTTGCGTGGTCCTCTGCAGCTGCAGTCAATATGATCTCTAGCATACTTGCTTTTTAGCGTTGACTAATTTAATGAAGATGTTTAACAGAAATCAGATAAATATTACTGAGTAACTCAGTGTCTTTTGGTTAATGGTTGAACTCTAGTTTTGAACGTTTTTACTGCAAATACATGTGTTTGTTAGATCTTGCTAAGGTTTAAGGCTGTTTCTTCTCTACATGATTAACACTAAAGCAGCTTGTGTGGTTTAACTGGTTAACTTGATCAGTATAGAAGCAGGAAAATACAGCTTTTAAACCGGTCAAGCCAATATAACTGTTTCATTTGTAATCCCTGACTCTATGAAAATGAAGCTACATTTTCCTGCTCCTGTGCTCAAATGTTCCCATCTCCAGTTGGTAACCACATTCAACAGAACAATAGAACAGCTAATATTGTTCTTCTGATAGAGCATACCTGTGTGATTATTAGGCCTGTTAAAATAACAGTAACACCAAGTCAGTAATTGTTGCACTTATATAATAAATGTTTAACTGGAACAAAAGAACTCATACACCTGTTAACCACAATTTAAAATAAAGCTTTTAAATTTGAAAATAATTTTCTTTCATAATCGTTTTTGATTATGTTCTACAAAAAATTATATTGTTTTAATTTTGGTTTTAGTTCCCCATTAACTGATTCTACCACGTGCATGTCAATATGTGAATGTATAATTTATTTAAATATCCAGTTGCCTTGATTGTATTTATAAGACATATGACTGAAGATGCAGTATTCTGAAGATGTGTGTTTATGCGTTAGGAGCCCAGCCGCTGCAGACAGTGCAGGTGACTTCAGTGCTGCAGCTGTCTGTGGCGGAGGGTCAGCAGGACTGCAGTGGTCAACGTTCTGCGCTGCAGGCCTCTCTGCTGCATGACATGAGGGCAGCAGGACTCTGCAGCTTACAGGTGCTGTCCTCCTTTATATTTTACTCTTCAGTTTCCTCACACTTTCTTCTGAATGTGTAACATCTGCGCGTGTTTTTGCTTGCTCGTGGTTCAGCTGTCTTCAGGTCAGTACGGCTTTCTGTCAGTGTGCGATGAGTCGTCGGTCTCTCTGGAGTGTGTGAGCGAGCAAAGCCTGACTGCAACCATCACACTTAAAGCCCGTCTCTATGACCTGCCAGTCAATGTCCTGCCTGATCTCCATGACATTGGTAAAAACAACATCCGCTATAATGGCTAGAATCTGTGCACACAGAATTATAACTAAACATAATTGCTATACAATGTTATATCACTTGTAAATCATAAAACCATACACTTGATGTATCTTGAATATGTCCAAACATTGAAAAAATAAATGACCATTTTTTTTCCATATAAAGATGTTACGTCTTTTCAAATCATCAGCCCTGGTGAAGTAGCCATTGACCAGTGTGATTCTGTGTTTGTGTTCAGACACTGTGCTCAGCAGTGAGAAGATTCTGGATGGTTTGATGGAAATGGTCAGAAGTGGATCATACCGGTCAGTCTTTGTGTCAGAGCGTGCTGTGGGCTTCTCCTCACCGGCCTATTTCAGCTGCTCCGTGGGCTATCAGCAGCTTCCAGACTCCACTGGGTGTGGTACGCTGCCTCCACTGCCCATTTCTCTCCTAATCATAGGCCTACTCTGCGTAATGAATGGGAAAGGAGTGATTCGGCTCAGTTTTGCCAGTTTTCTATTGGCATAAATGCCCTCGAGGGACTTTAGTTTAGTCTGCTGGCATAAAAACAAACAGGGAAAGTAGGACTGATTTCTGTTCTGTTCTGTTTGTCTGTCTCTACTCAGTTAAATGAGGAACAAGGAACAATCATTTTTTGTGTGAATCTCAAATTTGAGTAGATTTGTTTTGATTATTTTGTGTTTATATTTTCATGATTATTATTCCAGAATTCAGTCATAATCATGTGATTCAAAGCCAATTCAATGCATTTTATACTCACAGCTCTCTCTGTCTATCTGTCTGTCTCTCTCAGTGGTGTGTCCAGCTGGGTCATTCTACAGTGGCGGTAGGTGTGATGCATGTCCTCATGGTTCATATCAGGCTGAGACTGGCAAAGAGTTCTGCTCCCCCTGTCCTTCAGGAACCTCCACTGCAGCCCCGGGAGCCTTCAGCCCCTCTCACTGTGAGCTGTTACACACTGTCTTTGTCCCTGTATTGTAAGTCACTTTGGATAAAAAGTCTGCTAAATAAATATATAAATTGTAGTCATAACAGAACCTCAGAAATCGATTTTTTATGCCAGCTCCCTCGTTTTATATCGTATGAACATTTCATGTTCAGTGGATGAGTAGAAATGGTCCATTTTACCTAATAAAATGTAAAAACACAAATAAAAACAAAAAAAACAAAATAACAAATAAAATCTTATGACGTTACTGAAGGCTACAGTAGATTTTATTGTGACGGTAGTTAAATGTTGATGTTATAGAATTCAACATAGAGAGCTGAATTCTTGTAAAACAATTCCAGTTAATATGAACATTTTAATCTCTGAAATGTCTTCTGTAAAATTGAATTCTGAAATATAGAAATGTGATGGTTGTGTATTGATATGGTCCATTACCTCCTCAAGTTGAGACTCTCTCTGTTGTGTAAAGGTGTTTCAGCATGTCAGAAAAGTAAGCTCAGATGCACAGATAGAGGAGACTTTGTTTCAGCCCAGAGGCATTTCCAGTCTGGCAAGTGGCTGTGCATCACTTCACAGGGAGAGGAACTCTCCTGGACATCTGCAGATGAGCAGATCAGTGCAGAGCAATGCAAAGGTGGGAGCAATGCAAAAGTTTAGGCATAAGGACTAACAATTTAGCTCTACTCTGGTGAATGGCAATATGTGATTAATGAGTGAGCTGCATGTCCACTACTGTTACAGCAGTACAGATACATTTATATTAATTATATCTCCAATGACTTGTGTGCATGCATGTCTGGATGAGCAGTATTGGAGAAATTTGAGGCTGTTCCAGTTTCATCATTGCTGTTGGATTCTGTGGATGCTGTGGTTTTACGCTCTGACTCCTCTTCACAGCCACTGGAGACTCAGCTCAGGGAGTGTGTGTTAGGTAAGTGTGTATAAGGCAACTTTTTTTTTTTTTGGCTTTTCTTGAGTTAACTCAACTCAAGAACACCCAACTCAAACGTCCTACTTTTCTCACTGTATTACTTCTGCATCTCAGTGAGTTAAACAATATAGAATTTTTTTTAACTGAATGTCCCCACTACCTGGGACTTCTTCCATCATACAATCCCACAAGGTATTTCCTCTTCTTTAGCTTCCAGTTATGGATGGCTGTGGTATCACTGAGGTTCACAATCTCTTGGTGCTGGAGTGTATGCTTAGAAAGTTGCACCACTTGAGAGCCACTGAAGTCAGATTTCTGCATTCATAAAAGTTTTGACACATTAACAACTGAGTTTATAGCTCAGTGCATATCACAGTGGCATAATGATTTGATTTAAATAAGTTTTTATAAATGGTGGTTTGTCAGTTGTTTTGAAGTGCTTGAGGTGCCATGTAGGCTTGTAAGCGCTGCCCTACAATAAAACTTTATTATTTTTTTTTTTTACAGTGTACTGTGTCTATGTTTGAGGATGAATTAAAAATAAATATTTTGATTTACTAAAATTAAGAAAAATAAATTTCAGAAGTTACCTATCGAACTTAACCTCTCCAAACGGTACCCTAGTTCCCATTCCTCATACTATATGCACCATGGTCATAACAACTGAGTCTGTGCCTAATGGCTAATGGCTGTCACTTTGTGCTATATATTTCTATACATTATAGTATTATTGATATAATGTCCTGAGATGTATAATCCATTCTCCCCACTTAAGTTTCAGTGTCCATCAACTGTGTTGACACAAATGTTTCAGAGCCTGTGCTGTGATTAAACATTTGCTAATATATCTGCTAGCACATCTGATGTTATAACTGTTAATGAAGAGCATAAAAAGCATTTCTGATGAAGTGGGGTGTTCTTTTGAATACTTGATGGAGAAAACTTACTGTACTAAGATTTTGAAATACCAGCTACTTGTACATTCAATCAGTAATGTTCTCTACAAACATACTCTTCTTGTGTTTATACTTGGAAGCCTTTGTTTTGAGCACAGATTAGTAATGAGGGGTCTGCAGATCCTTGATTTTACAAAAATGAAAGGGAAACAGCTTGTTAACTGTTCCATATCTTCAGTACTTGGAAACTTGAACATTTGGAGAAAAAAAGGTTTTACTGGTCCATGAAAGTTTTGCTCACTGTACTGCATTGTTGTGTAAATATTGCTGACACAGTAATTTGTTTAGACATGACTGGACATGTAATACATTACATTTGGGCCTTTTTATTGTGTACTTTTAATTGTGGACCTAAATAAAACATTTAAATGCAAGTTACATTTCTCAGTAGTGCAGTAGCTGCTTCTTTGTTGCCATTTTAATTGGTTCCAGACTGCTTATTTGCGAGTTGCACGTACCAAGATCCAAATATTTTACTCCTGCAGGCATCTTGTCAGTAATATATATATATATATATATATATATATATATATATATATATATATATATATATATATATAAAACTCACTTTTTCTTCTCTAGATTGTGCCAAAGATGACTCTTGCCAACATGTTGCTGTTTACCATGAGGGAGCACTAACCCTCTGTGACCTCTACAGCATGAGCGCAGCTAACATTGTGTGCAGAACCTCTCAGCAAGTAAGAGGCTCAAGTTACGCATTGTTCTGACTAATGGAAACACATTTCTCTGCATTATAAAAGCTGTTTCTCTCAGATGCCCACTCACACATGTTCTTGTAGCACTGGGCACGTGGTGGAAACATTTGCAGTCCACCTGATCTACCATCTGAATTGTCAGTGTATTGAGTGCTTTTGTGTGTGCACTGGAAAAAAACATATCAAAGCAGATGAATCTGTGTTGAGTCAGGATCAAAACTTTCTTCTTAAACTGATGTTGACTACAAATGTTCTGTAAACCTTTTTGAGTAATTTTTCAGTAATGTATTATTTCATCAGGCTGTTATATGAGATTGGACTTGCTGTGAACCTTTGGTTGTTGTTTTGAATTGTTTTAACATTTGATAGAAAGAACTAAGGATGGTCCAAATAGGGAGCATGATGAAAGGAAACATCTGGATATAAATCACCGACTTTAGCTGTTACATGTTTACATTTTTCTAAGCAACCATTGAACATTCACAAAAATGCTCAAACACATTTAACTGCATTTGTCTGGTGTGGCTCTTCAACTGTGATTCATAGGATGAGAGATAGTGTTCTGACATGAAGTAAACTGCTACTGACTTGACTTATTGAGGAACTTTGGTTGATTTGGCTTTTTTGGCATTATAGAGAAAAGGATTTCTGGGAAATGAAGGATCTGAAACCTTCCAGACTCTGAGCTGCTTGCTGAAAGTGAAAGTCGGGGACAAGCCCAATCTCACAGTGCTCAGAAAGAAAGGTAAAATATGAGACCTAAATGTTTGTACCAGGAATTTAAAGTGAACCTGAAATCAAAATTGACCATTTTTTACATTGCTAGTTCGTGTTCCTGCTTACATTAAGCATGATTCATCATATATGATACAAAAGGCATGTTTCACTTTCCCTCCCACCACCTCCACCTCTCACCAGCTAATACCATATTTCACTCATAAAATATGACACAGATGGAAAATGTGTATCGATTTCAGATTCACTTTGGCGTTAGTCCTTACTTGGTAAATCGTTGAGAAAATATTTCTGTGTTTAAAACTTTAAACAGTGACTTGAATTCCCCTCTCAGTGGCGTAGAATGCTAGCCTATAATCTTCACAAAAAATGTTATCTTTAGCCTCTCCAAAGTCTTTGGAAGTATTCCCATGCCTTGTTCATGAAGAATGTCTTTCTATTCTGCTTTCATCCACCTTTACCCCCTAAAAGGTCATGAATTCAGCACAGCGGGCCAGAAGAGCTTTGAGCGGCTGAGTTTTCACAAGGCGAGTTCTGGAGTATACCGGACTCTTGTGTTTGAGGCTCCTGGGGCAACTCTGGCTGATGTACACCGCTTCTGTGTGGACTCCTGCAGTCAGGAGAGCTGCTGTGATGGCTTCATCCTCAACCAGAATGTCCTCAATGGAGGTCAGCTTTGGTTTTACCCTGAGCTACAACCTCAGGGATGCTGAATCTAGTGTAAAGCTCACAAATGCTCAACATATGTGGAGCTTCTTTAAGCCTGTTGTAAAAGCATCTCAAGTGTCTCCTTATGAAAGTGTGGAAAGAATACAATGATGGTACAAAGCCGCATCAAATGGGGTGCACTGTGAAGAGTCTAAAACAGGATATAGTTTTTGTAGATTAGTTTTTACATTTTTGATCACTGCATGATTCTTAGTCTTAACAGTCTTGATTTCTTGTGTCTATGGCTAATATTCTAAAACATAAAACTTTTATATCCAAACTTTTGGTACTGCAGGTCAAGATTTGAAAGGGGTGAAAATTAAATGGTGTTTTGAAGGTTTCTCTGTGTGCTGAATGGCAGGTTCTGTGATGTGCGGTCTACTGAGTTTTCCTGCTGTGCTGCAGTGCAGTGAAGATGACTGGGATGTGAGTGCTGTGGCCTCCTCAAGCCGCATCTGTGGAGCTGGACTCAAATACAACAAGCAGCAGAAACGCTTTACTTTTGAGTTTGGTGGACAGAACTTCACCATCAGTAAGGCAGCAGAAGCACACTGCCGACCTTAAATATGAGCAACTGGGAAACTGATGTGGTTGTTGTTATTGTTCAGTATGTCTCTTTTTCTCTGGATTATCAGACCTGTTCATTACTCTTGTTCTTTCAGCTGATACAGCTTTGCCAACATCAAGCAAAAATAAAACTGATTACCAGGCCACTATCATTGGCTTCCAGCGTGTCTACCTGTGGAATGGTAAGGAAATAATGTCGTAAACTGTGATGTAATCATTATTAAAACTACATACTAGGACCGCTTAAGACGACAGAACAATGTACACTTGCAAGGAAATATATGTTGCTTTCATGGTTGCTTTATTGGTATTAACAGCAATGATTTCCTCATTAGAGTCAGATATGAGTACTCGGCTGAGGGTTGATGGAGCCTGTCAAGGAGCAGCTCTTCTGGAAGCTCCCAGACTGACCCTCTCTGGTATGAGACTTTCCAACCACCTTCTCCCTGACTTCAAATTTAGATGAGTCCGTATGTGTAAGACTTGGGGAGTTAGTATTATATTAGATTACACTTTATTTGAAGAATTTATAATAGATTATTTGTAAATGCTCAAATTATTAACATACAGTGTGGTGAAGCCCAGTTGCTTTCAGTGACATTAGGGTTAGGATTACGAGTTAGACCATGCCTATGGTTGGATTTATATTTTGAGTTGAAATTAAGGTTAGATTAAGTGTTATTTTTTAAGTTTAGGGAAGCATTAAGATGCTTTAATAGATATTTAATTGTTGTAGGTTAAAGATAAAGTAAGCATCTGCAGTGGACTGTCCAAATAACGTGTCACTGCTTATTATACAGTACTTTCTCAGGTCTTTAAGAAAGGCAAGAAACAGAGGTAATATATAAGCTTGGACAGTAATGTTTTTTTATATGAGCAGTTACTGTCTGTAGAATCATTGTGATAAGCAGTATCATCAAGATCTAAATTCTGTTGTAAATACACATGGACCACATCATGTGAGCGTTACAGAGTCTTGCCCTACAGCTTGAGTTTTCCCTGTTGGTAATATAATTAATTAATTAAGCTTCTAATATTGCTTAATAATTGTAATGATATCTGTATTCTACACAGACAGCATGTAACACTGTTGACATCCAGTGATTCTCTGCCTTTTTTTCTTGATTGGAAACCAAAGTATTGCCAAACTGGTGCCTTATCACTCTTCTTCTTTTCAAGTTCATACATTTTACTCTCTACTGGAGAATAGATCTCTCATACCAGAGTTCTTGCCCAGCATTCTTGCCCAGATCATTTGTTATAATATTTCCAAACCGTTTTAAAAGAATTTAAGTGTGTAGTTAATTACTTTATGATATTCTATTTGTATAAGCTATAATTAAATGCAGTCTTTTTTGTTGTGTAAAAAGGAAATGCACGACACAACAAAGAGAACTAAATAATGATGATTGGCATAATAGCGTCACCTATTTAAATGATTGCAAATTTGATAATTTGATTAATGGCCCAAGACTAACCTGTTACGCATGTTACTTTTGACATTGCCTTGCAGATTCAGTGAAAGAAACTTTTGATGCTCTGGACAGTGGTGATGTAAGGATCGACTCAGAAAAGAATACACCCAGACAACAGTACTGGGTCTTCAAACGCCAGTTCACTAAGGAAGAAGCCCAGCTCTGGTGCCTCAAACGTAAGACTTTATTTAGCACTAAAAGAACAAGAGCTACTCTTGTACAGGCTGTGATGTCATACTTTGTTTCTCTCTAACTGAATCCCTACTCGTGTGTGTATGTGGGTGGACATGTGTTCTATGTGTATCCACTGAAGGTTGTGTGGAGGAGGAGCTGTGTCATGTGGCTGACCTTCGAGATGAAGGCTCTGTGTATTTTGCATGCGTACTGTATCCAGACACACGTGTGTGTGGGGCCTACGATAAGCCTCTGAGACAGGCCTGTATTCTCGTGTTGCCCCAGGACACACACAGTGCCCACCGGAAGAAGGGTGAGTTCAACATGCATTCTTACTTCCTGTGCTAAACCACACTGAAACCACTCTATACAAGGGCTGCTTTTCTGGTCTAAATACTCAGAGATAAATGTACATACAGTTGCCAGTTTATTAGGAAAACACAACCAAAAAGCAGAAAACACATATTTAACAGAAAAGTACGCGGAAGCCTGGACAACTAAATATCAGTTTTTCAGTGTTTAGTGTGTATACCCTTTGCCTTTATAACAGCTTCCATTCTTTTTGGGAGACTTGCTTTCAGTATTTCAAAGAAATCTGCAGCAAGATTTTTCTTCCACTCCTCAAAGTTCAGTCTTAGAAGTTGGTTGCATTTACTGCTTCTCACAGTTCAGTAAATTCCCACTGAAAATGTATAAATGTCAGTCCATAAAACCTTGTTCCACAACTCAGATATCCAGTTTTGTGTTCTAGTCCAGATTTTCTTCATTTTATTTTCTCAGTAACGGCTTCTTGACAGCTTGACGTCCTTTCAAACCCATAGCGTTAAGTTGTCTTCTCACAGTGGAAGGGTGGACATAAATATTTGTGGGTTTTTTTTCAGATTTTCTCCTCTCTCTCAAAGATGAAAGCTTTAAGTGCTGTTTATTTGTGGGTAACAGTTTATGTGGTGTACCAGGTCTTGGACAGTTGTTAGGATTCCCATTTCCCCCTTCTTTATGCAAGTGGACTACCTTTATATTTAATCTCCTCGGAAATGTCTTCTTTAGTCAGTGTGGATGCATGTCAGAAAGAAATTTTAAGGCAGCTAAGGTGAGTTTGGGTAGTGGCTTGTGTGAATGTTAGTGTCTTATTGACACAGAATGTAATGCCAGTGACTCTTTTAGGGGCAGCATTTGTTGGGAGGACATGGCTGAAACAGGCTGTTTTTAAGATTGGAAGGAAGGAACAGTTAAAGTGGCAGTGGAGTACACAAAAGTAATGAGAGGACAAATTAAATTCAAAATAAATGTGGTCAGTGAGTGTACACAGTGTTTAAAAACCCCAGCAGCACTGCTGTGAATGATAGTCTTGCCTCTGCTATGTCAGTGTCACTACTGAGCTAAGAATCATCCACCACCCAAATAATATCTGGTCAGTGGTAGTTCTATGGTGGCCCCTTTCCATAGATGGACAGGGTAGAGTAGGGCTAATAAATTTTGCAGCAACACATGAGCTACAGTCAGAAATTGTAATCTTATGAAGTGCACTGATATGGTAGGAATACCTAATAAAAAACTGACACACATTATTTGAGCTTGATAATAAAATAATAAATAATAAATAAATAAAATTATAAAATAATAATAATAATAATAAAACCCTCTCTCCTATTAAACTCATGGAGCCTCTACATTAATTTCACAAGCTTAATCTATTTAGATGAGAATTCATTTTGTGTTATAACAGCTGTCTGCCTTTATACCTCTTGAACTCTGTTTCTGGCAGTAGTTATGTCTTCCATCAGAAAACCTATTACCTTGAACTCTGAATACAAAACATCTTCCAGTGATAACATTTTTATCCATTAAATTATAAATCACTAGTAATATGATGGCATTTTAATGATGAAATCAATAGCTCTGGCGGTTGGTCTGTGCACAGAGCTGGGTAATGGGTAGATGCTACATCAGTCTAATCCTCCTGTATTTTGATTAGCTTGTTTTGCTGCTTGTTGATCTTAGCAACTGTCCCAGAGTTTAGATGACTCCAAAGTTTATACAGCTGCCTCTGTATTGCTCGGGGTCTGAGCAGTGAGAGGAGAGAGAGGATGTGGTCTGATCAGATGATGTAAGCTTATTTGTTTGTGCTTGGGCTGTGTGAGCAAGCGCTGGTAACCGTGAAGAGCTGATTACTCTGTCTGGCAAAAATGAGTGTTTCTGCAGTTTTGCTTAAAATGTGGCTCTGCTGGGCTGCCTGTGTGTGTATGTGTGTGTGTGTGTGTTGGCAAAACCAACAAAACACAGGATGTGTTTGTTCAAAAGCTTTAATAAGCAGAGTCCCTGCTTTAGATGCTAAAATAATGAAAAAACAATAGACATCAAATGCTCTGAATGAAGATGTTACCGTAGATATATTTATAATTAGTTCCACATTCAAAACATTTTATCAGAGGTGGAAAAATACAACAACTCTGCTTAAGTGAAAGTGTGAGTACAGGATCAAATTTTACTCAGTTCAAAGTGGAAGTGTGGAGTCAAAAGATAAACTTGAGTAAAAGAAAATCGTCCTTAAATATAGTTTATCTTGTATATAAAAGTAAAAAGTAAATGTCTTAACAAGTAAATCAAAGGTTTTCTAGGTGACTAATTGGTGGTACTAGATCTATAGACAAATAAGCACAGTTGTGGGCAGTTTCACTTTACACTGATGTGAATTTGGTTGGATATTTTGATAGTCAATTCATTAAAACAATCAGAAATTTGACTGATTGGCAGGAGAAAAATCTCCTGTAATTGGAAATGTGTTGCCTTTTTCTTTTAAAGCTGTACACAAAAAAATGTGAGGCATAAAATTTGTATGTAAATTGCCAACATGATGCACTGCAGGTTCTAAAGCAGAACATTGTTTCTATAACATCAAGTCCAAGTGCGTCCTGAACTCCTGCTAAAACTTGTAGCAAGATATTTGATTTTTTTTTAATATCAGTACAAGTTTTAAGGCTTCATTACAAAGTTTCTGTGGTTGAACTAAAATAGACTGTCTGATCTTTTCAGGCCCAAATTCTCACGTTTTCATTGTCAGCACTTAAAACAAGAAAAACATTTTATTTAAAAAAAATGTTTTATTTCTTGTGGGCTGCTATGCTTTTTAGTTAAAAACAGGTGGGCCTTTAGGTTGAAAACATTAGGAAACCCTTTTTTATAAACACCAAAAGGTATGAGCACATACCTTGTTATAACATAGAGATTGTCATTGTTTTCTTGAACCTAAGAAATTAAAATGACCATGTAATGACCACATTGTGAGAACACCTGATGTAGCAGCCAATGTCAATACTTAACTAAGCTTGCATACAGATATGTGATTAAGTGTCCCCCTCTGTTGTCGTGACATTTTTGAGATGGAGAGAGAGATTTTCTCTCCGGTGTCAGAGTCATGGAGAACAGTTCCAAAATGTATCCAGCTGGAAATTTTTGTCAGTTTTGTTGAAAGTTAAAACTTGAAGCACAAGTTTTTAAATCAGTCTCAGTCAGGTCTGACTCATCAACGTGTTATGTATTTGGTTTGGAGTTAAACCACTTGATTTCAACATCTGCTACCCTCTTCATTCTCTCTCAGCTAGAACTTCTAGAAGAAGTTTTCCACATACAGTTTCATAACTGTCACATTTTATAAATGCCTGGGCATCTGGATAATGGCTAGGTGTCCTTTAAAAGGGACATTGAGAATCTGTTGGATGCCATTTTAGAAATGTAAACAGTTTTACCTTTAACTGTATGAAGAATTGCCCAGGTGCCAATCCTTGGTTATGGGGACATTTATAACCTATGTTGTGGTGTGTAGTTTTTGTGCATTAGTTTGGATTTTATTGCTTTTTAATTTGGGCTCTTATAATTTTCGCATGAGCCTTATTAAACCCTTTTTCAGCATTAGCCTTCTTTCCAAGATAAAGAACCATTTTCCAAAAGTAATAAAACAAAAAATTGTTGGTGAGTTAGACAATGAGACAACATCCTATACCAAGCAATTTTGTTAATTTGGTTATATTAGCCTGGATTTTCCTGATCTGTACAGTAATTGTTCCCTTCCATTTCTGTGATGTCTAAGGTTTGTCTCCATGGAAAGAAGTCAGCATTACATAACAGTGTGCTGCCATCTGGGCGGCTGTAGAGCAGTAGAGTTTTCCTGCCCATCTGCAGCGGTTCTGAACACCAAGCATTTTGAAGCCATGTGGCGATGTGCTGGTGTACACCTGATTTATAGTGTCTGTGCTGGGCTGAGAAGCTCCCTTAGGTTGCTCTGTCTGTTCTGCCATGTGACTTCAGTTCTGTGCCAATGATCAGTCCTAGTAAATCTGAAGGTAATTAGAAACAGGTTTCTTATTGACCCCATGCTGCAGTTTAGACAAACCCTGTTTACGTATCTTGTGCTTAAAATGCTATTAACTGCTAAGTAGAGTATTCAGAGTGTGGCTGACTATGGGTATTGTTTACACATATTGCCCTGGTCCTCATATGTAAATTTGAGCATGAAGAATGCCACTCCTTTATACCAAGATCATAAAAACTCAGCCGTTTTCTGCCTTTTCCAGAGCCGGCGCAATGTATTTCATTGGCCTATTAAATAATCCACAACAGAAAGCAGCTAGCATAAACTCTTCACATGTGGTCCGTCTGCTGTTGACTTTGATAGGTGGAAAACGATGCTTCCTGTGGGCAGCGCTGCCTCAGGGGGCTTCTCAAGGATCGCTGAGCCAGCATTATGCCTTTCTCCTCACAGAAAATCAAAGACTCTTTTCACAATTACAGCACTTCAGGGCTTTACTAGGAGTTTTCTTCCTGTTGGAAAGCATGTCATTTTGCCAGGTCAAGAGCCAAATAAAGGAAGACTTAAGGGCTTTATCCAAGAACTGTTTAAAAGAGATCACATTGTGTTTTCTTTGTGTCTTCGCAAAAATGTGTTTTGGTGTCCATCTGTTTATCTTTTGTATCATAATATATATTCTTATTTGTTTGTTTTCTTCATTCCACAGTCTTTCGTAAATCTTAAACAACAAGCTCTAGAGGCTTTCCTCTTAAAGCAGATAAAAACTGTGGACTGAATTATTTTCTTTATGGTGAATTTGCATTAAAAATCATTTCCAGTGTAGACCTGGGGCTGCTTATATGACCCAGAGCACTGTTCCATTATGCCGTTCTAATGGTACATTTATATACGTGAACTTTGTGGAAAACTTTGTGGTTTAATATCGCCTCTGTATGCAGTGTTTATAAAGCCATATGTTCAGACTACTCTCATCAGCTGAAATTTTCCACCCTCACTAGTCTTTTTTATACAAACACCCATGATATTTTTTCCTCCTTTAGGGAATCGTTAGTTTGAATGATTATAATCAATGTATCTGGTAACCACACATTCTGAACTATTTATGTCAGTGAAATAATATAGCCAATATTTTCTCCCCATTTTCTGTGATTATTATCTGAAAGCTTACATTTGAAAGGATTTGAAAATGCATTGAGGTAAAGAACATATATCACATTAGAAATGGTTCTTGGAAGCAACAGAAGGAAAAGGTGGTGTTTTTTACTCCTTCTCTCTCTGCAGTTGATTTAACAGGCAGCGTGGAGAGCTTCTATAGCCGCGTGCCATTTAAAAAGATGGTGTCTTATTCCGTCCGCAGCAGAGACAGTGTGTCCAGCAAGCCCATTACTGAAGGGTAAGCAAGTATTCAGTATCACTCGAGAGTTGTAATACGGTATTTGGAGTAAAGAAAGCTGGCATTGTGAGTTATTCTCCCCCTAACATAACCTTTTGTTTGGCCCGAAGTACATAATAGTGTAGTAAGTCGTGAGCTTGTGCTGAAATAGAGTTTAAACTGTTTAATCTTTCACAATCACAACTGGCAATCAAAAGCCCCTACCACAAGTCCTGTCTTGTGGTTGCCTGAGATAGACCTTTGATGATTATTTCCTCTCAGCTGCTACCTGTTGCTGTGTTGTGCAGGTTTTTTGAGTGTGAGAGGCGCTGTGATGAGGACCCTTGCTGCAGGGGCATTGGATATGTCCGAGATACTGAAGCTGCTGGTAGGAACATGTGGTTGTATCTTTCTATAGCTTTTTGTGTCATACCATTAATCACTCATTGATTAACCATGTTATTGTACATCTCTCTCTCTCTCTCAGATATGTTGTGTCTGACTCTGAATAGTCTGGGCATTCAGACGTGTGGGGAAGATGACCGCACTGAGTGGAGAGTGCAGGACTGCTCCCCTTCAAAAGTGCAGACTGGACTCTACCCCTTTGGCTGGTATGAGAAACCAGGTATGTGTGAATTCTGCACTCCAGCATATGGGAGCAAACAGGTGGATATATGTAAACGAACAACCAGTCTTACTCCTTAAATGCTCATTTACTGGTGAAGTGCTTTTGCCCTCGCAGTATCATTCAAAAGTTTGGAATCACTTGTCAGTTTTTACTGTTATTTCATTCAGTTGTACTTTGTTGGAATGGAATGCTATAAACGTGTGGTTGGATGGATAGAATGGATAGTTTTGGTTTTAATACAAGGCAGAAGCACAATCGAAACCACTGTAAAATACTTGACATACCTATGTCAAATACATAATTTATATGTATCCTGCATTTTTTTTTTTTGCATTTGTGTGGTTTTATGTCTCAAAAATGGTCATAATTCATCTATACATGAAAATTTTAGAACCTGTCTTTATCCCTTACCCCACTGTACTTTGTGTGGAAACCATGGCAACATACAGCCTCTTGTAGCAGATTACTTCAGAATTTCGGAAAATTATTGTTATTATTACTATTGTTTCAGCACTATTGTCACGAAATGTCATAAAATCTGCCTAATTAGTTGTAATATTTTTATATTATATGACTTTTGTTTGCGTATTTTGGTTTGATGCAAGCCATAATAAAAATCCAGTATTGTACCCCTTTAGTCTGGACCAAAGGGACCAAACTACAAAGTTAAACACATCCTAAATGCATCTGAGTGTTTAAGCACAGATCACACTGGCTTATACCTTCTGTCATTCTTTAAAACTGTAACTGCTTAACAGATAGCAGATACTCTGCTGCCTGCTAATACTGATGGAATTCATACCTTCATGACATATCATTTACTTGACCTGTGAGTTTCCTGTATTTCCAGTGAATCAGTGGACACAAAGTCCTGGTATTTGTCCTTCCTTCAAGCTTCGCTCTCCCTCAAAAGCTGGTAAGAGGATCGTTATCTTTTATCAGAAGCTTGTGCACCTTCATGTAAATGGCTTAGAAACACTAGATGTGCAATTTCTTTATCAGGAATTATTTTTGCTCTACACATGATTAGATTGCATGTAGTTGGTGAATGTAAAGCACTTAATTCCCTCTTTTTTATACACAAGTATACACACATTCATACACAACATTACATCATCTTCACATGTCATATAACTCATATGGAATTTTCTTCTAACACTGTAATGTTATCATTTTAAAATCATGTATTAAATGTGTTTTTGTTGCTGATTCTTCACAGTTAATTTGAATGACTGGAAGCTGGTAAATGCATCATCTGTCCTTGTGGACCCGTCTGTCTCCACGTTTGACATAGTTCATATCAGCAGAGACATTGCAGAGGAGCTGGATGGAGTGCGTGATTGGTGCCTGGCTGGTGAGAGTGCCTTGCTCTTTCTTTCTTTCTTTCTTGCTTTCTTGCTTTCTTTCTTGCTTTCTTTCCTCACCTTACATGAACTTCAGTAATCTGCAAAGATGAAGGATGCCTTTTCATGTACCTATGAAGAGACTGAAGTAACCTACTTAGTCAGGACCAGCAAAATGGCCCTGACTTTGTGAAGTGCCTTCATACAAAAGTTACCTGTTAAATTAAAAGACTGCTGTTTTCTTATTGGTTACTAGAGGTTGCTGTTAGGTTTAGGGTTAGGCTTAGCAAGTTCTGATTACGTATATTACTTACCGTAAATATGTCCTGATATTGTAAAAAAACAAAATTTTCTTCTCTGCAGCCTGTGAGGAGAATGATTCGTGTTCTGCTGTGTCAGTGGCCAGTAGAGAGTCTGCAGTTAGATGTGTGATGTATCCAGACACTCATATCTGTCTGCCGTCGTCCAGCAGCCAGCACTGTGTCTTCCTCACTAAAGAACCTGCTGAATATGTGTACCTTAAAACAGGTGAGGAAATGTCCTGAGAACTAGTAGTGTAACCCTTATGCTTTCCCACGATAAAATACAATTGTAATTTGTAAGGTGTTAAGAGAACGCTAGTACTCTGCAAATTCATCTCCATAGTATGCAATCAATATGATTGATACATCCAGCGAACAATTGTACATTTCTGTTAATTCACTTTAAACTGTGATTGATAAACATTTATTGGTAAGACTTTACTGAAGGGCAGCATTTGTAAGGCTACACAACATCTACATAAACCTTTAATGACAATTGCCATAAACCTGCATAAACATACAAACATGAGAAAGTGTTGTGACAACTTGTGTTTTTTGAAATAAACCTTTAGTGTTTGTATAGGTTTGTTACTTGTCATAGGAGACTTAAGCAGATGTTGTGTAGCCTTATGAACACCACCTTTCAGTAATCTTTTTATTTATTAAAATGAATTTAATGAAAGCGCTAAAATAACCATATTTTTCAACTTTTAATATTTTTATTGACCATGGTTCAGTGTTGTGTTTGTTTACTGGACCTCTTTTTACAAACAGCTCAAGTAGTCTGTGATTAGTATTATGGCTTTTAAGGATTTTGTGTGTTTAAGTTTTGAAGCCAAAGCTGACCTCAGTCTCCATCCCTGGCCATGGAACGCTCCTTGGTGAAAACGGGGTGAAGCTGATTGGTGCAGACAGCAAGAGTGTGACTTATTTCCTGGGGGTGCCTTATGCTCGTCCACCGATTGGACAGCTTCGCTTTCAGTGCCCCGCAACCAGCTGACTGGACAGGATCCTGGAATGCCACGTTTGCTCGGTGTGTGTTTTGTGGTTGTGTCTGAATGTGTATGTATGACTCATTTGTTGTTTGCTAGTCTGGCTGTTTTGAATTTGGTATTTAAATGTTTGAATTGTTTCAGACCCAGTTGTCTTCAACCTGGTGACACCACTGACTCACGTTCCAGTGAAGACTGTCTCTACTTGAATATATTTGTACCAGGCAGTGTGGTACGTGCTGATGATTTCATATCTCTGCATCACATACATAAACACACATCCAAAACAGGCACAAAAAAAGTGTCTAACGAAGTGTTTCTCAATCCAGCACTGGACATTTTACCTGCTGTAACACACCCATTTTAAACTCAAGGATGCTTGTTAATTAGATGATCAGTTGATTTAAGGATGCACTAATAAGGAGTTTCTGCTAATTTACACCTTGTTGTGGTCAATACCAACAATGATGATTTAGATTAGATTTTTTTTTAATTAAAAAGAAAAAACTTCACACTATAGCCTATATATGAAGTGCAGTGGACAGGACAGGTTAAAACTTGATGGAGAAGATGGACTTTAACTTTTAAAGTTGATTAAATTTAGACAACCATATGATAGCTTAATTGGACTTGGTAATTGAAAATATTAATATTATTTTTATGTGTCTTTATATATTATATATTCTATATTGTATTTGGACCCACTTGTCCAGAGCCGCGTACAACGGTGGGGGAGATATAATGTTAGGTGTTTCTCACTAGGAGTCTTATTGGTATAACAGTTATCCAACCTTCCATTTACAGGGTGACAGTATTAATAATAGGGCACTAAATTATCAGTTACAGTTGCCGCCTGTAATTCCACTATTAGATGTTAATAAGGATTATATTGTCCCATTTTTGGTGAATAATATATTGGCCAACATATTCTTCACTCCTGTGAGAAAGTGCAGTGCAAATGCAGCAGCAGGATTAGGAAACGTTCGTCAGATGACTGCGAATGCCATATTCATGTCTCATCAACAAACCCTGCTTGCTGTTTTCCATGGCGCCATCCTGTTTGTTACAGAGTCAGGGTGCACCAGTTCTCATGTTTTTCCATAACTCTGGCTCCGGCCTGCTGGATGGCTCTTACCTTGCTGCTGTAGGAGACATCATTGTGGTGACAGCCAACTTCAGGGTTGCTGCTTTTGGGTTCCTTAGCACAGGTACTAATACACCCCAGCATCACACAAACACACTCTTTTATCATTTTATTGTTTATCTCACATTTATTATCACGTTTATCTCATCATAGTGCTAGAAAACACTAATAAAACATATAAATAAGGAATGGTTTGGTGTGCCCAGCAGTCTTGGGGGGTTTTGCAGTACAAAGTAACATGTTACAATAATGTGATTACTTTTTCCTGTAACAGTGTGGTGTAACACATTACAGTTTATATTCTTGTAGTCACATTATAGTTACTGGCTTAATAAGAATTGTGTTACTCACATTACTCATATGTTTATAAAAGAACAATACTAATCATGTGTTATGCATTTAACATGTGATTATTCGTGCCTGACCTGTTGTTGTTTCCACACGTGTTTGCCACGTGAGTCTGCTGACTGAGCGACTTCGATGTGAATACAAGAAGCACGTCATGAGCACAGGAAGTGCTGTAAACTTGGTGAACAGGCTGTGAAAGCATCTGTTCTAGATGGATGGTTTCTAATCTGAATAAGAGAGATCCCTAACCTCACCTAAACAGGCCAAACTAGATTTTTATTCAAGAACAGCTCTGTATGCTTCACATTTTATTCATAAAAATTGAGGCATCTTTCTACCGGCTAGTTTCTAGGTTTTCAAACTGCATCAGCCATTCATAATTCTATTCAAGCGTGACTGGCTATGCCTTTTTAAAGTCAGGGATAGTAACATGCCTAAATTATATTTACTGTGACTCGCTGTTTCTTTCTTTCAAACTGTTGTTTGGCAGCCGAAATGATGAATAACTAAATGACCTAAAATGACTGCTGGGTTTGCTCTTATATACATCTGTACCGACTGTATAAGGGCAACACGTGGGTTTTACAGATGTAACGTAGAAATAAATTAATGAGTAATTGATTCCTTGTTTCCAGCAAATATTGAGTAAAGTCATTTCATTTCACATTGAATGAAACCATTTGCAATGGACTGTTTGAGTAACTGTCCCAACACTGGTGCCCTATAACTTTCCAAGACCGGGTTGCATGGTAGAGTTTTTTTTTCTGTGTAATAGATCATTCCTGTCAAAAACAAAAAACTTGTATCTGCGTTTCTCTTCTTTTGAAAACACCAGCTGATCTTTAACTTGTGTGAAAGTTTCATGAAGAATAGACCAATATGAAAGGCCCCAAATTATTTGGAGTAAAATCTCTTCAAATTAAGTTCTGTTGAAAATTAAGAACGTTTTTCCTTTTTGCTATTTTGGAGATACAAGGTTGTTGTCTGACAGTGATGATATAAAGTTTATAATATGTACTGTGAGCATTTACAACAGACACCTCAAAATGATAAGACTGCTATGTGCTATGAATGATATGCTTTAGTAACCCTCTTTAGTCTGAATTCTCTTGTTGCAATGGTTAAAGTATTCGCAGTATTAAAAATGGCTGTATAGGAATTGACTTTACTCACTACCATGTACATTATTTGGTAGAATACAGTTGCAGATTGTTGTATCTTACATTGAGTGGATACTTGGTCATCCAAAGTGATACAATTTGCATGGTCATATGACCACAGGTTCCAGCGCTCTTCCGGAGAACTATGGGCTGCAGGACCAGGCAGCAGCACTTGGGTGGGTACAGGAGAACATTGCTCTTTTCGGAGGAGATCCCACCAGGGTGACTGTGGGAGCAGACAGAAACGGTGCTGACATTGCCAGTCTTCATCTCTTCTCATCCTCATCTCTCTTCCACCAGGCTCTGCTCATGGTAAGAACTGAAAAGTGCATCTGTCTGAATCATGAGGAGATGGTGTGCCAGAATGGAGAAAATAACAATGTCTTGGTCTTTTCATGGTTGAAGAGAACATAGTAAATCCACAGTGAAGTCCACATGTGGTACTGAAATACAAGCAGTAAAAGTCAATGTGTGAAATATCTCAAACATCCTCACTGTAGTAGCTTGAGCCCCGTGCTTAATTTGCAGGCCTCAAAATGTCAGCCAACAACTTCTTGTTGTTTGCTGGCTTTCTCAATTCATCCTTAAGATTAGTTTGCAAGGTATTTTTCTAAAACACAGTGTAGTATTTTGGAATAGATCAATTTGTCTTGGTTCAAATGCAAAGCATGTTTTTAGGTTGTAGCCGTTCATGTCCTTAGATTTCAGTACCGCTTCTTCAGCTCTTTCCGCGGTTCATTATGCAACTTCCTCATAGCTCTCTTCCTCTCTGACTGTACTGTGGACCTGTTGGCTGGATGGCATGTAGATGGATCTCCATTTCTTCCTCTTCCAGCTGTGCTTTCTTCTTTCTTGGACTCCGGCCAGGGAGAGATAGGTCGACACACTGTTTTGGACCCCGAAACTGATGCCAGAGTCTCTGCGAGCAGGAAAGCCACTGGCATTCTGCTGCTCAGCACTGTGGAGGGGTTAGAACAGTTAGTGAACCTTTTACATAAAGCTGTCTGATGACATGCTTTTAAAAAGCTGATACAGCAAAGATGGATTATCACAGTTTCATTGACTGACTATACCTGGCCTCAAGACAAGCTGAATTATTCAATCATAATTAAGCCTTTTACTTGTCCATCTCTAAAAAAACAGACACCCTTAGAAGTATCAGTCATCACTGATGAAAATTACAAAGCTTGGTATACCTTTTATTAATTACTCACTTGTAGTTAAGCTTGGACGATAACGCAAATTTAGACAACTGATTTTTGTCTGCACAGTTATAAACGATATCATCCTGATTAAAATTTTAGTTATAATGTAGCACATATGAACAATATAAAGCCTTGCAGAGCCTGTAGCTTGCATTTTCCCAGGTTGTGCTATCATTACCCTACAATTATCACCTGGGATAAACATTTCTAATCATCTAACCATATTCTGCACAGATGGCCGGAAACACATTTTAACATTCAGTGATTCTCTGAGTTTGTTTCATTGGAGTTAGTGATGTTCTGTTTGTATAACCTATAATTAGTGCAGTCTTTTCTATTGTATACATTTTTTTAATTAACCATAGATGCAGTTGTATGCAAAAGTTTGGGCACCGCTGGTCAAATGACCTTTTATTGATTTTATAAGTGAAAACAAGTTAATACATTCTCCACAGAGAACACACTTCTGCACATTTTAAGGGAAATGGAATATATAGGAATTTTGCACTAAACTTTTGCAGAGAAAAGTCATATTTAAATGTGTTCCCTGTAAAATATGTGTTATTTATTTTCACTGGAAAAATCAATAAAACATGTAATTTGACTGTGTGTTCACACTTTGACTTACGACTGTAACAGTGATTGTACAAAGGGAATAATAAAGGTGAAGCACAGAAAAAGGCAAAAAAAAAAAATCATGTGGCATGTGAAAGCAAAAAATAACAATATGCACCTATTTAAATTATTGCAGTATTCAGTAATATCATTTATTGGCATAAGTCTACTTGTGGCTTATTGAAACTAACAAAGAAATTCTGTAAAAATCAATATTTAAAAATTTCAACTCTTTTTTCATTATAAGTTTTTTTTTTGTGCGTAGATTCTTGTTTTGCGGAAAGAAAAAATACGCTTTACATTTTTGCCATATTTTTGTCATTCAAGTCTAAACAAACAGACAAACACTCTGTAAATTCAGTATGTTATTCAAATCTAATTACATCTGAAGTAATATATGTAGAAAATGCAGTAAACTTCTAATGACTAGTGAATATAGAGCTTTTTTTTTATCAGCATGCAAAATACTTTGGTTCCATAACCCATCTTAGCTGAAGTTTGGGATGGGGCCTTTACCTGTCTGCTGCTGTCCAGTTCTGTGATCTCATCGTTCGAGCAGGCAGGGAGGGCAGGCTCTGGGATGGGTCAGGGGCAGCCAAGCAGGGACCAGTAAGAACACAGCATAGACCATCCGCTATATCTGTGTGAGTGAAAAAGACTTTGTCTGTCCAGATCAAACTAAATAAATGCTGCGCAGAACATTTGAAGAATAGGGATGGGAGCTAAACTAGCTAACAATACAACTTGATCAGTGTTACCAGAGTAGTGGCTGACCAGGTCCTCGAGGCACTGGAAAGTGAGACGTGGGGAGATGAAATACCAATTGTTTGGCAGCCGAAATATCCGGTAATGCATTACGACCCTGTGACGCACAGACAAGGCGTACATACCTGCAGGTGCAAAACCCAAACCAAACTCTTCAGTTTACATAGCAAGTTACACAGCAAATAGCAGTTATTTCTTTGTTAAAAGAAGTATAAATGTAAGGCATCGTCATTCACATTCTCACCTCTTGTACTGACTCTGATCATGAAAGACCCTACTCTGTTCCCAGGCAGTAGAAGCAGCTCCTCAGCCTTTTCCCTCTCAACCCCCTCAAACAACCAGCTGAAACCATGGGGGGAACATCATGTTTGACCCTTATTATATTACAATTGAAAAAGAACTGAATAGTTTAGGTTTAACTTTACTGCTCACCCATGGTAAACCTTGGCTACATGGCAGTGTGGGATGAAGTTTTCCTCTCTAGTCTGGAGAGAGTATACTTTCCACCAGTACCCCTCACTGGGAGAAGAGGGATAGAGACAGAGCATGAAGATCATGTGTCATGGCTTTCTGGACAGATGCTATATATGACATATAGTTCATTATTACAGCAAAGTCAACAATAATAGATTAAAACCTGTTATTTCTTCTCTACAGTTTCTGTCAGAGAAAAAATTAGCTATCAATCTAGTCAATGACCACAGCAGCTCCACTTAATACATTAAACTTACTGTTCAGTGTATAAAAGTCCAAGTCCTGCTTGTAACTGCTTTACTGAGTAACTGAATCTACGGTCACCGGATTTTAACCTTTTGAAGCCTAAGCAATAATTTAGTTACTTATCTTACGGCTTATTATTCATAAACTACTATGACTTATTCAGCAAATGCAATGATACTGAAATGTAAGTTATGTAGTTATGAGAGTGAGGAACTGAAGTGAAGACTCACACACAGGCCCTTTTTCAGAGTTTCAGAAGTTAAAAATGACTAAGTGTGAACTTGGCCAGCCGGCCCAAGAAGCACAAAAGCAATAATTGAATGAGCCCAACTATGTAATTAATTATGTTGGTAAAATCTATGTTTGTCAAAAAGCCTGTTCTTTAAGCTGCTGTCAGTTTAATTGTATGAACGTTTATTAATGAAACTGTGTGGAATAAAATGGTAATTTTTATATATATTTTTAAATTTAGTCGGGCAGAATTAAAAGTTGTCAGTTACACTCTTAAAATATATGTGTTAAAAACAACACATTCTGTCTCTAGGCACATTAGGGTGTTCAGTTGGAAACAACATATTTTGTGTTACTGTTAACTGTTTGTGTTACTGATAATATATTTTGGTTGCTTTTAACGCAGAATGTGTTAAAGCAGAAAACAAAGTGTTAAAATGGGTTGCGCAAGCAGTGTGTTGTTATTTAAAACATCACTTTTTAGGGTGTACAGAACCACATGAAGCGTAAATCCTCAAACATCAGCTTAAGGGCTGCCTTAAAGAAGGTGTATTTCCAATCCTGTACAGATCTTGCTTCCTGTTGTGCCAGCATGGTAATAAAATGTGGCCGTGTTGACTTTGATCACCCGCCGTCTCACAGAGCCATATTTGGCAGTTTTGCTCACGGTCCTATCAGTATACTGCAGGACAGACTGCTCTGTCAGAATGGGCATTTCGAGTCAGACTACTAGTAAAAAAAACATGACCGTATGAGGTTCTCTCAAGATTTTCTTGTCTTTTTGGGGTGGCATACAACATAATGCTTCAGCAGAATGTGAAAGAGTGCTAATGCTCACTCTGATACGAGTCTCAGCCAATCTCCTATGTGGAATAGCGGATCACAAACGTCAGGAGGAGGGTAATCACTCAGCACCACCGCTGTGTCCTTGTCTTTTACTGTAACAGGAGAAAAATAATCACACACTCTTTAAAATCAAAGTGGCAAGTGATGCAGCGATGTCATTTGGGTTCTTTAAAGAACCTTTGGTAACACTTTATTTAAAAGCTACCTCCATACTTCTTAACACATGCATAAGCACTGAATAATGTATTTAAAAAACAATACTTAAATATTTATAAACAGCCTATATCAGGAATTGCAAAATGACATGATTGTCCATGGTAAGAGACTGTAACTACAGATGTGACCGATAGAGATTAGGTTGAAAAACACTGGAGTGTTACTTTAAAGAACCACCCATTGAAAGGTTCAGTAACAATTCATTTGAAGGCTGCCTACACAGACTTCATAACACACGTATAAGCATTGAATAAAAAAAGCAATCTTTGAGAATTTATGAGCAGTTTATGCCAGTAATCCAAAGATGGCGTGTTTTATAAAGTAAGTAATATTGTAATAACCTAATGGCCCTTATACTAAAGTGATGAACATTTGTTCCATTAATTACACTGTTATGATACAACTTTCTCAAATTGTGTACCTTAGGCACAGTTATAGTTAAGAACACCATTTATCAGTTCTATGGAAGAATTTGATGCCTATGAACTCAAGTAATAACTTTCACACATGTTCCTGTATATAAATACCAGCGGTGGAACTTGTACATGAGGGAAAGTTGAAATACTCCTAGAAATACTGCCTTGTAAGGTCACTTAGGAATACTTTGGAGTGATGTTTCATAACAGTGTTATAAGGGGATTCAATCACAATTTAATTTAAGGCTCTTTATGTCAATACAAGGTCATTTACTCCATACAACATTTTAGGTTTACAGGCCTAAGCTTTTAAATTCTAAAATATTGCTTTATAAATGTTATTCAGTGCTTATGAATGTGTTATAAAGTTCTTATGTAGGTAGCCTTTAAATAAAGTGTTACAGAGCCTTTCAAAGGGTGTTTTTCAGCCTGCTCTCTTTCTGTCACATCTGCAGTGTATAGACAATGTTTTTAGTGCTTTTCCCTGTACATAGTTAAGGAACAGACAACATATTGAGTTAAACACATTTATAATGGAAACCTGTGGACAAATGAAGAGTTTTTGCCTACATTAGCTAAGTACAGTGAAACGTGTACAAGTTATTGTCGATGGTAATAATAAGACCATGTGCTACAGATGAAAGTCTAAACTGAAAAGCGCTGGAGGATTAATTTGGAAAACCATCCTTGAAAAGGTTCTTTAGGGAACCAGTAGTGTTTTTCCATGTTATTGCTCCAAAGAACCCTTTTACATTTTTAACTTTGAGAAGGGAATGATGAATTAGTAAAGATAATGTTGATTATAGGCAGCAGTGTTGGTGGATACAGTCTGCCTGGTTTGAGCTTAGTTACATGTGAGGTGTCATAATTGCGCATGTGGCAATCATCACTGTTCTGCCATCTGAGGACAAGAAGTCGTGTTTATTTAAAGCAGTCTTGTAAACTATGTAGATTAAAATTTATTTCACATTTCAGATTATCCATATTAAAGGAGCACAGAGTAAACAGGAAGCACCCTCTCATAGTTCCCTTTCCTAATCAGATGATAAATTCAGTTTTTGTCAAGTCATCAAAATATGTTTCACAACCTTGTGTTTTTTCAGTCACATCAGAGTCCCGCTTCAGTTTTAGTTGATAGACTGGATTTTTGAGGGAGTTATTGTTCTCAAATGAATACAGGTTATATATCAGTTTTATTTCAGATTGGTTTGTGGTGGATCTCATCATTTTATTTTCATGATGATACATCCTAGTAATTTTAACTTCAAAATAATAAAAACAGTAAAAACAATACACAAATAACACACAAACTATAGACGGTAGTTGATGCACCTGATGCAGTTGATGCATGAAAATCTGCAGAGAGGCTACATTTATCCATATTTGCTTGACAGAAGTCCTGCTCAATGTAGTACAGGTTTAATCATAACAAATGAACATGGATTCTGATATTATGAACCTAATCATTTTTCTACTTATAAACGTTATGTACTTCTAGTCAGTGAAATTCTTACCTCTTGATGGTAGATCAGCTTCGGTAGTAGTTTGTGCAAAATTCTCTGTAGAGAACTTCAGGCTTGCCTGTGTATTACCCATCACTGGGTCTTATTCTGAATGTACCAACGTAGCAGTGCTCACTGTATCCATGCAGTTAATATCTCAGTCATGCAAAAAGTCCCAGCTCAGTGACTTCTCCTCTCTCGGTTAGCACTGCAGGACAGTTTGCTGTTTCTGATGACTGATATTTTTTTAGCTTCCTATGATAAGTGTAGAGCCGATTTTGAGTGCAGCCTGTCAGAATGGGGAAGTAATGTTTCAGACCACATTTTCCACTCCAGAAATGAGCAAAATAGGAAGTGATGATAAAGCTGCCTAAAACATGCAAATTCATTTAGTACACTACTGGAAACAAGAATGTGTATAAATAACTGGCAATAAATGTGTACACAAACAGAATAAACCACTGTTGTGGTTCATATTTAGTGGAAACTTTTTAAAAATCTGTAGTTATACCACTTTTCTGCTTAATCTTTCATTTTAACATATGATGAAATACGAGAGCTGTATGAAACAGCCAGTACTGCTCCTATTACTCTTGTGGGAAAAGCACCCTGGACACATAGCAGGCTAACAAGAAATGAGGCAGAGTTTCATAAGAATTTTTTGATCTGCATGAAAAAATACACCATGTCCAAAAGTATCCAGACACCCCTTCTAATTAAAGAATTCAGTTACTTTAAGGTGCATCTATTTGTGCATCTTGTGTTCAGCTGTACACACAGCTTATGGAGTAAACCCCCACAGAAAACCATTATTAATAGAATGGAACACTGTGGAGCAGCTGCACATGAGCCCAAGGTCACCATGACCAATGCCACTCATCAGCTAAAGGGGTATAAAACCCCCCAGTACTGGCCTGTGGAGCAGTGGAACTGCGTTCTCTGTGGTGATGGAGCTCCATTTAATACCTTTGGGAACTAATCATCCAGAATAAGTACCTGATCTCTGTATTGCTCTTGTAGCTGAATGCAATCAAATCCTCACAGCAATGTTCCAACATCTAAAGTAAAGCCTTCACAGAAGAGGAGAGGCTGTTACTGCAGTACACAAACTCCCTATTAATACTCTTAACTTCAGGAGAAATATAGAATGAGCAGATGTCTTCAAACATTTACACATATAGTGAAATTTAGTCCATAATTACCTAGAAGAACTCTATGATCTAGGATCTAATGAAAATGTAACCATTTAATAATGTAGTTTTTAGCACTTAAAGCAGTTTTAGTAGGGCACTGGCAGCCGCTTATTGAGTTGCTGCATGTTTTCTTTTAGGGTGGTTCAGCGTTCTCTCCAGCAGTGGTAATGAGTAAGCAGAAGGCCCAGGAGCAGGCTGTGTCTCTAGGCAGAGAGCTGGGCTGCTCATCCTCTGAACCTGCACAGCTACTGACGTGTCTGAGAGAGCAACCAGCTCAGGGCATCAACGGTGCACAGACCAAGGTGGCTCTACTGCATCAAAAACTCTGACTGCACAGTTTGTTTTAATGTGATATACGTCATCCATTTATTTAGCTAATTATTATTTTTTTAAATTCCAGAAGGGACCATTTAAGACCTTAGAAACCACCCATTTGATATAAATATAAAATATTACATAGTTTTACAGATTTCATGATTGTGTGTGTGTGTGTGTCTGTGTGTGTGTGAGAGCAGTTATTGGCAGTGAGTGGTCCTCTGCAGGCCTGGTCACCCGTGGTGGATGGTGTGGTGGTGAGAGAGCAGCCTTTCACCGCTCTGAACTCCGGCCGCTTTCACCAAGTCCCGCTGCTGCTGGGATCTTCAGCGGAGGACGGACTGATCAGCAGAGCTAAAAACATCAAGGTCAGACCAAAAAAGTAAATGGCAAAAGCCAGTACACCTCTAACCCTTATGAGAGCCTCTGGGTCTAATGCTACAAAAGTACTTTTCATCACACAGTACTGGGTAAGAGTTTTAGGCTGCTAAGCAGTTTGATTAAACCCATTTATCTGGGCAGTACGTTTATTATCGAAACACTATTAGAATAAATACAAGTAAACATAAATAAAGTTTAAAGTAACTAAAATGTATTGTTTTCAGAAGTAGTAATAGTTGCTGTGCCAATTAAAATGAAGCATTAGATGGTAACTACAAATGATATTGGGCTTACCTTAGGAAAGGTTTGGAGATGGTTAAACAAACACACTCACATACATAAAACCAACACTTATTGTATTTAAATATTTGTATATATTTTAATATGAGTGTTTTTCTAATACCGCACTTACTGCCAGATAAATAGCTTTTTAAATATTATTTCCTTTGGTGCCTAAACCTTTTGCACAATACTGTCTAATCAGTACAACATTTTTGCTTTTCACAATTTCTTGGTTCATTCATCTTGAAATGTTTACATCATGAATAATAAATAAAGGTAAAATATAGAATTATGAGGTTTACTTATGTACTGATTTTGTATGCTGAGAAAATGAACAAGTGTAAAGTTGGATACTATTATTTAAACAGAACTTTGAGCAGCTCCAGGGAAGAGCAGACAGTAAAACAGCTTTCTATGAGGCTCTGTCCAATTCCCTTGGAGGAGATGATGCCAATGTGTTTGTGAAGGAAGCAGCTACGTGGTTCTACTCTCTTCAGCACTCTCCAACTCCCTCTGGCTACAACGTCTTCTCCCGCGCTCTAGAGAATGCAACAAGGTGAGAGAGGGTCCACTTAATTGACTGATCCATGCTCCACCCACAAATGCCTTCTTTCGTAGCAACTGTTGCTATGTTGATTAAGTTTTACAGAATGATGAGAAAAATTCCGTTAGCCTGATGAGAAATTTTCAGAAAGCAGTTGGACCACTACAACATTTCTTTAGATTCACTATAACATTAAGGTTTAATAATAAGGTTTACAGCAGTGATTGGCTACCATTTATTAGAAGACAAAAAACTACACCACATCTATTGTAATGAATTTATACATTGAAAGTAATAACACTTTATAGTAAGACAAAAACGTTTTGCTAACATCCTGTCCAACTGAACAGTACCTTGCAAAGAACGTATTTGTGGGCAGAGATTTGAAAGATCACTTAGCCCAAAAGGTGGTCTCAGATTCAGCTGCTTGCTCACTTCCACTGTGACATTTGAAAAACTGAGTTGTTCTCTCTTTAGAATGGAACACAGTATGATTGCTTTGGAAAGTCAAACACAGAGAAATGTTTAAATGACAGAACTGCCCACTTGTTTTTGAAAGATCCTGCCGTGTTTTTCACAGGAGCAGGCACATGTCATAGTGCTTGTGCATTAAATGATCATTAATTGCCAAGAAATCAAATATTTCTCCCAAGGGAAACATTTTCCCTTACTTAATGCAAGTGGAACTACACTTTATTTGCCTATTTGAAGGCTACTGTGTGTGATTGTTGGCATGTTAAAAACCTGGCTGCTTAGAGATGTTTTTCTCTAGATGTTCCTGAGTTGTCCTGCCTGGGTCTTCAGTTCATAACTTATGCTTAGAAAGTATTTTAAGCTTGCAGTCAGTTACCACCATTTATTTAAATAAAACAACAAACAAATCCAGTCTGTCTTTCTGAGCAAGTACTTTCATTCTTAGTAGCATTCGAAGAAAAAACATGACCATTTTGCTTTACCAGAAACCTCTAGAGCATGTTTAGTGGTCAGGAATTCTTAAGAATGTAGACTTAATATAGTTTTCTGTTGTGGGCTTAAAGCAGTCGAATGTTTGTATGGTTGGCTATGCAGGCTTTAAATGGCGTGCAGTAAGGATGCCACCACAAACTCACGCTCAGAGGGGTGTGGCTTTTGTAATCAACAGGAAGGAAATGGTTGAGCTGAGTGCGACTGAAATAAACCCAGAGACAAAGAAAAATTCATATAGGAAAAAACCTATAAACAAAATGTACACAATTATACACAATACACAACATGCTAAAGACTCAAATAACCATAAAGATCAGGGTTGGGTGAGTGGATGAAGGTGGCGCTAGATAAAAAGAATAGGATCCAAATGCGGAACTGGGCAGGCTTTGAGATGTGTGTGCGCTCATGTGAGGTTTCCCACCCACATAATGACTAGTGTCAGATATAGCATGGACTAGAACTGACCCACACAAAAAGTAAGGGAGCTGATACACACACAATACTCTTGACAATCTGCAGCTCTCACAGCAACACAGCAAACACCAGAGTTCATGAGGCTGTGTGCTGTTTTCTCACAGATGTTACTTGCAGATATTGCAAACCTTAATTCGTAACAGTATGCAAAATGCAAATAAAGTGTCTGGAACACGGACCTCAACAAGCACTGTTAACATGTCTTGTAAATTATCTGTGTTCGTGAGATTAGCTCTAAAAAATGCCTTTGTCCTCTCTGACCTCTGTGAAATTTTGCCAAAACGTGTCCCGTTAAACATGATGTTGAGAGCTGCTTGAGGGAGAGCTCTTTGTTTACAGTTTCTAAGACATGTTGGTGTAATAGGACTAGACTGAAAACTGTGTTTAGTCTTAAAGACATGGAAAGTCTTGGCTCTGGTGGCTGCTAGCCCCATTTTAAGTCACTCTGTGGAAATATATGGCATTCTTGAGAGGAGCACATTACCACACATGAGGGAAACCGGTGTGAGTCCAAAGGAAACTATTAGTCAAGAATACCAGTGAGGAACAAAGGAATGTTGTTGAAACAGTTAGACCATTGAAGACTATTGCATAATTTTGCACAGACTTCTGCTCTAGAACAATGAGGAGGTGTCTTTTGCTGAAGAAAAGGAGTCCAAGGATATGGCACCTTCCAATCCAGAGATTTAAATCCATGAAATTGTGCTCAGAAATGTAGTCCCCTCTCTCTCTCTCTCTCTCTCTCTCTCTCTCTCTCTCTCTCTCTCTCTCTCGCTCTCTCTCTCTCTCTCTCTCTCTCTCTCTCTCTCTCTCTCTCTCGCTCTCTCTCTCTCTCTCTCTCTCTCTCTCTCTCTCTGTATCATTATGTAGTTAGTCCATTCATCATTGTAGGCATGTGCCAGTATACTCATGAGTTGTGTTTTTCCACTGCAGGGATTTCTTCATCACCTGCCCCTCTGTGGACATGGCCAGCTTCTGGGCCGCCCACACTCGGTTCAGTGTTTACGTGTACCACCTGCCTGACTACATGGCACACAGCAGGTACTGCATGGACACAGTCTCACAGGCAAATAAGGATTAATGATAATAGGCCAATGACTTTATACCTTATCCAGAGATTTCATACTAATTCAGTGGAAACAAGGTCATATTAGTGGTCAGTAAGTAAATTAAAATAAATGAATGGAACATAGAAGATTTCAAGCAGAACCCTCAGTGTGCTCCTACATGCCTCTGTGAATCTGTATCTGCAGTGGAGCAGGACTTGCCTGCTGCTGGATTTCCTACAACATAACTTTGTGTCTGTCTTCCTCCCTCACTCCCTCACTTTGTGGAATTTTGTCTCTCATTCTTCTCTTTCATCCTGAGGCCCCACTCCACTGATGCTTCAGCTGTATTTGTAAATGTCTTCATAAACAGTATTTTTGAAAAAGATGCAGTGTAAACAGTATTTCCAAATGCATTCATAAAAGGATATTACAATTGTCCAGCTAACACCTGTCCTAGCCAGCCACTCATTATAGGCTATAATGTCTGGCATGACCTATAGTGTACAACACTGTACAGTCAGTTAACTGCAACAGTGGTGAAAAGGTCACAACTTACTGTGACAGCGTATATGTTAATGTATGAACACTACACAATTGCGCTGCATAAAGCTACATTTTCTCAAGGAAACAAGTAGGGAAACATGGCCAGGTGTTTAGATTTGACTGATATTTCAAACCGATATTTGATGAAGTATTTATTGTTCTCGATGAGCAGAATGTTTAGGTGAGGCTGGGTTACTGTGCTAAAGTGTCTGCATTCCATTCATTTTACTGCTTTTATAACCTTATAAAAAACAAATGTTGTATTTTTCTATAATGCTAATCCATGTAGATGTATATTTTAAAAATGTTTACGGATCAGCATCAGCAGGTATAGACATGATCATGATCAGCATCAGCAGGTATAGACATGAAAAACATCAGATATCAACAAGTACAGCCAGGGTAGAGTACTGCAGCTTTCCTGATATAATGTAATACAGCGTGAATAATGTTCTGTAGGATTGCAAAACAGAAATGCAGAAGTTACACCATTTGTGGCAGATTTCTACAATCAGCGTTACATTATTAGGAAACTTTACATTTTATAGTCCTCGTTTTACCAGTTCATCAAACGTACTTTGATGAATTAAACGTTTTCTTTACAGTCTTATCTTGTCTTATCTTTCAAAGGCACAGTTAGGCTAAATTCCAAGGAGTACATCTTGTGTCTCCTTGGAATGTGTCTTGGAAAGGAAATTCCAAAGCTTTAACCTCATGAGTGATGGAGTTGGAAGAAAACAAAAAAGAATGCTTTGATGAATGCTTGAAGTTTAAAGAATGTTAACAGCATCGACAAACTGTTTCTTTTTCTTTCTTTTTTTTGTAACTCTAATAAACCACAGTCTTTATAACACAGAAAGAGCGAGCTGAGTCATGGTTGGTTTTGAACCTTCATGACAGTAGAAAGAATGATGACATACAGATCTCTTCTACTTCTCAAATTCCACTGGACTGATATTGTTTACTCTCTTCTCTACACCAGTGCTGAACTGTCAGCTCCTCTGGATATGCAGTATGTGTTTGGAGTGCCACATTTTCCAGAAACACGAGAACTCTTCACCTCCACTGAGAGAACACTCTCTGTGCAGATCATGAGCTACATGGCCAACTTCATCAAGACTGGGTACCCATCATATCACTCCTGCATGTGCTGAAATGTACCCTCTCTGTCTCTGTCATCCTTCTCATTCCTTCTGTATTTCTCTTGGCAGAACCCCTAATCTGCCTCTCTCAGTGTCCACAACGTCCTTGGGTGAGGTTTTGCCTCCCTGGCCTCAATTTCTGCCCCACCCAAGCGGGCAGAACTATAAGGAGCTGTCCCCTAGCCTCAGCAACCGCAAGAGCCTGCAGTCGGCACAGTGCTCCTTCTGGTCCCAATACGTGCCAGTCCTGAGCGCCTCCACTGGTCAGTAACGCTGCTCTGTGGGGATGAAGCAATAGCTTTAAGATCGTAGAAGCTGTGAAGACATTTCCTAAAATATCAGACTGATTGCTGTCATCCTGTCGTATTCAAGTACAGTGTAGTTTTGCGTATCCTTTTGCGTTTAAGTAAGAAGCTTACTACTTTTAAATTCCTGATCTCCATTTTTTTATTAAATTTAGCAAAAACCCTTAAAAATAAGGCTGCCATGAAGGATGTTCTTTCTTTGGTGTGATGAAGTACCACTTTTCGGTTTCCTAAAGAATCTTTCAGTGGCTCTTTAAAAAAACATTTTTTGTAAAGCAGATATGCATTTAAAGAACCTCTTCATTACGTAAAGGCTGTAGGAAGAACCCTTAAATTGGTATAGAACTTTCACACTATTTGAAGGTTCCTTAAGTCTTTCAAAGGTTCTTTACACTCACACATATTTCAAACATGGTTCTTTAGGGAACCAAAAGTGGTTCTTTTATGGCATCTTTCAAAGAACTCTTTGACGCACCTTTTATAAGGCTCATATCATGGAGAACCTAATTTCCCTCACTAACTAACACTTAGATTGTGTCCAAAATTGCATACCACCATACCAAACAGTATGTTGAAAGTAGTACATCACCATTAGAATTCCATTCATTCATTCAATTCCATTCATTAGTGTAGTATGTATTATATGGTTTAAGCAGTTTTGGACATATTTGCCTATTCTGTCTACATCAGTTTAGCTCCATCTATTCATACTGAAGTTATAAGGAAGGGTTCAGCCCTGACTGCTTTTTGAATAAGCACAAAACAGGACAGTCACTCAAAACACATATCATTCACATATATCAGACTCCAAGGGACAGTGAAAAAACAGCATATTTAGTTCTAAAGTATAAAGAGAGATTGGAAAATGATCATGCTTTTGTTACATGAAACCACACAAACATCATCAGTGGACTTCAGAGGAAACCATGCAAAAAGAGAGAAATGTAAAATAAGAACCAATTACATATTTTCACTGAATTATATATTCTGAATATATTTAAAGTATTTTAATCAAACTGCTTGTTTTCCTTTACACTGTAGGCAAACTCCTGCGTGAAAATGCAGTGGGAGACACTGGAGCATCTCAACTTCCAACATCAGAGACAAAGCCAGTGCTTTTGTCTGATTTCAGCTCTTCAGTGACTCAGAGCAAACCCAAATCTGAGAAAGATGCTTATAATTAAACCACTGAAAATGTGTAGAATTTCATTTGCCTGCTAATTTAGGACTGTTTAAATTTCAGCTGCCAAAATACATAATTTCTGGCTTTTTGAACTATTTTTGTAGTCATACACCTATGAACCTAAGAATTAAACAATAAAACTGCACTTTAGAAACAAACTGTTCTTTCTTTTCCTTTTGCTGGCCTTAATGTTATCATAGATATAACTAAAAATCATCTACAGATTCATATTAGTAGTTGAACATTGGTTGAACTAAAAACTAATGTAGTTGTTCCAAATGATTTCAACCTGATGGCTTAAAAAGAGCCTAAAGAGAAAGAAAAAGAAAGCTCTGATTAGGGCAGCTGGGCTGTTATAGTGATGAAAGTTTCCAGATGTTTCAGCACGAACTGACACTGTGGAAACAAATTTATTCCAAGATGCACATTATCACTCTATTCATAGACATCATGCTGTCTCTTGGCTGTTGTGGTCCAGATGTCTGGAATTCTGTCTTGTGTCTTTTGTCCCACATAAGCCAGAAAATGTCCAAACAATTTTTCAAATCATGGAATGTGTGGACATGACGTGTTACCTTGGGCTGTACATATTCCAATACAGGCTTAATGGATTCACTGCAAAAGCAGAAATACATTGTTCATCATGGTTTGCAAATACAAATGTATCTCAGACTTCTGATGTATTCACTACTGTAAAGAAATATGTGGTTTCTTAGTGACAGAAAGAAGCAGCAATGTCTCTGTCAGTGAAATGTCCCTGAATACATCTCTAGATGATTTTTAACAAATTTTATAATAATTGTTCATGTTCTTTTTTGTACACTGACTATCCTTCAGCTCAGACTATGTTATAGACTCTTTTATAGACACTTTTCCCCACTCACTCACACTTTCTATGGTCTTGAAATGCAGATTGAAAGAAGTTCTTTTCTGAAAGCCTTTATCAGTCCAAGATCAGATGTTGGCTCCAAGACACTAGCCTTGTCATGAATATATTTTGACAGATATGTTTTCTATTGCGTGGAACAAATGCATTCAGCTGTTCACTGACAGAGTTTTAGGACTGAAAAGCGTTATACATCAGACTATTTGTTAATACCCTTGGATGAAGGCGTAGTCCATGACAACACACAAATTCAGTCTGCTTTAAGGAAACCAGTTTTTAGAGTAGTGTAATAACCCCAGGGTATAATAATGTCTCTGATCTTATACAGCCCCCTGTAATCTTTGATTCTTGGCGCTCCTTTAGGTATGTTCTAGAAACCACTCGATTGGAGCCAGAAAGACAGCAAGTATTCTGAAATTATTATTATTATTAAGTAGTATGATTGATGCTCAGCAGCACTACACGGTCTTTCAAAGCTGAAAAGCTCCTGAGGCCAGTTTCCCAGACACTGATCACAGCATTACTTTCTTAATGGTTGTTTCCCACTGAATGTCCTAAATGGTCCAGGACTAAGCTGTGTTTAAACCTCTTGTCAGAGTTATGCAGACATTTTCTACTTAATCTCACTAATAGTTCATTCAACCATTCTTCTGAAATCAAGGGTGTTAATAGTGAGTTTATGCCAATTTGCTGCAGTAATGGACTCTCCACTTCTGGGAACACTTTACACTAGAAGTTAGAACATTGCTGTGAGAATCTAAATACATTCAGCCACAAGAGGTGAGGTAGTGATGTACTGATATTGGATGATTAGTTCTGGATCACAAACTTCACCTCATCCCAAATGTGTTGGATGGAGCTCCATCACTCCAGACAACACAGTTCCACTGCTTTACAGCCCAGTGCTTGGGGGCATCATAACCCTCTAGCCACATAACATTGGGCATGATGACCTTAGACTCGTGCTCCAGAGCGCCTAATTGTACTAACAGCGTTTTTCTGTGGAGATTATATAAGCTGTGTGTGCACAATTGAACATGTGTCAGCAATTGGTTCACCTTAAAGTAGCAGAATTTGCTAATTAGAAGTGATGTATAATAGCATTTGAATAGGATCTATGGGGGTTAGCTAATTTCAATATATTAAGAAAAGGAGGCACTTTGTTTTTCTCACCATACACTCCATATGGACCCTCTGCTTGTAAAGCAGTCACATGAACATGTACTTCCTGAAATGTCAACTCGTGTTCATGATAATGCTATATCCTGGACTTCTTCAGTTCCAATCCTGTTGTCCAGCTGTGCTACAGAGTTTTATGTTTTCCTCTTCTAACACATCTGATTTGTCTCAAGGAGGACTTTATCATTAGCTAATAGAACAATATGATTTATGCACTGCTGCAAGACTACAGGACAGGACGCAGGAAACACTGAACACTTGGGCACTAGCAAAAGTATCAAGAACATTAACACAGTTTTGGAGGCAAGCAGAGGGTTCTATTGTTCACTATGTTTATTGTGGTCCATATACTAAGAAACAGTATGTGTACCTCAGCGTTAATATGAGAATATTAGCCCATTACCACCCAAACACCTTAATATGTTTTGCATTATGTAGTATCATCGTGAAGAAAGATGGCTTTCAGTGTGCTGGGTTTTAGTAAAATCTGTGACCTTTACATTGGTTTGACAGGGCCAGATCTTAGCATAGACCGATTAGCCATGACATTAAAACCACCTCTTTGTTTCTACACTCATTGTTACAGACTGAAATCAGTCTGTTTCTCTGTGTTCTTTGGTAGTGTCCTTTTACCCTGTTCTTCGATGGTCAGGACCCCCCCAGAGCAGGTATTACTTGGGTGGTGTATGATTCTCAGCCCTGCAGTGACACTGATGTGATGGTCGTGTGTTAGCATGTGTTGTGCTGGTGAGTGTGGATAAGACACAGCACTCCTGCTGGAGTTTTTAAACACCTCATTGTCACAGCTGGACTAAGAATAGGCCATCAAACAAAATATTCAGCCAACAGCGTCCTGTGACCACTAATGAAGGACAAGAGGATGACTAACACAAGCTGTGCAGCCACAGTGAGCTATCATCTCTGACTTTACATCTACAAGGTGGACCAACAAGGTAGTTGTGTCTAATAGAGTGGACAATGAGTGGACACAGTCATCAAAAACACCAGCAGCACTGCTGTGTCTGATCCACTCGTACCAGTTACTTTTTACATTTATAGGAGAATACATTTATGAATACTTACCTGCTAAATTTAATATTATTTATATACCATCTGTAATAGAAACACCATCAATGCTTGTTATTAACTATTTTAAAATCAGCACAGCGTGTAAAGACATTCTCTAAAGAAGAACGCAAAAGACAGCTTCTTTACAAACACTGACTTTCCTGCTAAAGTAGACTGATAAATCACTGTGATGATCAGTTATTAATCTGAGTGATAGTAAACACTTTGATGATGACTGAACTGAACTCTCTTCAGTTTGGCCACGATCATGAATGATAAGCTCAGCTTTGGTATTGTACTGGACAATCTGTGGCAAGTTACATGCATGATATTAACTGAAAATCACACGGCTACCTACTTTATTTCCTGCTGAAAAATCCAGCACAGACCAGCATGTATTTCATGCTTGACTAAGCTGGTTTATGCTGGTCTGGTGTCGGTTTAGCTGGTTACCTCAGCGTGGCCATGCTGGTTAACCAGAATACCAGTGTCAAAACACAACACATGCTGGTTTTGCTGATGATCAGCCATGCTGGTCTATGTTGTTTTTTTCTAGCAGGGTAGTCAGATTAAAAAATCTTATCGGGATATGACAAACTGTTAGCTTAGGTCATGAAAGGGCAGTGGGCCTATGGGAGCAGCAGACTGAAGCAGGTCATAAGAGGGTAAATGTTGAGAATTTTGTAATCATTTTGTATGAATAATGTATATGTTTTCTAAATTTATCCTTAATATGTTACTTTTTATGCCTAGTAATGGAATACGTTACTGAACACATTTAGGACAGTGTATTCAGTAATCAGCCCTCACTACCTTTTTCAAAGTATTTTACCCAACCCTGTATTCAAATAACACCTGCGGGGGGGGTCCTGAGGGGGTCCTGACCACTGAAGAACGGGGTAAAAGGGCTAATAAAGTATGCACAGAAACAAGGTTCAGTGAAGCTGGCAGTGGGAGCAACTATACACCGCAGAAATAAAACCCATAACCTGTAAAGACACATTCAGCGCTCAGGAATAGCCGCATAGCTGGAAAACAAAAGCCAAAAGGTCAGATGGTCCGTCTCTCTCTCTCTCTCTCTCTCTCTCTCTCTCTCTCTCTCTCTCCCCTCAGGGGAATGATCTCCTCGCTGACGTCAGCACGCAGTCAGGCAGAGCAGAGCTGCTGCTGTAAATGTGGCAGTGAGACACTCACTCACTGATGTCTCACACAAGACTCGGGAGCAGCTTGGAGGGCGATGGATTTCCATTCTAGAGGAGAATAAGTTCTGTCTCAATGTGTCTCCCTGAGGATTTTAGTGATGAGGTGGCTCCTGTCGTGGATTCTTTTGGTAGCCAGTGGCCTCCATCAGGTGAGTGATCTTATCACTGGTTGTGTGTAGCTTAACTGCATGTTGAGATTTTACAGAGGCACAGCTGAGTTTGTAAGTTCAAGGAGGATTGAGGTGGGCAGAGAGGTGGGCGATGCTGAAGTTGGTCATTAGCACACAGAGTAGTTGGTTGAATGTACTTGTGCTGTCTGAGGTGGTCCATGAGCCACAGCAACACGTTATACAGTATTTAGCGTTAACTGTGATTCGGGATTGACGTGTTAAATGTTACAGTATATACCGGGTAAAGGATGAACAGCTGCTTACAAAAACGCTTACTTTAGATGGAGTGCATTGGCTAAGGTTAGTGTCGTCATTGGCATGTGTCTTACCATCATATTTAATCGATAGCCATCATCATGATGATCTGACTTGGGATCAGTTACATCTTCACTTGAGTTATGTCGTGTTCACTAACTGTACTTCTGCACTGCGAAAACTAACTCAATGCTGCCCTCCTGTGGATCACTGGTGTTGCAGCATGGTATTACAGAACAGTGTTTTTCACCTTTCTCTCTTTCTTTGTTCTTATCATAAAGGCCCTCTCCCAAAATTCCACTGCCACTCCTCTTGTGACCACAGAATTGGACCCCTACAACAGGACGCAGTACTGTAAATGGCCCTGCAAGTGCCCCAAGAGCCCCCCTGTGTGCCCGCCTGGGGTCAGCCTGCTGACGGACGGCTGTGACTGCTGTAAGGCCTGCGCCAAGCAGGTGGGCGAAACCTGCAATGAGAAAGACACCTGTGACTACCATAAGGGACTGTACTGTGACTACAGCGCTGACAAGCCTAGGTACGAAAAAGGAGTATGTGCATGTAAGTGACTCATACTAATCAACTGTTCTTACTTCATACTCTGTTTATCTACCAGCTAATCATACCTCAACACAACACCTGATACAACAAATATATGCTCCACAAGGTAGAACACAAAGATCGCCAAACTTTGCCTTGGGTGGCCAAAAAGACAAAACAAGATATAAATAAAGAAGTTATTAAAAGAGTATTTTATACAATTACACTATATTTGGTTATTTTGTTACTAAAATATAAAGGTACCATCTTAAAAGATGAAAGATGATATGTATATATATATATATATATATATATATGTATACACATACCCTAACACCCCACACCTCTCATTAGCCTGCACGCTCAGCCTTTTCCATTGTTCTTGTAAAGTTTATAATGACTTCCACATATGTCTCATATTAACACATTTTACACAAGCATCAAGTTGATAGGCCTCATTTGTAGACAGGTTAATAATATAGCTGCTTCACAGTGTGAAAAACATTTAAAAGTTTAGAGTTGCGAATAATACACACGCACACACATTTTCTAAGCCGCTTATCCTTCTGAGCTGGTCAGCAGTCATGGGCAGAATGCAGGAAACACCCTGGATAGGTTGCCAGTCCATCACAGGGCATTGCTAATAATAATAAAACTAAAATCTAAGAATCTAGTTATTGTAATAAGGTCTGGGACCACTTATCAGTTTATCGATAATTGCCTATAATGACCATGAAATTGATAAATTTGATAATTTTTTCTGTTATCCTGCAGTGCTGATTTTACATTTACACATGCGGCAGTGAGTTCCCTTGTGAGCTATATCATGACTCTATGTCACTGGCTTGCATAGCTTTTGTTGTTTAATATAATTATAGTTCATTGTTTAGTCTTTTCATACCGAGTCAGTTTTTATGGATGAAAAAAGCAAATCTGATTTTTAATACACTGCGGGCATTTCGTCAAGACTGATGCACTTTCATTATTAAACAAATACTGCACACGGGAGAAATGGATCCATCGAGTAGTAACAGCAACAAAGCAATCATTTTTCTTTAAGTCAATGTGACATAAAAACACAGACACTGGGTAACAGCCTGTTTTGCTGACAGAAATTTAGTAGCATAGGGTGTTCCACTGACTTACACAGGAGTTTAAATTCTACAGCCGTGCTGTATTTGAGTGTGTGGTAGAGTTTGAGGCGCTGCTTGTGCTCACAGATTCATACATTCAAAGGAATAAACAAACAAAGCATGAACTGTGTCATGAAAGATATCATGTGTTAATGTGTATGTTTTCAAATCTTAATGTAATGTGAAAAGGCTTTTGTCGCCCCCTGTGGCACAAAAGGAAACTGTCCTGGACATGCTCAATATATACCTGTAATACCAGCTTGATTTTAAAGGTGAAAACATAGTTAATCAATAATTTTGTCCCCATTTTTAGATATTTCTAAATTGCTTATTGTACCAACCCTACTTATAATGCACTTTAGATTTACCTTTACTTGTGCTTGTGGCAGTCAGAAAATCTTCATGCTGGTGACGTCATCAGTGTTGCTGTGTATGTGTTTCAGATATGATGGGGTCGGGATGTGAATATGATGGTGTAATCTATCGTAACGGGCAGAGTTTCCAGCCCAGCTGTAAGTACCGCTGCGTGTGTGTGGATGGAGCGATCGGGTGTGTTCCGCTGTGCACTGACTCTCTGCCGCCCCGGGTGTGGTGCCAGTCACCCAAGCTGGTGAAGATTCCAGGCCGGTGCTGTGAGCAGTGGATCTGTGACGAGCCTCGAAAACCACGCAAGACCAGCCCCAGACACGTTGTGGAGAGTAAGGACCACTTAAGTGACCTGCAGTGGGAAATTGAGTTAAATTTCCCACTTAGGCAGTAAACTATCGGCTCTGTATTTATTAAGTTTCTGTTGACTGTGGGAAAGTTCTCCTTTGGTGTTGTGTAGCTGCTTAACATATCGTTTGTTAATCATTATCACAATATTGATCTTCTGGTAACACTTTAATTGAACCCTGCTACATAACATTGACATAACCATACCATGAACATGTTATGGCAGATGTCATATGCTGTCATGAATTGTCAGATTATGTCCAATTATATAGCAGTGGAACATTACTGTTAATAGTCATGACAGATGTCAAAAAGTTTGATGTCGTGACGGCTAACTAAAGTACACATCAAAAAATAGCATTTAACACACACTGTATGGACACTTGATCATCACTACTATAGGAGCTTTTTCATTCCATTAATATGGAGTTGGCAGCTCGTTTGTGGCTATAACGGCCAACACTCTTCAAGCTTTCCGCAAGATTTTGGCGTGTGTCTGTTGGAATTTGTGAGGTGATGTTGGACGAGAAGGCCTGACTCGCAATCAATGTTCCAGTTAATCACAAAGGTTTTCAGTGGGCTTGAGGTCAGGGCTCTATGCAGGTCACTGGAGTTCCTCCACACCAAGCTTGTCAAGCCATGTCTTTATGAACTTTTTGCACAGGGACACAGTCATGCCAAACTGTTGTCATAAAGGTGGAAGCATATAACTGTCTAAAATGTTTTGTATGCTGTAGCATTAACAATACTCATCACTGGAGCTAAGGGGCCCAGCCCAAACCCTGAACAGCCCCAGACCATTATGCCTCCTCCACTGAACTTTACTGTTGGCACTGTGATGTGTCCATCAGACTTCCAGATAGTGAAGCATGATTCATCACTCTACAGAACACGTTTTCACTACTCCAGCGTCCAATGGCAGTGTGCTTTATGCTACTGCAGCCAACGCTTGTCATTGCAAATAGTGATCTTAGGCTTGTGTGCAGCTGCTCAGCCATGAAATCCCATTTCATGGAGCTCCCAGCTCAGTTATTGGGCTGATGTTTCCAGAAGCAGTTTGAAGCTCTGTAGTGAGTGATGCAACAGAGGATAGGCGCTACATGCTTCAGCACAAGTTGTTGTTACGCCTAGATGCTTCCATTTTACAATAATAGCACTTACAGTTGACAGGGCCAGATCTCGCAGGGCAGACATTTCACAAATGGGCTTGAGGCAGGGGTGGCATTCTATGACAGTGCCACTTTTAAAGTCACCAAGCTCTTCAGTACAACCCATTCTACTGCCAGTGTTTGTCCATGGCAATTCCAAGGCTATGTGCTTGATTTTATACACCAATTAGCAATGAATGTGGCTGAAACTTGAACTCAGTAATTAGGAGGGTGTCCACATACTTTTGGCCACATAGTGTAAGTTGTCAAGACATCAAACATTATGGCATGTCATGACGGTTACTGTTATATTACTGAACAGAATCTGTTGCGACAACTCATGACAGCAAATTACATCTGCCATGATATGTTATGTAGCAGGTTATGACGGTTATGTCCGTATTATGTTGAAGGGTTCAAGCAGTGAAGTATTACCAACCTTTGCAATACAGATATAACAGAGGGTTATGAAATGTAATCTGCCAACAAATGCAGAAAGACATTTTTATTGTGCTGTGATCATCCTGAAGATATTACAGATGAGCGTTCTTAGGTTGTTTTGATGAATCAAGGTCAACAAATGTCAATTCGTCAAAACAATGCAGGCTTTAATTCTGCCACCTCGAGAGCTCACTGCTGAATTTTTAATATATCCTAAGGACTGTCACTGTCACAATATAAGGCACTGTGTTCACAATATGGTATTTTATGTGGCTGGTTTATAGACAGATAATGCAACTAGAGTGTTTTATGTCTTACTCAGTGTCCCTAAGCACCAACGACATCTGGCACAAAAACTGCATTACCCAGACCACCCCCTGGAGCCCCTGCTCAAAGACCTGTGGACGGGGCGTATCCTTGCGAATTTCCAATGACAACGCACAGTGTGAGATGGAGAAAGAAACCCGACTATGCAACCTCCGACCCTGCGAGGTGGACATTACCAAACATTTTCGGGTAATGATGCAATTCATTTATTTATTTCATTGCTGTGTTAAAACCTTGTATGGGTAGATAGATAGATGTACCTGATCGATCCCCAGTGGGAAATTACGGTGTTACTGTAGCAGAAAAACACAGGAGGTTATATACACATAAAAAAATTACACATACTACATATATTTAAACATAGACACAGTACAAAGACAGCAATATGCAAATTACATCAAACTTATTTGTTTATCTGTATCTCAGAATTGTGTATCTTACAGTGACAGCATATTGATTTGTTCACACTTTTTGTTCCTTATCAAACATAATATAATCAAGGACTTTTGTCCTCATAAACAAAACTTTCTCTCTGTCATAATATCTGTTACCCAGCCAGGAAAGAAGTGCCTAAACATCTACCGTGAGCGAGAGTTTCAGAACTTCACCATCTCTGGCTGCATCAGCAAGAAGCCTTACTGGCCCAAATACTGCGGAGTGTGTTCTGATGAGCGCTGCTGCATCCCCTACAAGTCTAAGACCATCGAAGTGGAGTTTGAGTGCCCCAATGGATCCGTCTTTACGTGGAAGTACATGTGGATCAATGCCTGCTTCTGCAACCTCTCCTGCAGGAACCCCAATGATATATTTTCTGAGCTACAGCCCTTCTATGAGCATGGTGAGATCATGAATTGAGAAGACCATTGATGACACTACCACAGATTCACTTACAGTATGGTGTGCTTCACTCGCATCAGTCCCAGCATGATTGATGGTCATAAGTGGATTCATCATGTCCAATGTTCATGTTTTCACTTTTGTGCCTCAGATAATATATTTGCACAGTTAATGTGGACCCCAATTTCCACTTTTGGATTCGGAATGCTGGAGTAGATCCCTGTGTGGTATTAGATTTTGGATTGAATTTGGAACAACTTGGAAGGAATTTATGGTGGTCAGTCGTTTGGAATATATTTGCTGAGGAGAGTTTGCCTTGGACATCATCTTTTGTCTGTCCAAATTTCATATTGAGTTCCTGAGTGCAATGAGTGGACGAACAGCTTATGTAATATTTGCTTGATCAAGAGATATTGAAATGTTGATTTCATTGTAGAATAAAATGTTAAAACTGTTAGAATATGGAAATACTGTTTGACAAATGTATGTGCTATTTTTCTATTAATGACATGAGAATATAGTGTTTTAGGAAATCCAGTGCAAACATTGTTTCAGCAATAGGTGAATATAGTTAATCCATAGATATATGTCATGTTTGTTGCTAAATTCATATGTAATTTTTGTACAATGCTTTACTATTATAATGGGAGATAAGAGCACTTTCTGAAACCTGTAATAATTAGCCTGTGTACAAATACTGTGTTCATGTTACAGCTTGTTGAAAAGAAGAAAGTACAAATAGGGCATTCTTAATGATGCATGGGAAAAAATCATATGCTAAAATTTAACTCAGACAAAAAAAAGCTTTTGATATATTTTTATACAGTTATATATGTTTGCCCGTGTATATCACTGTGATAAATATGCAGTGGATCTCGTAACTTATTTACTGCATTCAGAAATAAGGAGGCTTGTGAGACAAGTGTGTTTTAGTATCTCTGCTGATTAAAGAAGCAGCCTAGCAATGCACATTCTGAGCATGTTTTGAAATTTCATTATAAAGGGATATACATCATCATGCAATTTAAGGAAAACCTTGTTCTTTTTGTTTAGTTTTTTATATATATTTTACATAGCATGACAGAAGTGCACTTACACACACAGACTAGTGTAGTTGTGATGCTATTCAGAGCTTTAATTTCTCAATTGGGAAAAGTTCTGGATGCATCTATTTATGGGCAGCATTTGTAAATTTGTTTGATGTCCATGCTGGAGGTCTGCAGTATACATTAGAAAGTCAATGGTAGCATAAAGACTAAATCTAACATTTCATTCTTCACTGCTGTGACATAGAAAAATCCCCCCATAGCTTCACACCAGCCATTACAAGTAACCCCCAATGCACCTCTTCAGATACATATCAACACACATTTATACAACCAATACATCAAAGTGCTTTCAGTTTTCAGGAGCAGATTATACATATGATAGTACATGAGTATTTTCATAATATATGTGATCATTCATAAAAAGTATAATACCCTAATAATATAAAAGGAAAGCTTATAATACTGAGACTGACATTTTAAACTAGCTATGTTATTTCAGTGGGCTTTTTCATGCACATCAACACCAGCTCATCGAAACGCTCCCTGATGAAGATACACAATCTCTCTACCTCTCCAACTGCAATTATCACTTAATTTGAGGCATTATATATTTGATTTAGAGTGGAATTGAGTGTGAGGGTTGTCAGGCTTTTAACAGGACACCTCAGTGGAATGGTTGGTTGCTGGCAGGGCTGGCTCAACAGTGCTGTTGGAGGCACTCTCCATGGAGACGTCAGTATGAGAGCGTCCACGCTGCTCCTCGCCGGTGTGTGTGCGGTTGCGCATGCGGTTCCGGCTGGCGTCCAGAGATGAAACGCTGTTGCCAGAGGCAGTGCGAGAGCGAGACAGACGAGTCATGCCTGCAGAAGACACTGAGACAAAGAGGAAAGCAGAGAGACAAGGTGAGGTAATACTTTCGTCTTACCTCTTAAACGGTGGGCTTATTATTCAGTTATTAATCTTAGGACTTATTATTTTATAATTATTTGGTTTCTACTATTAAGATCTTACGTAGTTATAAGAGTGAGGAAGGTGTGGCCCACATATAGTTGCTTAGGGTTTTAGTGGTTAAGGCTTATTAACCAGTGACTAAAATTATGGGTGTAACAATACACATATTTTCATATTCAATACAATTTCCAATTCTGAGGTCTATCTCAGTGCCTGGCAGCAGCCCTCTAACAAAATAAGTCTCAAATATCACAACCCCTCGAATTTATAAGCAGTGTCAGAAAAAAGCCCAGTCATTTTAGTGTGCATGCATAGCATAAGTACTACCCCGCTTCAGCTATGATAGGAAGCACTCAGATGCCCAGTTTTCATCACTGATTGTGGTTTCCATGAAAAACAGTTTTTCTATACTGTATTGAAATTTTTACACCCTTAACTATGAACTATGAAAGTAATTTATAAGGTATGTAGTTACAACAGTGAGGAACTGAAGAGTTTTAAGACATGAGGTCTCTCAAGCTATGTATGTGATGTAAATTCACAGTGCTGTTGAATAAGTGGGGAAATATAGACCAAGTTTTCTCAACACACTGGTGAGATTAAAACACAATGATGTCTATGTCTTCTCTCAAATGTGGTTCACATTTTATAGAGGCTGATTTTGTAATTTCATTAGTTTATTTGTGTTTATGGTGTTTACTTACTGTAGCCAAGTCCCTGGATGAAGTATTTGAAGGCCTCGGCCAGCTTGGCCGGCTATAACATAATAAAAAGTAACAGTAAGTGAAGTAAATACACACAGGCTCAGTTTAAAGGTCAGTTAAAATGAGAAAGTATTCTTTTAGTGGGTAAATACACACCTGGTCAACTTGGGGAAGGCCTCCACAGTCAGCCATCTACATGAGGAACACATACATAAAATGTTACACATAACAGGTTCATCAACATGTGCTAATGGGTTCAAGTCGCCCAATGGCACACAACGGTTCATGTTCTCTTTCACATTTATAAATAAAAAAAGAAAAGGAATAAAATGAGTTTGGGATTTGACGGCCACGAACCTTGAGAAAGGTGGTCTTCGTTGGATTCATTTTTGAGTTGCAGTCAACCTGAGAGAAAAGTCAGCAGCATTCACACAAACACTCACATGCACATGTGGAAGTTTGTGTATGATGTGAATGATGTTTGATGATGATTATAAAAACCCAGGACATACCACAGCATCAACCGCTGGAGAGTTATCTCCCACCACCAGAAGAGCCGGACACCTAGAGCAAAATACAATCTTTCAGTAAATAAAAGGAGTGTAAAAATGACATGGATTGAAGATGAAACAGAAACACTGGCATTAGTGCCTCATTCGTAACTTACTTCAGGGTCTTTACATTAACAGTTCCGCTTGGAGAGGGTCTTTCAATGTCCAGATGCCTTCGGCTGAAAAATAGACTCTTATATTTAACAGATCCAGGAGTGGAGAACTCTTGAGAATATGCTAATGAAAGCCAATAAATGAACCAGACTTCAGAGATACCTGTTATAGGACTTGACAAACTGCTGAAGGTTGGTCTGGTTAATGCTGGTTGTGATGTGATGACGGAAGGTTGCAATGAGGTCATGGTTGTTGTGAATCTCCTCCTGGAATAAGACCAGAATGCGGTCGGTCAAAAAATAATCAACCAATCAATCATTAAGTGAATATATTTAAAACAGTTTGGGTCTCTATATACACAGCATGCATGTCCACAGAAATTATTCCAAAAAAGAAACTGCTAACGTTTTAATGCACAGTTATACATATTTTAGATTCCTCAGTTAAAATTAAAGTACAATCTATATAAACTACATAGTCAGATAGTAACTAACAGTTAATGAAAAGGTGTCTAACTTCTACATCTTCAAGGACTAATGAACACTTATATGTTTGTTTTTGTAAGTTATTTCTTACTTTTCCAAACAGGTGGGAGATGACCATATCAGGGACAGCATGTGCCCAGCCAGAGAGCTGTGGAAAGAGTCAGTTAGTCTTTAGTGAGTAAAGTAATTTTTCAAATACATGAGTTTATTAAAAGAGGTTTAAGCCACACTCCTTTTCTAATCCCCTAAGAATGAAAATCTAGGATTAAATCAATGTGTCACCACAAGCCTGCAACTACCTGCGTACAGTGGATAAGCAGAGTAACAGTCTGAAAACTGTTCCAACAACATCTGATTCTAATTTAATTACAGTTCCTCAGAACTTGTCTTTGGATCAAGAAAATAAATTATAGTCTTCTTCTTCTTGTAATTTACAACATGCATATTTAGGTCTTAATTTAAAGGTACTAGTTTTAGCTGCTGGTTATAGAGTGCATAAGGTGTGGCACCTTGTGTGCTGCCCAGTCCATCCAGCCCTCTGCCTGAGCATTGACGTTGATCAGAACGAGACCTTCAACTAGATCAGGGTGGTTCAACTGCAAGAAATATATACAAGAGTGAACCCCCAGGAGACAATCGATCAATCAATATATATATATATAGATATGTGTGTGTGTGTGTGTATATGTATATATATATATATATATATATATAGCCTACATTCAAGGAAAAAGTGATTCTAAAGTATCAGCATTTTGGAGAGTGGCTGCTTGTGCTTAGGAGAACATTCCAGTGGATTAATGGCCAGCTTGCCAATTATAATGAGTAGGATTACGCTGCCAGTATCAAGTATCAACATACTGCTACATTCTGCAACAAGAATTTATCTGAGCCATAATCCTAGTTTAATCACAGCGGTGCGTCAAAATGCATCACAAAGAAGACAGACAGAGTTCCAACTCACAGCAAAGCGTGCAAGGATGTAGGCTCCAGCCCCGATGGCCAATCCAATAACACTCGTAATACTTGCAGAGAGAAAAGATACTTTTTTAAGAAAAAAAAACAACTTTCGCATTTCTGACATTCAGTCTCAGAGTTCAATTGGGTCACTTACTTAAAATGCTTGAGCACAATAGGGAGGGTCTCTGAGAGCTGGTCCATTGAGGGGTAAGTGTATCTACAAAAGGAGAATTGCAGTAGTTAATTTATAATCCTGAGAGTGGAACACCATGACAACTAGGTTATAGATCTTATAGATCTGGCAAAAGCCAACTCTGAGCTACAGCTAGAAATGTACCATGTGAAAACCAGGGATGGCAAAGCTGTTGAAAGTCAAGCTATAGTTCACTATACACATTGACAGTCTAGGCCTCCAGATGTTGTTTTAGCTCTGAAAACCTATAGTCTGCCCCTATATTCCTCAGACTGGCTGCATTAGTGTAGCAGATGCTGCATCTGTCCTAGAACAGATGGCAGATCAGACACTGGTGCCTTGCTGTGCTCTGCCTCACTCAGACCCTGGCACTGACACCATGACCTACATTCTATCTGCCATCCAGGGAGTCATAGAGATTAGAGAGATATGTTGTGGTTTGAGGGCACGAAGATGTCTACAGAGTGACTTCTGGTGAACAAGTTTGTGGAAAGGGTAAGAGATATTAGGTCTGGTTTTAGATTAGGTATAATCTTAGAATATCTTCCATTCCCTAAAGTGCCTTCCTGCCTTACACTTACCCAGTGGGGAGGGTGCTGGCACCTTCTTGTTGCCCAGGCGCATTGACGTGGCACACAACAAAGTGTCGCGTGATTTCCTGCATGTCCTCATGGCTGAAGAAGCTGTCAAAGCAGGTCTTATCTGCAGACACCCATACACAGTCATTACAAAGCAACACATAAAGCTTATACTTAGTTTTAGAATTTAAACAGACACAGAATTTCCACACACAGAAATGATTAGGCTGTGCTGTCACACTGTGAGCAGCTAGCTAAAAGCAGTAAACCTCAGATACCCTTGGCACGAAAACTCAATGAGTAACACATGAAAGAATAAGAGGGAACAGATTCTTACGGTTCAGTCCGATATCATGGAAAGTAAGGATGACAGGTCGATTCTCCTTGGGGATGCCTGACATGCTGCAGTGTACTGTGCCAAAGGGGGTCTCCACATTGTCGTCCTATGAAGAGCAAAGCTGAGGTTAGAGGTCTAGGTCGTTTTTTGGCTTTTAGGCCGCATAAAAATATACAGCTGTGCTGAGGCTAGCTTTAAATTCTCTCAACAAGGAAGGCTGATTATACAGCAGTGGTTCCACGTATCCAGGTGGTAGGCTCTTAAAAATAAAGCTTCCTAAATGGTTCTTGGATGTGCAGTTCTAGGAAAAACCTTTAATTGGTATCAAAGCCTTTATAGTATGTAGAAGTTCTTTACACTCATGATTCTCATTTAAAAAAGTGTTTTTTAAAGAACTGTTCACTGAAAGATTCTTTAGTGAATTAAAAGTGGTCCTTCTACGGCAGGTACAGCACCAACTGAATCAGTCCGCTTTACTCAGGGATGCCTGCTATTTTTAATTGCCGGTTGTAGCCTCTGGCTAGGCAGCTGCAAAGGTATAAGCAGGAAATTCTGCTAATAGACAAGCGACAGGAGCCATTACAACCAGGTAAAATCATCCGTCCTTCTAGAAGTCAAGAAGTTGGGCACAGAAACTGAGATCTCCTTTCTTCTAACAGTATGGATATCAAGTTGAGGAAGCTTTTATACAATAACGAAAATTACATATAATCACATTACATATGTCATAGCGGTCAGGTAAATGTGTCACTGTGGTTAATACAGTGCCGCAAAAAGTGCATCTGGAACTGTTTGCTCTCGCTCCACTAACTGAATGCAGTATCACAATGAGAAAGTTCCTCCCTCTTTCATTCAAACACATTTCCTGAAAGATCTCACATGTCTCTCACCAGAGTGGCACAATCCTGAACTGCTCTGTTACATACTGATACGATCTACAACCACAGTAACCCAATTTAACAATAACTAACAACCTTTTACAAAACCAGAACATTGCTATAAACTCGATGAAGCATTAATATGACAAAGTAATTCAATCCAACCTAATCCTTTTAAAACCAGAACAAAATAACAAAGTAACCCAATCCAGCCTTAACCAACAACCAATTACAAAGCTAAATCATTGCTATAAATTCAATGAGAAATCAATCAAAACTGAATAAGAAGTCTCAACTAGTTCTTCTCAAACCAGCCCTCACTGAAACCACTTCACCAACCAAATACTATCAAATAAACAGTGATAAGTAAAGAACAGTCAGCACTCACAGTGACTTCACCCTCAAAGACAGAGTCATACTCAGAGTCCTCCAGAACCATGCTTGCTCGTATTGTAGTGGGCTGGTGAAGGTATGTATGTGTTTGCTAGAGGAGACGCTGTACTATCCCTCTGCAGGCTCTAACTCCTGATGGCCAAACGTGCACTGAGCCAGATTTTATATCCCTCTGTTTACAGTGTGGCATAAGCCTCCTGCTCCCAGCATACCTTGCTTGTTGGCTAGAGGAAGGTAGCCTAATTCCTATGGAGAGATCTTCAAACTGGGTCAGTCTGTCAGACCTGAGCAACGTGCATTGGGGCATCTCCAATTGTTTGTTTTGGGGTCACTTGTGCGTGACACTTTGACTTTGAAATAGTAAGAATATGTCACTTAAATATTAATTCAACTAAAATGTGAATAGAGGTGTAGTTTAATTTTAACCAAAGATTTTAAATGTAACATGAAATGAAGAATCTCTAAGAATGCATATCTAAAATGGGGATTCCAAAATGTGTTGACAGGCAAATAGTTACAAGAGTATGGGGAAATATTTCCAAAATGTACCATGTAAAAATAAATGTATGTAAATATGTTTATCACATACATCTGAAAATGTATGAAAGTAGCCAAAGTACTTGTCCAATGCAGTTTACTATTTGAAATACCTTTTGAAAGGAATTTGTATTCCAGTATCTTAATTTTAATTACTAGCCTATAAACCTTTAACATGGCAAAGTCAAGTGTTGTAGGTATACACTGATACACTGTGAAAATGCAGTTATGATTTGATATCTTGTTCATTTGAAATACATTTTGCATGTGTGCTGCATATGTACAATGCAAAACATAAAATCGGTACCATTCATTCAGTTCATGTATGGTTAGTTATGTCTGTAACCTTTGTTAAAACTACATACATTTGAAAAAATATATAATAACAAATATAAATAAGGACATTTTAAAAATATATTTAACAAAAACGTTTTTGGCCATTTTCACACATTGCAAAAATATATTTGGTAAATACATTTGAAATGTATGTTTTTTCCATATGAGAGACAAGAAAGACAAAGAAGACTTGGTACACTAAGATTGTTTTAAACTGAACACATCTCATTTATGACCTCATTATTCTAGCAGTGACCAGCAGTAAGGCTTGTTAACTGTGACAGCACAAGGTTTACATGCTGCATGTGGTAAAGCAGCTCAAAGCAGATGGTGTTCCTCTAGGTCAAACGTCATCACCGTTCAGACTCCCAGACTGCTTTTCACCTTCAAAACACAGTGCTGGAAAGTGTAGGCCTGTAATCTGTAGGGAGGATGTGCCCAAGACAGCAAGCTTTTTAGCCACTTCAGTCTGCTGACAGATCTTATTTACATTTATTCACTTTTTTCATTTACTGCTTATACTTTATTTCGTTAGCACCACTGTAACTGTGCCAGACTGACCTACCCACATTTCCTGGAAGTGCAAACTCAAGGAGCCTGCTTTTACCTAGTCTAACTACTTTATATCCAACACAGCACATGTGACTGTTGAGATTAAATATTCTCTTGCAGTGGTGGACAGCAAATATGTTTTATTGGGTAAAAATCATTACTGAAAAGGGCAGTATCAACTCCATAAGGCCTTTCGAAAACTATTTAGACAACAAACCAAATAATGAGGCAAAACTTTAGATATATCTGAGTCTGGTAACAGCTAATATTGAGTTTTATTTCATCAAAGACTCATCCCAGTGGCCCCAGTAATCATTCTATTTATTATGTTCAAAACCTGGAGATGCAGGCTTGTCTTATAGGTGCTGCAAACATCAGCTCTCTCAACCTCTGACAAATCTATATACATAGTTATTTTGTTAATGCAAAGGAGTATATACATTACATTTGCATAACCTACCCTTTTTGTCATTATCTTACAAGCTGGTGGTGGAGATGCTGGTGTTAAACAGTTCCCTATTGAGATTATTATTCACTTTGCATGTGTCACTGATCGACAGGTATGCTGAGACCCAAGTGTAGCCTGTGCATCAGGCTGTCGACAATAAACTTGGGGAATCTGAATGTTTGCAGCTCTCTTGTAATAGAGTCCTATTATGACCCATATTAAAGTCCTATTATGACCTCACAGAGGTGGCTTTGCCTGATGAGTTTATTTATTGTGCTTTAATGACAGCACAAACGAGATTTCCTTCAATCTCCATGTCTAGAACTTTGCTAAGGAGCTTCACACGTACCATGGCTCTATTCCCAGGCTTTGCATCAGGACTAGCAGTACTGTGCCAGGAGTGCATCCACTTCAGTGACTGTTTATCAGTCAAAAAGAGAGGCACAACATGGGTAAATTGTTCCTGGCTTTTGGCATGCTCTCTGACAAATATCTGGGCTACAATCAAATAACATCCCACATGAAAAATCATTACAGAATGAAAATAGAGTGAAGATACAGAAAATACAGGGGCAGAGTTTATGAAAGGTAGGTCTGGGTGTGTAGTAGGAATTTTTTGAACAATTAAAAATTTTGATTCCGAGTGTTTTGCACTCAACTAGATTAGAAGGATAGAGAATTAAATATTACTCAATCTTATTAATTACTTACAATTAAATTTTAATGAAGGGCATGCATCATCCGGTTTTAATGTGGCAATCCCCTAGCTACAGATCACATGTAATCATAGCATCTGTATAGAATCACCAAAGTATATTATCTATTATCAATACATAAGGTATTTTGCTATTGTATACCACAACAGTGAAAGTAATAGGGCAATGTTTCCCAATCGTGAGCCTGGAGTCCCCCTGCTTTTTAGTTTTTACTGTATGTCTCTAACAATCCTTAACTTTGCAGCTTATTAACAAGCTCTACATCATTTGAAATCTGTGTTTTTGAAAGATATGAGATGGATTTGGTTATCTAGTATGGTAATTAGAAAGTAAAAAGAGGTTAATAACATATACAAGGCTATAGAAGAGTCTGGGTGAGCCATATGTTATCCTGTTCTGCCCTCTGGTCATGGCAACTGGCTGCCTGTCTCCAGCTTGAAATCTACTTTGAAAGGTACCTAGTGCAAGGTCAGGATGAACCTTTTGATATTTGATATCCACAGACGTCTAGCTCTTTGTTTTTCTTCACATTTTTTATCGGGAAAGTGCTTTGTCATTTACTTTGACAGGCCATTCAAAAAATAAAACAAACGGACAAACAACAAAAACTTTTTTCATGACCTGACTGGTAGACCTACATAGTCGGTCACTGACCGCAGGCCCATCTGCTTTGTGACATATGCTACTGTCTGCTGTCATCAAGTGATGACCTCCAGTTGTCCAGTGCAAACCCAGACAGCAGATTTAACCTGTAAAGCCTGATAGCAAAAATAGGACACTAGCCTCAAACCGCACACCCACTGCCTAACACTAAACGCCAACAACCTCAGCTTTTTACTACATTATCTGGTAATATTTGAGTATTTTACTTCAGATGTCATCAAAGCAACTGCTATTGATCCTGGTGAAAATATAGAACTACATGAGCCACTCCTGCGTTCAATGCCTTATTGACCTGTTTACATTTACACACTTCGCGCTCTAGATGGCGCAGTATAGCAACTTTTCGAGTCCTTTCTCTCACCTCTCTCCTCTTTTCTTCATTCTTCTCACTAAATCCAAATAAGATGAACGAACGTTTTAAAGGTCATTGAAAGGCTAACAAAGGAAAAAAAAAAACAGCACAATTTCGCTCAATAAAAACTGGTTTATATGGTTTGCAGTACAGTTTCCCGCGCTCTGTTGAACGTTCTGTCCCCGCCCACTGGCAGCGTTGTTTTCTACGACCTCATCTACCTAATATAATTATTATACACACACCCAAACGAGTTTCTTCTCAAATTAAGGGTATTTTGCACCCCATTTGTTACAATAACAGCCTCTACACATCTGGGAAGCTTTACACTAGATGTTGGAACATTGCTGAGAGGATTTGATTGCATTCACCCACAATGGCATTAGTGAGGTAAGGTACTGATAGTACTGGATCACAAACGCAACTCCAACTTATCTTCTCAAAGTTATTGGATGGTGGTCCATCACCACAGGCCAGGCCTGGGGGGCTTTATACCCCTCTAGCTGACACTTGCCGTTAGACATGGTGACATTAGGTTCCAGTGTGTCCCATTCTGTTAGCAATGCTTCTCTATGGAGATTATACCAGTTGTGTGTGTGCACAGAACACGTGTGTCAGCAACGGGTTCACCTTAAAGTAGCTGAATTCACTAATTAAAAGGAGTGTCTGGATACTTTTTGACATAAAGTGCATATGGTATTTTGATGCTGTTGGCACTATTTCTCTCACTAAACTGAGAAAATGTTGAACAGCTGAAGTCCTGGCCATTACCTATAGTACAGTTCACATTTAGCATCAGAGAAGAGACAATAAACAACTGAACCTTAGAAATATTTGTCATAAATTTGATTTTTTTTTCTAAAGGAAATGTGACATGATAGCTGTTCAACATACATACATTATACATAGAACACTTCATCAGTCAAGGTTTAAAACTTAGACCACTGTATAAAAAAATAGTAAGCAATATTTGCTATGGGCCTCATTCTCCAACTCTACCTAGGAAGATGTTTCTTCTTAAAACCCACTATTCTTAGATAAGAACAGAATCTACACACACTCAAAGGAACAAAGGTGTGAACAATTCTGTAATTTAAGAACACATTATGAATCTAACAAAGACTTTTTCTCACGACGACTCAAGAACACATTTAAGAAAAAGCTTAGGAAGATATTGGAGAATAAGGCCCTATATTTGCATTTTACAGCAAGTTTCTATTTGCTGTTGCATTAAACACACATTTAAACACAACATGACACGTTTAGGTCTTTCATGAGCTGAAAAGAAATGGCAGAGGGCCCTGACCAGTGCATTTAGGTTATTCCAGAATGTGTTTTCAAGTTACCAAACTATGTGAACTCTACAGTATTTATTTATTTATCTATTTATTTATTTGGTTAGTCAGTTGGTCAGTTAGTTATTGTCTTATTGCCATTTAGTTGCAGGTAGACCAGGGAAATAATTTTGTGAGCATTCAATGAAAAAGATTTTTAGAGAGAATTTTGTGTGTTTGAAGTGTG